GAGGGGCAGCGGAATTCGAATCGAATCCGACGGGGAAAACCAATAGCTCCAAGGGTTCGACCTCCAATTGTTCACTGTCGACAACGAAACAAGCGAGGGATCGTCGCAAATCACTCCAGAATTCGTCACGATTTTTACCATGGAGTATGAGTCCCATGAAAATCGGTCGAATTTTTGGAATTGACTCATTCCGGCCGTGAAATACGAGACGAACTCGTTGTGGGGGCCCAGAATGTAAAAAGTGGAAACGGGGATAGGCCGATCCAAAACCAAAAGATTCACAAATTCGCTCCGATTTTCGAAATCAACAAAAAACGAGCAGAAATTTGGAATCGAAGTCGGATCGGGGGAAATAACCGCTTTTCGAGTGGAATAAATCGACTGATAAAGTGGAATTACGGTTATCGGGACGTTTTCTGGATTGGCTAAAATCAGGGGTATTTCGGGATAGACAAAATACTGCCGAATTTTGTCAAAGCAAAGCGAATTTTGATTGAGTTGAATACAAGAATGGAGAGGAGCCGAGATCATGATGGACTCCAGCTGAAATAAAAATAAGAATTGATTCTGAACTCCAGAAAAGAATCGAGAATCTGTAGATAGAGGGAATTCACAAACAGAGTCTGTGCATCCGTCAATAATCTCATGGACTACGAAAAAAACAAAACGTGAGTGATACGATGATACTTTCTTGATAGTGTGTGATTGATAAAGCGAATAGTATCTAAATATAGAGAATTATAATACACGTGGAATTGGGCATTGCATCCATTGGAATGGCTATGTCATATAAAAGAAAATTTAAATTACCCATCGATCCAGAGCGGGTAAGACAAGATACAGTATTCGAAAACTTCCTGTGTTTTATGGCCTTCCCCCTTCCAATAATCCTCTCCAACATACATTGTCTTGTTGATATTCTTCTCATAGCGGATTTTCCACGAAATCGAGCAAGGTTCGTTTGATAGAGGTAAAACCAATTCCAATCTTAGTGTTTTATAATTCTCTGCGCATTGCAATGACAAGACTACAAACTAGACAATTAAAACGACAACCTACCTTCATGAATAACAAAAAGCAAAATCAGTAATTTGCTCGCATCTAGGAAACTTGTCATATTTTATAAAGAAAAAAACTTTCCAAAAATGTAGTATGTTAAACTAATCTTGACTATTTTCGTTTGCAACACGATTCGACTCCCGTCGATTTGTACAGCGATCCAGGTTGTTTTGCGCAAAGACTTGGTTCGTTTCTATCGAGTTGCAAGGATCGACTTAAAAAGAAATCCTGAGCTTTCCCTTCGAGCTTTCGTGCCAGATGCAGATGTTCAATGGCACCCACGGAGGAATGGGGATTTGAAACCTGAAGATGTCCCTTATAACTACGGAGGGGAAGTATGGTGGAAGTGCCCTAAGGGAGAGGATCATGTCTGGAAAACCATTTGTCGCGCACGAGTTGACACTGCAAACAAACGACTGGAACGTACCATCTTGATTGTTTTTTAATAATTATTAGCGTGTCCATTCTGCAGCAATCACCGATTATCGAAAACAAACAGTCTTTCCACCAGATATCCTGAACTCTCCATCGAATTCGACTCTCTTTCAAATGGAGGCCTTCTCGCCAGTCAAATAATCCATACAAGTAAAAAGCGGTACTTCTGGCGCTGCAAGCAGAATCATCTCTACCAAATGAGTATTCCACAGCGTCTGCGATTCCAGTCAAGTGAATCTTTTCCGACACGATGACCAATAGAAGGCCTACCGAGCTGTCCTCACTGCCGAAAGAAGAAAGCGGCCCTCCTCTTTGACACCCATCCCGATTTCTTCGAAGAATCTTATAACTGGTTGAATTGCCGCTCGGTTCCGCCCCCACAACCCATCGAAGAGGTTCTATTCCCCGAAGACGCCTTCGAACAAATCGATTTTGGCGAGTTGTACGCAGAAGAGAAGAATGAAGACGTTTCCGAGCACCCATTTCAAACAAAACACACACAGAAGCAAGAAACCATGGTCGATGAGAGCTTACAACGGAGTTTACGGAACCACTTGCTTGAATATCAAATATGGAAGGAGGGCATTGAGGAAAACGACAAACGAGTCATCTGGTGGGTTTGCTCGGCAAATCCCTCCCATGTTTGGAGAGAAAGTGTGAATAGTCGCATAAAATCGGAATGTCCATTTTGTAAGCGAGAAAGAAAGGTTCATGCGAGTTTGCCTAGCAAGATGATTGAAACGGGCTATGGAGAGCTTGTTCCTGTGAAGAGGCGACAAAAGCTTCCACCACAAACCGGTAGCGAAGAAGATAATACAACAGTGTTTTTTGCATAGGAAAATTGTTTGTTTTATTGCCATTCCAGAAATAGATCAGTTTTCAATTCTACATGATTTAGAAATCGCAGAATGGATTCTATTGTCGGAGATGATATTGATATAGGAGTGCGCCAGGTTGTGCGCCAATTATTAAATCTCGCTTCAGATCCTGATAGTCAGGTCTTGATGGCGCAGCAGCCCGGTACATTGGTATCTGGAAATTCCATGATATTTAGAATTTATTCCCGGACTCGTGACCTACATGTCTAGCGAGGATAACGAAGTTCGCCTCATGGCTGCCCGTGCAATTGAATTTTTGTCTACTCACCCCAGTAACAAATCAATTGTGGCTCGCAGCCCCGGTCTTGTAACAAAGATGGTTTGAACAGAAATGGAGTTGTGAGAGCTAGAAAGAGTTCGCTGATTCCGAAAACGAGCACGCGCGCGCCATTTCTCGCCGAACATTATATAATATTAAAAACTTCCTCTCTGCAGAAGATGTCTCGTTTGTGAAAGAGCATCCCATCGATTCGGTTCAGGAAATTCGCCAGACAGCTACAGTAATGAAAACATACACATTCTCTGTTGGCGCACACATCAGCTTTCACTTCTAGCTGGAAAGCACATCAAACACGCAGGTTCTTGAAGATCTTCAGGCCGTTGTCATCAAGATCGCAGGAGTAACGTCGATTACCATCGAGAAGGTACATGTGCTGTTTGTCGCGTAATCTACAGCAAAAGAAGAAGATCGTGGTAACTGTGCGTCAGGCAGAGGAAGACAGCAAAGAAAAGGAAATCCAGGAAACGATTAAGTAGGTGGTTCGCTCTGATGGTCTGACGGAAAGTCGCTTTTTCGTGGAGAAAAAGGAGCCCGGAATCTTTAAAGACGATGATTTCGTGGATGATTTGTTCGAAAGCGAGGACGGAGACCAAGCATTAGCGACGTATGGATTCAGCTCGATCGAGAGCAGTTTAGAGAAGAAGAAAAAGGAAAGGGAGGAGAAGCAGAAGAAGGAAAAGAAGCGAAGTTGGCTTTTTGATAAGGTTTCCAGCGCGATGAGTAAATGGTGGTAAATATAATTTGGACTGTTTGTTTTCGATGTGAACAGATTAAACACTTGTGAAGACGGGAGAAACTCTGTAGAGCGTTATCGAAAAGTATAATCTCTTTTGGATGTCTGATATTGTTATTAATTTTACGAATTCAGAGGTCGTAGAGATTAGCGATCAGGCTATACAGGATTCCACGCTGGTCTTTTTGCAACGTTCCTGTTATTCTGCCGGAACGGAGGTAAGACCGAAGGAGATATCTGCTGCACAACATCTGACGGGGGAATTGCATCGAAAACGGTACAAGTTTAGTAAGAGTATGCTTTCCGGAATGGTGTGATTGGAATAGCTAAGAAACAAATCAGTGCGGAGTTTTTCCTATCTCATATCTCTATGGGAGGGGAAGGAGAGATTCAGGGGATTACCAGTAATTTATAATGTAGATTCTGCTATTTTAGGCGCAGTTGATGATAAATTAAACACAGAAGTGACGCCGACAAATGCGTCAACAGAAGTCGTAGAAATCGGTAGCAAGCAAAACTATGAATATAAATCCATGCAAAAACTGTGCGAGTCGCGTTCTCTCCTCAAATCCGGACTTTATGTTTTTTCTCCCAAGAAGACGTTTCCATTGGGTATAAAATATGGCAATTCGTATTTGATCCAATTTAGCAATTACCAGTATTATCGGCGTCGAAGAAGACGAAGATCCTGACGCAGTTGGTTTTGGTGAGGACAACAGTGACGACAGCGACGCCGAAATGATGCTTTATGAAAGTACGTTCAATTCATTTTATTCTCCAAAGAAATGAAAAACGTGCGTCGTAACAAGGAGCCCGAAAAGGTTCTGAACGTGAGTTACCAAGAAATGATAAAGCCTTTCACGCGCGTGAACACCGAGAACATTTATCTCGACAACGCGTACATTCAGCAGCCCTCCAAAGCGTCAATTCTGTTCTTTGACGGCTGGACGTCGTCGGTGATTCCCTACATCAAAGAGAAACAATTGAAAAACGAACTCAACGAAGTCTTTCAGAACAACTACCCCGCCATTCCAACCTCCTTCACGTATCCGCCTCCACGCGCTTTGTAGCGTAGTCTTTCCAAACTCCGGAAGATCAAACATCTCGCGTTGATGCTCTGCATGCCTTCCATCGAATTCCCGTCCATTCCCATTTCGCTCAAAGGCAGAAAAACCGTCGATTTTGACATCGGAACGTTGGCACTGGCGTTCTGCTATTTCGAGCGATTGGTTTTATACGGAGTGGGATTCGCCTCATTGAATCGAGCGTAGCATGTGAACAAAGAGAACCGAAAGGTGGTCTGCGCGGATTGCTTGCTGATTTCGTACAAATTCAATCAGCTTTGCGAAGTGGCGACCGCAGAAAGTAGCGAGCTTTCGAGAAACAAAACGAAGCGTAGAGAGAGACGCGCTCGACACGATTTTAGAGGAGTTGGATGTGTTGTTTGGCGTGGATCCGGATAAGGTGATTGCGAACGAAACGGAAGTGTAGAAATGGGAAAAAATAGTTGTTTGTAGATTGGTGGCGTTGGAGTTTTCGCTGCTGATTCCGTACGATCAATACATCGAGCACATTTTTTGGATTTTGCGGAAACTGGACAGTGCGAATGCGTTGAATGGGGATGAAACGTAGCCAATCTGCAGACGTATTTGGGCGAGGGAATGTACAGTTCGTACTGCAAGGCGATTCGGTATGATGAGGTGGATAAGAAGAGCGAGGATGGCGATGATCGGCAGTCCATCGATTCGGGGTCGGAGAGCGAAAACTCGGCGATTTGGGAGAACGAACGACACTTCGTCGACTTCGCCGATTGCGATTTGCTTTGTTTTCTCACAAACACTCGCTAAAACTACAAAGGACTTTCGTTATGAACTCGTTTCGATTCTGTTTCTTCGGAAGGCTCGGGGCCTCGTTTTGATTCATTCGAATTTGCCCCCGTTTCTGCGATCTTCTCTTCGTTTTCATTGACTTCATTGACTTCATTGACTTCATTGACTTCATTGACTTCATTGACTTCATTGACTTCATTGACTTCATTGACTTCATTGACTTCATTGACTTCATTGACTTCATTGACTTCATTGACTTCATTGACTTCATTGACTTCATTGACTTCATTGACTTCATTGGCTTCACTTCTTTCTGTGGGCTCGGCGTTCTTCGCTTCGCCCGCGTTTTTGGCGGCCTTTTTCTTCGGCGGGGTCCAGGGCTCCAACGGCAGCAGCGGCAAACTCTGCACCGCGAATTTCGGCAGATCCGCGGGGAAAATCACATGGAACACGGGATATCTACGCGTGAAGCGCCTCCTTCTACGCTACTCCAAAACATACACGCCCGCAAGCACGTCGCGGAACGATTTCTCGCTGGGCACAACGAAAAACTCCTTGGCTCCATTGCTGGGGGCGGATTCCGAGTAAGGAACGTATTTTTCGAGGAGAACCACGAGCCCTTCGATGCCTGCTGCTTTGTACTTCGCTGTGAGAGGGTAGAGGTGAGACTTTGGGTTATGAAAGGAGAAAAAAAAAGAAACGCTTAACGTGGAGAGTTTTGAGAAAAACGTATCGCCAATTGTGGAGAACTCGCTTGATCTGGTAGTGAAGGTAAGCGCAGGGGAGGAACTCGATAAGACCCATTTGGCGTACCACATGATTAGGCCCTTGCTGAAGATGTAACGGGTTTGATTCTCTTTCTGGCGAGACATGCCTAGAGGAAGGCTGATCAAGTGGACCTTCCGAAGCTCGGCCTGCTTCAGAAGAGTCTGGAGATAGGTCGGGACGTCGCGCCTCTTGCTCGAAACTGCTTCTTCGACCATGTGGGGAGAATTCCAAGCTGGAAAATCGTTTATTCCCTTTATCGAGCTGTCTACACGGCGAGCAATATCCGTCAAAAAGAAATAGTCTTATAATCAGAAAAAACACGAACGGTCACCATCATATAATACCTCATCATTGTAATTGGAAAGAGATACGAAGCGAGTGCGATTTCGAATACCAGAACACTTATCCTATCCATAGCAAACCAGATACGCTCCATACCGTTTCTTTATGCTTTCGAACGCATTGTAGAGAGCACGTACGTTTCTTACAACCAGGGCAAGTGTATTTTGCGGGATGTTGGTGACATACTTCACACAAAGGGGCAGATTCGGTTTGTCGATCTTCTGACTCCATGATCAATGAAAAAACAAACGAGTCGTTAAGATGACAAAAGAGAATTTGAGCTAGGGAGGATAACCCAGGATGTATGATAAAGAAAAATACAGAATATGAGTGTAAAACCAAAGGCAGAGTAGGTAATGTCGTGAAAAGGTTTTTTCTCCGTAATAATCGTATATCCACAGCAAGTTCAATAAAACTAGACGATACCCATCCATCTACAATCAGGATAAGTTCTCAAAAAAGACAATTTGGTTTTCATATTCAAATTTTGTGATATGGTACGAATTAATCTTATCGAAGATGATGTATAGCCAAAGCGAGGACGACGTGGTGACATCATCAACGAAAATGATGAGGAAATGGAACATCTCAACACAAACGTGACTTTTTCCGAAGGGGAGGAGTCCGAAGGAGAAGACCTGTTCGAAGATATGGGAAAGTACGAGTTTGGAAGTCTCCTGACTGTTTTAGGGATTATCGCCCTATTGCAGATTTAGACAAATATGATAGAGAAGGCCTTGCGAGTGAAAGTGAGGAAGAAGAAGAAATGACATACGAACAGCGAGTAGCCGCTGAACAAGAAATGGATGCTCGAGACCGTGGTTTGATCAGCAGCAGGTGGCAGGGAAGACATATAGATGAGGGTATCACCCGTAATTTTGACTAACCACCAGAAATGGACATCGAAGAAGAAAACGAGGCAGGAGAGACAGCAGCCCGAGGTCGTTTGGAAGGAACCACAACGCAGCGTGCAGCCATTTCGGAAATGGATCCCTCCATGGTCCATGAAGCGCTCATGGGCGATTCGGCGCGCGAAGCGATCATCAACATGTACCCTTTTTAACTTCCTTCTCTCCAGCTTCGTCCAATTCCTGCACAACTTCACTCGGAGCGACGAGGAGGGTGGAAACGGCGAGAACGTGTACATGGAAGCGATCCGATCGATGTGCAACAACAATGAGCAGAGCTTCGAAGTGTTCTACAGCGATCTCGCGATGTTCGACGAGTTCACCAGCCGCGTCACCGAATTCCTCACCGAACACCCCGATATCGTTCTCGACATGCTCAACGAAGTTCGTTTTTCTTTTCTTTGCTCACTCCTTTCAGGGCGCGAAGCGCGTCGTTCTCTCGGAATTCCCCAGCTACGAAGAGGTCCACAAGGACATCTACGTCCGCTTCCGCGACTTCGCCGTGCTGGAAAGCCTCCGCGACCTTCGCTCCTCGTCTCTGGGCAAGCTCATCCGTACGCAAGGCGTCGTGACGCGGCGCACGAGCGTTTTTCCGCAAATGCTCTACGTGGCGTTCCGCTGCTCCTTCTGCAATCAAATCATGGAGGGCATCAAGCAGCTCCCCGACCGCGAGGTGAAGCCCGACATGTGCGTGTTCTGCCAGCGGAAAGGCGGCCTGCAGCTCTGCACAGAGAACACCGTCTTCCGCAACTACCAGAAAATCACGCTGCAAGAAAGCCCGGGGTCCGTCGAGGCCGGCCGCATTCCGCGAAGCAAGGTGGGCGTTTGGGGAGACTGCGAGGGATAGGAGGTGATTCTGACCGCGGATCTGATCGATGTGGCGCGGCCTGGCGACGAAGTGGACGTCGTGGGGTTGTACACGAACAATTTCGATATGTCGCTGAACACGACGAAAGGCTTCCCCGTCTTCAGCACGGTGATCGAGGCCAACAACGTGTCGCTGCTGAAGGACGTGATGGGAAGCAGCGCGTTGTCGCACGAGGACGAGCAGGCCGTTGGATTGGCGCGGAGAATCGAGCGTAGATTCGCGGGTTGGCGGCGGATCCGCTGTTTGAGCGACGCTTGCTGAGCTCGATCGCGCCGTCGCTGTTCGGACACACCGACGTGAAGATGGCGATCGCGATGGCGCTGTTTGGAGGCCAGTTTCGGTCGATTGGGGCGTTGAAGGGTAGAGAGAAAGTGGAGGCGAAGCATCGAATCCGCGGAGATATCAACGTCCTGCTTCTCGGCGATCCCGGAACCGCCAAATCGCAGTTTTTGAAATACGCGGAGCGGACTTCGCCGCGCGCCGTGTACTCCCGATCTCTTCATCTGATTGGCTAGCTACACGACGGGCAAGGGCGCCTCCGCCGTGGGTCTGACGGCCGCCGTGCATCGCGATCCGCTCACCAAAGAATGGACGCTGGAGGGCGGTGCGTTGGTGCTGGCGGATCGCGGCGTGTGTCTGATCGACGAGTTCGACAAAATGAACGACGCCGATCGCGTGTCGATCCACGAAGCCATGGAGCAGCAGTCCATTTCGATTAGCAAAGCCGGTATTGTGACCACGCTGCAGGCGCGCTGCGCGGTTTTGGCGGCGGCGAATCCGCGGACGGGTCGCTACGACGCGACGCGGACGTTTGCGGAGAACGTGGATCTGACGGACCCGATCTTGCAGCGATTTGACATTCTTTGCGTGCTGCAGGACCAAATCGATCCGGTCGAGGACGAGCGATTGGCCCGTACGCGATGAAAACCCGATCAAATGTGTAGGGTTTGTGGTGCGAAGCCACGTGGCGTGCCATCCTCGAAACATGGAGAAGCGGATGGAGGAAGAGGCGAAGGCGGACCTCGAGGAGACGGCGATCGACGACCCTTCGATCAAGCTGATTCCGCAGAGCTTGCTGAAGAAATACATTCAATACGCGCGAACCAACATCCACCCGCTCATCGACAACGTTGATCAGGACAAGATCGCGAATATGTGGCGATTGGCGGCGCGGATTCACGGCTAGCTACGCGGAGATTCGACGCGAAAGCGTGGGGGCTGGCGGCATTCCCGTCGCTGTTCGGCACATCGAGAGCATTATTCGAATGGCGGAGGCTCACGCGCGGATGCATCTGCGGTAGGAGAGAAGAGAGAGAGCGAGCGGTAGAGAGCACGTGCTGGATAGCGATGTGGATGTGGCGATTTCGACGTTGCTGGAGAGTTTTATCAACTCGCAGAAGCATTCGGTGAAGACGGCGCTCCGCCGCACGTTTAGGAAGTATTTGGTGCGACCGGAGGACAGCTTCGCGCTGATTATGTAGGGCAGGGAAGGCGGAATTAGGACAAGGTATCAGTTGAAGGAACTGGTGCGCGAGCAGCTGGAAGCGGATGCGATTTTGGAGAACCAGTCGATGGAGGACGATGTGGTGTTCCGCGTTCCGCTGAAAGTACTGGAGGAAAGTGTGCGGAATGTGGGCGTGGATAATTTGTTCCCCTTCCTGGAGAGTACGATGTTTAAAGAGAACCGGTTCACGTACGATCCGCAGACGCAGACGATCGTTCGTGTCTTCTCGCACGCGGCGGAGTAGAAGAGGATTTTATTGGAGTGTGTTTGTTGGAGGAAGCGATGGAATGTGGGGTGGAAGGAGTGATAGAATGGGGTGGATGTGATACGGAGGAAATGAATGAGTGGGTGTAGGTTGGCGAATTAGAGAGATATGCGTCTAGTGAATGCATTAGCGAACGAATTGCCTTTTGCAATTGTACAAATAGAAATTCTCATTCATATTTCATCGATTCGCTACTAAGTCGGCTTCCATCCACCCATTTCAATCAATCAATCACTAATCAATCCCACACTCCTTTCTCTCAACAAACAACCCATCAGCAGTACAACTCTCAAACATCATCATCATCTTCCTTCCTTCCTCCTCTCTTTACTTCGACCACTTGCAGTGGAACAGCTCTCCTCTCTCCTTATCCAATCTCTCGAACCCCTCATCCTCCAGCGCATCGCGCATGCTCTGCACCACGCTTCCCGGCAATCTCCCGCTGCGATAGCTGTCCAGATACGCCACCGCCGCCAGACTCACCGGCATCGCCACGCCCGCCGCCACGCCGAGCGACAGCACGCGTCTCCACGCCTTCTGTTTCTTCTCGACCTCCTCGCTGAACGCCGGCTCCAGCAGCAAACTCGGCAATTCCGAGTTCTTCTCAAGCATTGCCGACAGTCTGCCCATCACTCCTGCCAAAATAATACCCACTTCTCCATCCGATCGCACCGAATCTCGCAGCCCCCGCGCAAAACTCCCGCCAACTCGGGCAAATGTAACTCCCACTCGCGCGTCTTCGCGATGGCGACCAGCGCACCGAAAACTTGTGCGCACAGAATATCTCGTGCGCAGTCGTGGGCGTCGTGCAAATCGCGGGAAATCTCCTGCAGATCCACCTTCGACCAATCAAATTTCGGCGCCGAAATTTGGCGGGAAACTACACATCGGGCGTTTCATCCATGGATACGTTTCACGCGCGTCTCTCTCTCCGATGACGCGTTGCGCGCCTCCCACGCTCCCGCGGGAATGCTCATGCTGGCCTGAATATCCGCGGCAAGAGCCGTCAGATCCGCGGTATTTTTGGGGTTGGGCGGGAAATCGCTGATGCGGTCGACCAATGAATTGTCGGACGGCTTGCAGCCCTCCACGTCGCAGTCCTTCTTCTTCAGAACCGCGGTGAGGCTCTGCAGAAGGAAACTGCCGTCCTGTTTGTCCCAGTCTCCCAAAATCGAGGCGATTTCGGTCAAGTTCAGCTTGCCCTGCTTCATCACGTCCACCATCTCCGCTAAAAGCTGCAGCTCCGCGGTCTCCAGAGCGGCCACGGCGTGCTTGGCGGCCACGGCAGCGGCGGCGGTGCCGACGTGGGCGAGGCAGGGTCGGTGGTCGACTTCGCAGGCCACTTTGTTGAGCAGAGGCTCGATGGCGTCGTAAAGCGACTTCGAGCCAGAGCACAGCAAGGCAGGGCCTTGGCGAGCGTCGCTGTCCGTGCCGAGGATGGCTAGAGAGAGCAGCTCGACGCCCTTTTCTTGCGCTTCCGCGCTGCGGCGCAGGCATTCGTCCACATTGTCGCAGCTGCCGTCGATGATAACGTCGCCGGACTGGACGTTGAGAGGAGCTCGAAAGAAGTACCTCAAGGAAGGGAAGAACCTTTTGCATGTTGCGATCAATGTTAGAACCTGGGCGAGCGAGGAACAAGACTTTACGAGGCGTTTTTAGGTTTTTTACAAAGTCCTCGGGCTATGGATAAACAACGATCCTCACAAAGCCACGTACATCCTTGATTCCGCGAACCTTCTCTTCCAGATCCTCTTTCTCTGCCAATTCAATACATTCTTTAATCTACAAACAAATAAACCTGTATTTGATAGGATAGTACCTTGTCGGAGGATTTGTTTCCCACGGTGACATTATATCCTTTTGATGCAATATTCAGGGCGAACGAAATACCCTGACTAGTAAGTCCATAAATACCGATATCAGAAGACATTTCTAGATGAGAAATGGATCGATTTCTTTCCAACATGAGAGTGAAACTCCCATATCATTCATGTTCTTCTCAAACTCACAGAAAAACCTTCTAATAATATAGACATATAGAATACGACCATCCCACGCTACTATGGATGGTAAAAACACAAGAATTCAAATTTGCCTTATTCTGCACATATAGGAAGAAATAAAGAATCCACCTAAATTTCGGCGGGAACGCTAATCAGGCAAAGAATGGCAAACTTATTGGCAAGTCCTTCAGGAAAGCATGCCGATAATAAACTGATAGATAACACACGTGTAGGAAGGTTCATTTCGAAGGTTATTCGTAGGACGCACTAACAGGGTTTCGACTAGGAAACCGACTTATTGGGAAGGAGATGATTGAGTTTCAAATGAGAGGGAGGAAGTTTATTTCTCTTGAAAAGTTGCACAACGCAGACACGAGTCGTTTTCGGTTTGATGAGGTAGAAGTGGGAAGTAGAATGTGATTGTAAGGAAGAATGGGTAACTGCTGGAGTTGTGCACAAGCGAGTCGATTCGAGGTCTAAAAGTGGGAAATCTGTATTCTATATTCAGCTTACCGATTTGAGAGATTGTTATGTCAATGTATTCCTTCATGGAGAGTACAGTCAATACAGCTCTATTCCCGTTGGTGGCGTAGTCTATCTGATCAACGCCAACGTAGTACCTTCGAAAGACCAGATACACAAATTAGCTCTATCCGTGCCCTCGATTCAATACATCAAACACATCGGGAAGGCAGTGGATTATGGCGTCTGCCTAGGAATCCAGCGAGACGGAAAGAAGTGTGGCAACGCTGTGAACAAAGAGGTCAGCCAGTATTGCATGTACCATATTCATCTCTCTCAAGCGAAAATCAACGCCATGCGCTCCGCTTTGAGCGACGGTACCTCTCGCTATTCTTGATCGACCCTAGAAACCTTCTCACTCACTAATCCTCCCAAAAATCTCTCCGACGGTTGCTTTCAGGTAGGGAAGGAGGTCATCGATTGTCGTCCCCAAAAAGAGCTTCAAATCAACTACTCCGCCCTTCCCCCCTCCCATTCTGTGCTCGTAAACGGAGTTCCACTCAGTGGATCGGCCGCGCGCCGAGCCCAACTCGCAGCCGAAGAAGAGAAGAAGAAAAAAGAAGCGGCGCTGACGAAGCAGAAAGTGCGGAGCAGCCAAGACATCCTGAATCAACTCTTCGTTCCGCAATTGGGCCGAGGAAGCAACGGAAAAACGGTCGATCTCGGAGAAGAAGAAGAAGAAGAAAAGCAGCGCGAGACGCGACGATTGGAGAAGATTCATCGCGTGAAACGGCAGCTCGAAGAGGCAGCGAAGTCAACGCAGACGTCGAAACGAGAGCGATCGTCTCTCGCAGCGTCGACAGGGAATAGCGTGTTCGATTCGTTGATGAAGTCCGCGCAGTCCTCTCTGGAGACGGCGAAATCGGAAGTGCTGGCGAAGGAAAGCGCTTACGCAGAGAAAGAAAAACGCGATAGACTGCGAATTCTGAAGGAGAAGGAAGCGATGCTGGAGAGACAGGAGGAAGCGCGTCTGCAGCTGATGTCTGTTGAAGTGACTTGCTTTTATTGTTATAACTGCAAAATGTTTTTGGATACGCCGCTGCTGAGGGAGTTTTGCGAGAATCAGGGGCACTATGTGGAGAGAAAACGCGATGTGAAACGGATGTTTGAGTGCATGACGTGCCATAGAAGAAGGAGTTTTATTGGAACGACTCAACCAGGGAAGGCTTGTTTATGTGGGTCCGTGGTATGGAAGATGTGTCCTTTATTTAAGGAGAAAGAGATAGAATCAGAAAAGCTGAAGATAACCATTGATAATTCACATATTCTATATTCGCATGCCGTAGTTCCTAAAGATGATCTGTTTTCTGTTTGTTTGCATAGTAATGTAAAAGACATACTCAGTTCTATGGAATTGAAACTATTTGAAATACAAATAGAAACGAATTATTATAGAAAATAGGATTGAAGTATAGTTATCGATATCAATATGATTATCAATATATTGATAATAGTTGGTTTTTTTGCAAATCCAACTATATTGACTTTCTCTTTACAATTCAGATCTATATCAGTTTAGTTTTAACATGAATTTACAAAGAAATGAGTATGTTCTTGGAATTGATCTCGGTACTACGAATACTTGTGCTGCAATTATGACTTCCAGAACTCCAGACCCAATAGTTATATCATATTCTGACAGTAGTCGTCTTTTAAAATCATGTGTTAAATACAGTAAACCATTTGATGTTGGTTCAGCTGCCTATAAACATCTTACTTACGGTTTACCTGGGGTTGTAAAGAATTCGAAAAGAATAATCGGTAAATACTATAGAGATAAAACTGTAGAAAGATGTATAAGAGAAAACCAATTTGGAGTAGAAATAAAAGAAGTAAAAGGAAAACCAGTTTTCGTGATTGATGATACAACTCTTGTTTCTCCTAGTGATGTATCTTCAGCAATAATAAGACGAGTTGTTGAAAAGGCTGATGAATTTGTAAAGAGAGCATATGGTGATGAAATGAAATGTTTAAAAATAGCAGTGACATTTCCTGCACATTTTGATAATAATCAACGTACTGCTACTCTATTGGCTGTAGAAAAAGCGGGAATTTCAAAAGAAAGACTGACAATGTTAAATGAGCCTTCTGCAGCTGCTTTCTATTATTGTAAATCGAACAAAATCGATAATCAAACGATTCTTGTATATGATTTAGGAGGTGGAACTTTCGATGTATCGATAGTAAGAGTTGAAGGAAATGATTATAAAGTATTGAAATATGCCGGTAATTCATTTTTGGGAGGTGCTGATATTGACTCTTTATTTGCTAAAATAATCGAAACGAAATATAAAGAAGAATATGATGTGCCCTTAATCGATACAAATAATGAAAGAATTCGTCGTCGTTATTATTTACGACTAAATGCAATCGCAGAAGATGCAAAAAAGCAGTTAAAAAATAGTAAAGTTGTTCATATTGATTTGAGTGTATTTGGAATACAAAGTTCAAGCAATAGTGGCCATAACTTACATTCTAAATCTAGCTCTGATTCTGATTCAAGTTCTGATTCTAGTTCTGATTCTAGCTCGGATTCTGATTCTGAAGAGGAATCAACTGTAGTAGTAACTCGTGAAGAATTGAATAACTGTATTAAAGAACTAGTCAATCAAACAATAGATACAGTTGAAAAATGTGTAAAAGATTGCAATATGAATGTTTCTGATATTGATCGAGTCGTAATGATTGGAGGATCGAGTCGACTAACAATGGTAAGAGATCGTTTAAGAAAACTATTTGGAGACGAAAAATTGAGTGGAGCTGTAAATCCTGATGAAGCTGTTGCTTGTGGAGCTTGTCTAAGTCTTGTTGAAAAACTACATTTAACAGATCGAATTGTATACAGTTTGGGTCAGAAATTGAGAGGTGGACTAGTTCAATGTCTAATTCCTCGTCAGACAGCTATTAAATTCACTAGTAAAGAAATTTCGACCCATCCTGCAAGCGATTATACACTAAAGAATTGTCTTAAATGTGCAATTTATCAAGGAAATGCAGACAAAGAAGGAGATACTAGTGAAACCACAGATCAGTGTGTATTGATAGAAGAATATAAACTAGAAGGATACGATTATGCACCAGCATCAGAAATAACGTTCCTCACAACCTTTACAATTGACGAGTGGGGAATTATTCATGTAATTGACAAATACAAAGAAAAGAACAAAGTGTTAGTAGATAAAATGTTCCGTTGGGAAGAACCAATAGAAACCAATTGTAATACTAACCAAGTAATTCTTCAACGGGTTTTGAAGTAACAATTTACAAATGATCATACTATTTGTTTGAATTAATATCGAAATGAAATGAAACAAAGAGAAATGAAGTGATATGTGTTGAATTGAAGTAAAACAAATATACAATATAAAAATCATTCATCAATATTATCCAATTTAATATATTACGATTATTATAATACTATACTCCAACTGAAACAAAGCATAAGAGTTTAGAACATTACATATATAAATATGTGTATTTGTATATCTATATCATTTCTATGGAATTGAAACTATTTGAAATACAAATAGAAACGAATTATTATAGAAAATAGGATTGAAGTATAGTTATCGATATCAATATGATTATCAATATATTGATAATAGTTGGTTTTTTTGCAAATCCAACTATATTGACTTTCTCTTTACAATTCAGATCTATATCAGTTTAGTTTTAACATGAATTTACAAAGAAATGAGTATGTTCTTGGAATTGATCTCGGTACTACGAATACTTGTGCTGCAATTATGACTTCCAGAACTCCAGACCCGATAGTTATATCATATTCTGACAGTAGTCGTCTTTTAAAATCATGTGTTAAATACAGTAAACCATTTGATGTTGGTTCAGCTGCCTATAAACATCTTACTTACGGTTTACCTGGGGTTGTAAAGAATTCGAAAAGAATAATCGGAAGGTATTATAAAGATGAAGTTGTGCAGAAATGTGTAAAGGATCATCTATGTGGAGCAGAAATAAAAGAAGTAAAAGGAAAACCAGTTTTCGTGATTGATGATACAACTCTTGTTTCTCCTAGTGATGTATCTTCAGCAATAATAAGACGAGTTGTTGAAAAGGCTGATGAATTTGTAAAGAGAGCATATGGTGATGAAATGAAATGTTTAAAAATAGCAGTGACATTTCCTGCACATTTTGATAATAATCAACGTACTGCTACTCTATTGGCTGTAGAAAAAGCGGGAATTTCAAAAGAAAGACTGACAATGTTAAATGAGCCTTCTGCAGCTGCTTTCTATTATTGTAAATCGAACAAAATCGATAATCAAACGATTCTTGTATATGATTTAGGAGGTGGAACTTTCGATGTATCGATAGTAAGAGTTGAAGGAAATGATTATAAAGTATTGAAATATGCCGGTAATTCATTTTTGGGAGGTGCTGATATTGACTCTTTATTTGCTAAAATAATCGAAACGAAATATAAAGAAGAATATGATGTGCCCTTAATCGATACAAATAATGAAAGAATTCGTCGTCGTTATTATTTACGACTAAATGCAATCGCAGAACAAACAAAAATCCAATTATCAAACTTTGAAACTGTTGATGCTGATTTGAGTGTATTTGAAATACAAAACAAAAATGATTCTGAAGAAGAAGAAGAAGAAGAAGAAGAAGAAGAAATCATGTTAGACGTAACTCGTGAAGAATTGAATAACTGTATTAAAGAACTAGTTAATCAAACAATAGATACAGTTGAAAAATGTGTAAAAGATTGCAATATGAATGTTTCTGATATTGATCGAGTCGTAATGATTGGAGGATCGAGTCGACTAACAATGGTAAGAGATCGTTTAAGAAAACTATTTGGAGACGAAAAATTGAGTGGAGCTGTAAATCCTGATGAAGCTGTTGCTTGTGGAGCTTGTCTAAGTCTTGTTGAAAAACTACATTTAACAGATCGAATTGTATACAGTTTGGGTCAGAAATTGAGAGGTGGACTAGTTCAATGTCTAATTCCTCGTCAGACAGCTATTAAATTCACTAGTAAAGAAATTTCGACCCATCCTGCTGGTGATTTCACACGTTATATAAGGTGTGCAATTTATCAAGGAAATGCAGACAAAGAAGGAGATACTAGTGAAACCACAGATCAGTGTGTATTGATAGAAGAATATAAACTAGAAGGATACGATTATGCACCAGCATCAGAAATAACGTTCCTCACAACCTTTACAATTGACGAGTGGGGAATTATTCATGTAATTGACAAATACAAAGAAAAGAACAAAGTGTTAGTAGATAAAATGTTCCGTTGGGAAGAACCAATAGAAACCAATTGTAATACTAACCAAGTAATTCTTCAACGGGTTTTGAAGTAACAATTTACAAATGATCGTACTATTTGTTTGAATTAATATCGAAATGAAATGAAACAAAAAGAAATGAACTGATATTCTATTACAAATGAAAAGAGAAAAAGAAGCGCCCACCGGGGGGCTCGAACCCCCGACCACCAGGTTAAGAGCCTGGCGCTCTACCGACTGAGCTAGACGGGCTTGTTAATCTCCCTAAATTCTAACCTATGTAACTTAGATTTACTTTTTGCCACCTTTTTCAAATCTATTTTGGCAAATGAATGGAAATCTTAAAAAAATAAATGCAAATGATATTTCAAAGATTGCTAGCGGACAAGTTATTGTGGATCTGCGTTCTGTCATTAAGGAGTTAGTGGAGAATAGCTTGGTAAAATTGCATTTGGTTGATTATTTGTAGGATGCCGGCGCTACGAATATTGATATTCGTTTGGTGAATTATGGAGCTGACTTGATTGAAGTTGTAGATAATGGTAATTACTTTCTGGTTCCTATAAGCGTAGGTAGTGGTATACTTGAAAGCGATTTTTCTGGTCTTGCTTTAAAGTATTACACTTCAAAAATCCATTCTTTTGGTGATATTAGGAGTATTCATTCCTTTGGATTTCGGTATGCTTATTGTGTTTTGGCTTATACAGAGGCGAAGCATTAAGCTGTATTTGTGAGCTTAGTGGAGAGTTCGAGGTTGTTACCCGCCATTCTTCGTCTGATATCGGATGGAATATCCGATACAATCCTGATGGAAGCATTGCTGCAAAGCATGAACGCGCTTGTAACAAAGGAACGACCATCTCTGTCAAGAACCTGTTTGATCGGCTCCCGGTTCGCCGCCGAGCCTATCTTCATGCCTGCAAAACGCAGCTCTCGAACATGATTACATTGGTTCAGTCTTTTGCAATTAGTTCTTTGGGAGTTCGGTTTTCACTCACTCATCGTCCTTCTGCAGGAGCCTCCGTGACAACTATATTAAGTGTTCCGGTAGGGTCGTGCATTCAAGTTGACTGCAGGCGAATTATTCTGTGAAACAGCGTCTTCAGAACGTTTTTGGGTCTTCGGTCGTTTCCACTTTAACCGAATTCGGCTCTTCTTTTTTCTTGCCTCATCCTGTTTCGGAAGAAGCCTCTCTGTCAGAAAGCATGATTAACAGCAGTGGAAGTGAGGAAGCGAAGCCCACGGTATCACAGAATGATTCAGACCGATTGCAGTTCGAGTTTTCTTCTACCTGTGAATGGAATCATGTGCTAAAGCGTGATCCATCGAACGAGCTTTTCGGCTTCGTGACTGGCTTTGTGTCGCGCGTTGGGAGCAGCTCAAACAGCAGCGATCGAGGAAATCAAAACATGAGCTCTCGAGGAAACGCTGCGAAGCAGCTGATTTTTGTGAACGGACGCATGGTGGAGTATCGAAAAGTCCTTTTAGGATTCTCCCTCCAGCGTAGATCATGAACGCTTTGATCCAGGTTTGGAGGGACTATGAGCCGCGCACCCTCCCGGTCATGGTGATTAATTTTATTCTGCCTGGAGAGTACTTCGATATCAATCTCAGCACGGACAAACGGCAGATTTTGTTCGTTCGAGTCGTGATTGGAAACGGATGTAAGTGTAGGAAGACGTTCTAATTGCGGCGTTTCAAGAAATCTTTCGCTCGGCTGTCGATGCGAGCAACTCCAACCTCCAGATCTCTTCTGTTTCGACTGGATCCAAGCGAACTAAAGTGGGGGCGAGTGGCTCAAAGGACTCGAAAAAGCTTTCCAACTCTGCCAATGAGAAGCCTCTCTTTTCAGAAAGTAAGAAATCGTCATCTGCAAAGCAAAGCAATCAATCAAACGATCCTCCTTCATCATCATCATCATCATCATCTGCTACTACTACTACTGCTAGCGATTTGCTTTTGGGAAAACAGAAGGAGCTTTCTCGGACCAAACGGGAGCAAGAAGAGCCAGCACCTCGCTCTTCTGATGTGAAAAGAAAACGCGTGGAAGAACTACCGATACAACCGGAATCGCAGCTGTTTCCCCCTGCATCGTCTCGCTCTTCGCTCCCGGTCGTCGTCGATCGCTGTAAGAAATCAAAAAAGCGGCGGGATCCCCAACTCTCCGCCTCCCAATCGGTGTTACCGTTCGAATCGTCTTCTTCGCTTGCCGCCAAATCGTCATCTTCTTCCAAAACCGAATCGAATCCTCCTGTGAAAGCAGAAGATATCGAAGAAGGAACACTATTTCAAGACGCAGCTGACAAGCATTCCTCCACTCGAAAACCCTCTACTCTTTCCCCTCCGAGTTCTTCATTGAAATCGAAATCCCAAAAGCCGGCGGCTTCGCCTCTTCCATCTTCTGGCGCCGATTCTTCGCTTGATTCTTCGAAGAAGCAAGATTCGCTTCTCGCTGCCTCTTCTTCGAACTTCTCTCAGCATTCGACGATTTCACAAGCATCCATTCTACGCCAGCTTGATGCACTGCCTCGAGCAGCTGTTCAGTCCTCAACGTATTGGCTGACTCCCTTTTTGCAGTCCGAATTCGCCGGAGAAAACGATGCTCATTCGGAGAATGTGGAAGTCGAGCTGACTCGAATCCTCTGTAAAGTTTTCGTTGGAGTTGTTTGTTGAGTGTGCAGGATAGTTTTAACGACATGGAAGTGATTGGCCAGTTCAATAATAGCTTTATTCTTTGTCAGCTCGACAAGGATCTGTATATTTTAGACCAACATGCGTGTGATGAAAAGTCAAACTATGAGCATTTGATGAACGAAGTAGCGATCCATTCCCAGAAACTCATCAAGTTTCTTTTGCTTTGCTGCGATGTTTCATTAGGCCGATTCCGCTTGAACTCTCTCCCGACCAGGAATTCACAATCATCCACAACCAGGCCATCTTCAAACGCAATGGATTCGATATCTCCATTTCGGAATCGCAGGAGCTCGGCCAGCGTCTTCAACTTACCTCGCTCCCCGCATCGAAGAAATACACTTTCTCCGTCGAGGACTTTTTGGAATTGGTGGGAACAGTGATGGAAACCGGAGGAATGGCGCAGCGAACGCCGAAGCTCGCCAAGATTCTCGCCACGCGAGCTTGCCATCAATCCGTTCGAGCAGGAGATCCGCTCAACTATCCCAAAATGGTTTCAGTAGGACTGGGTTTCTGGATGATTAGCAGATTGTTCGTCGGTTAGCTGAACTCGATCGTCCTTGGTCTTGTCCCCATGGGTTCATTCCCTTCTCCTTCACTCATTTCTAGACGTCCCACACTTCGTCATCTCGTTTCGCTGCATCATCAATAGCATTGTTTGTAACAAACACTCACCATTGCAACTGAAAAACAACAACAACAACAACAACAACAACACGGAAAACAGTCACAATGATCGTGGCGTAGAGAGCCAAACTGGATTCTCACGCATGCTGAGGAAGCGTGGGAAGACTTGGGGTCGTTGCCTTGGGCTGCGTCGCAAGCACCAGAGTGTTCGGCTGCTGCGGTTTGTTCTCTGGAGGCTTTGCAAGCACCATGGCATTGGAAGGAGCCGACTGTGCAGAGGGCGCAGGCTTGTTGAACAGAACCATTTCCTGAGAGGTTTTGATGTCAGGCTTCTCCTGAACTACGGGAGCTGCGGTCATCTCTAGAGGGTCGATCTTCTTGCCTTCTATTCATCAAAAGAGAGAAGTGGAAATACGGTTTTCAGCTAGGATGTCGCTGTAGAAGCGGATATGGAAATAGGCGTAAAGGAGATAGAAGAAGATGTCGAAAATAGCAAGGGAAGAAATCAAACGGAAGAAAACGATTGCTATCGTGCCACCTCCAACAATCTCGATCAAGTTCGATTGGGAACCATACAAAACAGAGACTACAATAAGATTCATGCATGTCATCATCGATAACCCAATGTAATAACCAATATACAGTTCATTCTTCTTTAACTAAAAGTTACCAAAGAAAAACTCAACCCACAAGCTTGGACTTCGAAACCTTGTAGACATACATAAACACCATTAAGCAAATCACATAAATGTCGTAAATCTTCATAACAACTCCCATTGCACTCTTAAAGGGAGAAGTGAATAGAGCACATATGCTGCAAATAACGAACAATACCGCAACAACCTATCGATAAACACATTGCACTGTTGCTTACTTGGGCACAGTTCCACAAGAATTCGGCTACTTTAGACTTCTTTGCGTAATAATTTGCGATTCTGCCCTTTACAGACATGGTACAAAAAAAGGTTTGTAAAAACGTTTTTGGGTAGAGATGCTATTTGCTGCGTGAGTGGTGTGGATAGAAGAAAAGCGGATTGGATTGGTTGGAATAAACAAGGTACGAAGGTATTTCGGTACTAACAGTTGATTCTCTTTTCGGTTCGTTGCTGCTCTGCTCAACGGAAGCGGTGTTTTCCACCATTGGATTGGCCATTTCGATTGTTTGCTGTGGCTGAGTAGCAGCATAGCGTAGCCGCTCTTCTTCTCTTGCTTTTCTGGCCTGCGCATCGGTGTACATGCGGATTCCCCACCAGATACTCCAAGCCCATCCGATGATGATCCAGGCAAGACCAAATTGTAAGATTCCGGTAATACACACGGCCCAGTCCCAACCATGATATTCGACATCTGTCCAGCTCGCAATTACTGTTGCAAGACCTAGTATTTATCGGATCAGCTCTACCCAACCAGGTATGACACAGTTCACTACAAGATAGGCTAAGGAAGTGCTTGTAGCAATTTGAGGGATTCTCAAGAAATCTCCTTGTCGGTGTCGATTTTCTTGTGGTTCAGGATTTGGATGTTCTTGCTGAGCCGGTACTGGCTGTTCTGTTGACTGGGAAGAGTCAACAGGTGGAGGAACTTCATCTGTTGTTTGCTCTTGTATCGAGTTTTGCTGTTCTTGTGTTATGTTATCGTTTGACAGTGACATGACCAGTAATAATTGTGAGCATTTTAAAAGGATCCCTCTTTCAAGGATATTCGCCGAAGGGATAATGTTTAAAACAAACGATTCAATGCTAGCAACTCATTAACTTTGCTGAATGGTAGCAATCGTACCAAGGGTTCCAAATACCACACCCAGAATTAGAATACACAAGCTTAAAGCTACTAAAAGGACGTTATTGGTCTTTTTCGCCTTCACCAAATATCGCAGATACATAATCGAAGGCAAAATCATCATGATCGTCGACGATCCAATCGCGCCCGTTATTCCAAGCACGGTTCCCAAATTCTTCGCCACGATTGCAACGATGGTATCGATAGAGATGATCACAATGGTGACAATCGCCACTTTCCAATACTCTACTCAATCAGTCATTAAAGCCACGTTTACTGTGCATCGAGTCGCCCATCAGATCCAAAATCATATGACGAAGGGGATGAGACTAGGCATAATCGCTTCCATTCTTTCTTACAAAGAGGGGAATGCTGAAGCACATCGTTATCACTATCGCTACTCGACAGATCAGAATCAAAACATCGTGGATCGGGAAGGAATCCAACACATTGTTCGTCTAATCCTCATTGAATTCGCAGATTCCCACAATATAACCGCAGAAAGAGTAGTAACCCGTCACTCCAGCTATCACATAGATAACCGAAATCGATAGGAACGACCACGCAAGCACCGTAACCACGTTCTTCCTTGTGGGTTCTTTCATTTCAGCCAGAACAGGGACGAACTGCACTTGGCAAGTCGATGAAAAGCAGAAGAATGGGAGAGAAAAGAAAGCTCCCGCAGCAAAAGCAATCGCGGTAAACTACAATCAACGACAACAATCGTGGAAACATGATGCGATGAGCTTTCGACCGTACAATGCTCGCAACCTTCCAAGCAGGCCGTGAGGTTGGCATACTCGACTAGGGAGGGATCGTTCTGAATCACACACTGCTGAAGTGTGGAGCAAGCGAACGTGGCTTGATCGGCTAAAGCGCACGCTCCCGTTGTAGGAATTCGAATGATGAGCTAATCTCAAATGGATGGAATGTTGATACAGCAATGAGTAGATATGCGATGGCTCCTATGGAGACGAAGGATGTGAAGCGAAGATGATCCATCCGAGGGAGAAGGGCAGGAGGGATGATAAACAGAAGAGTAATGATTGATAGAAGACTCGATCGATCGACAAACCAGTACATCCATGAACTCGGCTTCACAGACCCCAGGAATTTTTCCATGACGTAGTGAGATTCATCTGCAGCAACGATGGTATAGCTGAAAAGTGCGCCGAGGCCGTAGAGAACTTGGATGCAGTTGATAATGTATTCCGCTGGTTTCCCGAAAAGCTCTCTTCCCATTCCTGCGTATGTTGTACTACCTGTAAAGTAGTAAATTTCAGAGAGAAGGTAGCAGGTAACTGCGGAAAGGACTAGATAACAACTTGACATTTTGTCTTACATGCGAACAATACTAGGAACAAAACTCCTAGAAGCCAACCAAATTTTGAGACAGACATGGGTAATACCAGAATACCTGACCCTGAAAATAAAGAACAGAAATGACAACTACCTAAAATACCATTTATTAGGTTATAAATTGATGAGCTAATGCTGGCAGTACGTATACTTTGCTCATCTGAATCGTCTTTTCCACTCTTGATTAAAGTCTCTCTTAGTTGCACCTTTTCTTCCATTCTTTGTGGTTCTATTAACAATAAGAAATTTATTGATGACACAAAAATTTGAGAAAACGGTTTATAGAACTTGCATAAGAAATTTCCGAGAAATTTATTGGGGTTAGTGATACAAACACGCAATTTGAAAGATTACTATGTTTTTCGGAGATGATTCACCACATCTACCCAATTATAACCTCGAGGCAACTCTCCTGGCCGTGTCCAGTTGTTTTCTTCATGTTTCTTCTGCGCTTTGGTCTTTTGTTGGGGTTTTTCGGGTTTCGTTCCCTTTCTATCCTCTTCCTTCGGAGTTGAGGCACCTGCATCTTCCATCACATTTTCCGCGGAGGTAGCCTATGTGTAATGACTAATCTACAAAAATCGAACAGACTGTAGCCGATTCAGCCAGTTTTCGTGGTGATCAGTCAGTAATTGGGTAAGCGTAGACGAAAGTATGAATGTCATTGCCATTCCCATATATTGCTCACAGACTTCGATGAGTTGATTAAGTAAATACTCCTTCTCGTCTGCCTTTATATCTATTGATATGATGCTCATCTCAGGTTTCTCATTTGGATAATCTAGGATAAAAATAATCAAAGATCCACACTTTCTCCCCAATTTAGATCTAGAAGTGCTTTTAATGGAGACCCTCCATTTTTCATGGTCGATGATACACGAATTTGAATATGCACAGGGTCCTTGCCTACATTGCCATCAAGTGTTCAGAATTCTACTTAATACAATTAGTTCCTCCTCAGAATATATGAACGGGAGCGATTCCAACTCCTCTTCTTGCTCACTCGAGATCATTAGAATTTGTGTGTAACAAAAAGGAAGCAAACCGAAAAACCAAAAGAATTAAAAGGTGATGAACGAAAAAGGATCAGGCTTTTCCTCTTCCTTCGGCTTCTCCTCTTCCTCTTCCTCTTCCACTTCCACTTCTTCCACTTCTTCTTCCTCCTCTTCTTCAGCCTCTTCCTTTTCTTCCTTCGGCTTCTCCGGTTCCATTACAGCAGGCATCGTGATATCATTCAGGAAGCTCAAGTCATCCGCTGTGGTTGTGGTCGTCGATTCTGCAGCATCGCCTCCCATTCCCAGGAAATCATCCAGGCTTTCCTCTTCCTTCTTCGGCGCGGCCTTCTTAGCCACAGGCTTCTTAGCCACAGGCTTTTTAGCCACCGGTTTCTTAGCTACCGGTTTCTTGGCCACAGGCTTCTTGGCAGGAGCCGAAGCAGGCTTTTCCTCCGTCATTCCAAAGTCCAAATCGGCAAGATCATCAGCAGCATTGCTCTTGGGTTCCTCTTCCTCTTTGGGTTCTTCGTCGCCCATACCGAAATCGAAGTCATCGAATGTCTCTTCTTTCTTCGGTGCGGCCTTCTTAGCCACAGGCTTCTTGGCTACCGGTTTCTTAGCGACTGGTTTCTTAGCTACCGGTTTCTTGGCCACAGGCTTCTCTTCTTCTTCTTCCTTGGGCTTTTCCTCAGTCATTCCAAAGTCCAAATCGGCAAGGTCGTCAGCAGCATTACTCTTGGGCTCTTCCTCTTTCGGTTCTTCATCGCCCATACCGAAATCGAAGTCATCGAATGTCTCTTCTTTCTTCGGCGCGGCCTTCTTCACAGCAGGCTTTTTAGCCACAGGTTTTTTGGCTACCGGTTTCTTGGCCACAGGCTTCTCTTCTTCTTCCTTCGGTTCTTCACCCATTCCAAAGTCCAAATCGGCAAGGTCGTCAGCAGCGTTGCTCTTGGGTTCCTCCTCTTTCGGTTCTTCATCTCCCATACCCAAGAAATCGTCAATTTCGTCGACCGGCTCCTCCTTCTTTGGCACCTTCTTCACTACCTTCTTCACCACCTTCTTCACAGCAGGCTTCTTAGCGACTGGTTTCTTGGCCACAGGCTTCTCTTCTTCTTCCTTCGGTTCTTCACCCATTCCAAAGTCCAAATCGGCAAGATCGTCAGCAGCATTACTCTTGGGTTCCTCCTCTTTCGGTTCTTCGTCGCCCATACCCAAGAAATCATCCATTTCATCGACCGGCTCCTCCTTCTTTGGAACCTTCTTCACCACCTTCTTCACTACCTTCTTCACAGTCTTCTTAGGAGCCGTAGTGCTATCTCCAGCAGCCTTCTTCACAGGGGCCTTCTTGGCTACCTTGGGAGAATCCTCAGTAGGGACGAAATCGCTGGAATATCCTCCCTCCTTCTTGAAGGCGCTCATCATCTTGGATTCCTTGATTTTCTCTCCCGTTTCCTAGTGATTAGCGCAAGTCAACGAAAATACGCTCAATTTGGACATAACCCCCTTTCCCATGGATTGGGCGCTCTCTCCCACCTTCTTAGTCACTCTAAAATGACAAAGGACGACAGGCAAAATACTCTCCTGCTTTTGAGATCATTTCCTTAAATGAGAATCCAGTGTGTCCTCGAGAACTGCCCTGAGCATCACCACCTTGTGCATGATCGTTTTTCTTTCCAAACATTGTTTCTGCTTATCTAAGGCCTTACGAGCAGATTCAGGTTTTTACAGTAAAAATATCTATTAACAGCGCAATGAACCTGGTAATAATGAGAAAATCCAGAAATGCACTTGGGAATGACAAAATTTCGGCCAATATTGAACAAACAATAACGCACTCTAAACTTTATCAATTTCTTGGAATTGGATAATAATATCATCCCCCTGGTTTGAATTTCCTAGTAGCACATTTCTCTTCAGCACGATCGTTTGAACTAACCCCACAGCGAAATCATCCGATTCCACCAACACATGGTTTCCATACCAAAAAACAGAAGGATATTCCACCTTCTGCGTCTCAACCGAGAACACAGCTCGTACCGCCTCCCCTCTCCGCTCCCAATCTTGCTCCATGTACTCTTCAAGTAGTCCGAACGTGTCAATCACGATAAACCTCGCTATTTCCTCCTTCCCATCGAAATCGATCGCAGTCCGAACCGATACCGGCGTGCTCGTGGAGGAACTGCTCCGCAATCGCCAGTTCCCTTGCGAATCTTTTTCGAATTGGCCTTCTTCGATGATGACGCTGGTTTCGGTTCGGATTCCCAGCGAAAAATCGCGAACGATGCAGGGAAATTCGACGGGCTGGTCGAAGTGGAGGGTGAAGATGCAGAGAAGGGGGATGGAGGGCGCGTTGTCCGCATGATTCACTTGAACCACGCTGACGAATTGGGTGGAATTGAGCGGATGGGCTTCGTCTGAATCGACGGGAATTGATTCCATGAGTAGAAGCGACGAAAAGGAAAGCGGACGAATGATGAGAGAGGATCTATCTTTGAGACCAAAACAAAGGAGAAACGTGGAACACGAGAACCGACAGAACAAATGATCCTCGATCTCCACTTTCACGGATCCCGTTTCGCTCAGAATGACTTCCAATTGACTTTGCGTCGGCAAAAACCGAAATGGCGGCATCGGGTTGACCAATCCCTTCAGTTTTTGCTTCGCCGCCACGCGATTCAGCCGCGTTTCCTCCGATTCGCCCCAGCTCCGCGGCTTCTGCACGATTTTCAGAAGCGAAATCAGCTGAGCGATCGACTCCACTTCCACCTGCACCGCGTGTCCGTTCCCGTCCAGTTGGACGTTCACACTCATTCTCTTCCCTGATCCTGATTCTGATCCAGATCCAGATCCAGACTCAAACGCAGACTCCTCCTCGGATCCGAGAGTATCCAGCTGACTGCCTTGCCCTGCACTAGCTGTTGTTGGTTGTGTAAGTGGGACTGGAGGGTAGAGTTCGATCCCTTGATGTCGGCGATGCGTGTAAAACACGAGGTCCTCGAACACCCAGGGGCGCTGCAGCAGCTCCTGCGGCCGCACGGCGGGACATTGACGCGGAACGAGCGGCTTGCGACACTCCGAGGGGTTGAGCTGGAAGACGCAGCGAGGCGGCTGCACGACCGAGCGAGCCTGGTGAAAGAAATCGCTGGCGAAGGAGGCGGAGCAGCGAAGATCCCAGTGCGGATCGGTGGATTCTTCGTAGAGCGAATTGACCTCTTGGATGTACTACAGCGTGAGGAGGACGGAGCCAGGAAGAACGTTGCGGAGATGTGCGTTGGATTGGATGCGGGAGATGTTGAAGAGATGGCCTTCGGTGGTGAAGAGCCATTCGCGTCCGCGGTATTGCGAGTCCTACATGCAAAAAGAAGCGAAGAAAGACGTTGGAATAGAGCAGATAGAGGTATTTGAGCGTTTCGGAGAGCATGAAGGAAGGCATTTCGCCGATCACTTCCCCCGTAATGATGTTTTTGATCGAAGCCCATCCGCACTACGCATGAGTTTGCTCTCCAATCCTCACTTTGGTGCGCGTATTGTTCAGCTGATGCAGAATCATCTTTCCCCAATGCACCATTTCCCCCGTTCCAAACACCGTATCGTGGTACATCATGCTCTCGATCACCTCCGGTCGAAGCGGGTAGCTAAGCGTTGAAAGCAACACACAATGCAACTCTTCGCCGCCATGTACTGCTTCGCGGGCTGCGATATTGAAATACTCCGGAATATACCCGAAATAATCCCACACATACAGAAAACGCATCAGCGTCGTTTTTCCTCCCACATAATCTCCCGCTAAAAACTGAACGCCCGGCCAGAAAGCCGAAAGCGAATAGCTGAAAGGAACCAGCGTTTCCGGCTTATTGTAGTCCGAGACTTCATGCCAAAAGACTTTATCCTGCAATTCAACAACCATCCGATGATCAACCTTGTTGTAAACGTCGATCGCGTAATACAGCGTCATAAACATGTCATAGAGCTGGTTGTCATTGAGCAGAATGTACCCTTTCAAGAGATATTCGTAGTAACTATCGCTGTTTCGACCAAAGCACGAGCTCAACTCCGTCCATTTCTCCTTCCGAATATCCAAGTGCTTTCCGACCATATCGTACGGCGAGCGCAATTCATACAGACGGACCATGCATCGCCGCGCCGTATCGATGTACTTCAAATCATCCGTCAGCGAAGAAAGCGCGGCAAACTCGAGTAAACACGAGCCGATTCCCGCCAGACTGGAGATCTGCGTCTCCTACACTTCAAAAAGCCGCGTGAGTTCGACGTTCCACAGCACGCCGAGCCGCAAATTCACCGATCCGAACGCCAAACCGTTCGGTTGAAACGCTTTGAGCAATCGATCGCCAAGATCCCGAGCGAGATCGAGCAGATGATTGGAGTAGTGAAACGGTTTGGCTTCGGGGTGGCGCTGATTAAACGCCTCGATGATGGTTTCATTGTCTGTAAGCAGCATATGAGCGGAGAGAAGTCCTCCTAAGGTTCGAATGGTGGTTTCAAAGACGCTGACGTTCTCATCGAAGTCGAAATCGGGAAGGGCTCTATGTTTGCAATGCTCGACAAAGCGAAAACTCCAGTCGAATCACCGCATCGATGAACAAATCGTCGAATTCGAGAACGTGCAGCGTGTCCAGCGTGTCAATCAACGTCATATAGGGAATGTCTGATTGTGGAAAGCGAGCCTTGCCGCACGCAAGCGGATCGAGCTGTGGAGCTGGGTATGCGTAGGTCATATAGTTCGAATATCCGTGGAGGAACATCTCTTTGATTTCGTCTCGGATTTGATTTCGCTCATTCTATTTCAGAGTGAAGAGGTGTCGAGTGTACATTGCTAAGCGGCCGGTAAGGCACATCGTATCGATAGTTCTGTTGAGGTGTAAAAGAACGAATGGATTCCTCCGAAAAAAAGTCACACATGAAAAAGGAACAAACATTCAAGTTCCGCAGCGAGATCCCGTCTGGGGTGGACGATTTCTCGCTGAAAGAGTCGATAAAGTTGAGCTCATCGAAAGGAGCTTTCATATACACCATGTACTTGTCTAACGACACGACGGTACAGCAACCATAGTTAACCTGGGTGTCAGTAGCCATGATATCAAATTATACGCGGATTAGAGAAGGAGGACCAGACTTCACGCCACTCTCTTGATACAATTCAGAATGATAATAGTTCCCATATGAAATATTTTTAGAATAATCCATATCGAGACCATAGAGCAATGTCTTATAAGTGGGAGAGAACGTGGGAACAAAAACAGTAGAGGAGCTCCAAGGAAACCGCCCTTTAATTGTAATATTTCTGTTTGGATAAAAGTTAATTGTCTATGTGGTTATTTAGTCATACTGACATACACTCCCACTCTCTTCGGAATAGAATGTCAACAAATGATCCTCCAAATTTACCAGATTTGCCCGTCTATAATAAAAGCCAAATTCAGAGCGTACCTATGTGAGAAAACCGATTCAGCTGATCCAACTACAAAAATGCAATAAACGATGACTGCTATTGCTGCATGCATCATAGCAGAACCCCGATCGATCAATAAATCAATTGTGAATTTCTCAAACACAACAAATCAAAACCAAAAAACATTTCATAACTCTCTGCAATCTCAAACCTTGTCAAATACCGGCATTTCTTCAGGACGCTACCCATTACATCCCCATCCCCAACTCAACCTTCATTTTAGGCATTTCTTTAAAATAGGGATGATTCAACGCATCCTCTGCACTGATTCTCTTCTTCGGATCGAACTCCAGCAGCTGATACATCAAATCCACGCCGTTATTCGTCAAATATCGCATTCCCTATTCATAAAAAAAGCCCCGATTTTCGCCTCCTACCACCAGCGGCGCCGCTGGAATGAGTTCTCGAAGTCTGGGATAGCACTCCTTGCAGTGATTGAACGCCCCGTGATACGGCGAATTCTCGAAAATGGAGCAATCGTCCTATTCATCACTCCTCTCCCCGATTCCAACGCCCGGAAAGCCCAATAACCGAAAGAGCTTCGCGAGCACATCGAACTCGCAGTCGCCCTGCTTGCACTGCACGATGGGCTCGCGCATAACGAACTCGTAGAAGATGCATCTCATCGAGAAAGGACCCAACACACTACCCGACGCTCCACAGATCGATTTTTTCGTCGTAGAGGATGCTGCGCGACGGAGGATAGCGAGCGTCTTCCTGCGGGTTGGCGAGGAGCTCCGGCGCTCGGTACACCAGCGTGCAGACGTGCTGCGTGTAGCGCTCCAACGGCCGACTGAACCGCCTGGCCATTCCGAAATCGCAGAGTTTGAGCACGCCGTTCTTGTAGAGGAGGTTGCTGGGCTTGATATCGCGATGGAAATACCATTTCTGGTGCAGATACGCGACGCCGGAGAGGAGCTGGTGGAGCAATGTCTTGACCTCGCTGGCGGTCAGGTCGGTTTTGATGGTTCGGATGGTCTTGCCGAGCTCGAAAGGCTCGAAGTCCATCACCATATACACTTCGTTGAGCGTGTCGCCGATGACCATTTCCTGCACGTGGAGGATGTTTGGATGGTGCAGGTCTTGCAGGACTTGCAGTTAGGAAAGAATCAATGGGTTACTGTTGATTTCGCGGAGGGCAGTGACGGGAAAGGCTTCTTGGAGAACCACGTTCTCGCTGAATTTGATCTAGAGAGCAGGCCGGAAAGAGGAGTACGCGCTTCAGAGCCACGATTTCTCCAGTTTCGATGTTTTGAGCCTTGTATACGATTCCGTAAGAACCCTCGTTGAGCCGAGCGATCTTTCGGTATTTTCCGACAGAGCGACACATTTGGATTTGCTCTGGAATTTTTGTCGAGCGCAAATCTTCTTCCGTAGCGTCGGTCTCAGGAGGTAATTCGACAAGGGGGTGAGAGGCGTAATAATCGTCCACAGGAGCACTGTTTTCAGGCAAAGATACGGTGACTTCTGGAAGTTGCGGAGCGATAGGCTTCGCTTTTTCTACATATCATCCCTCTCACGTCACCAAACTTGAACTCTTTGCTTTCTTTCTTTTCCTCTCCTCCTCTGAATCACTCTCTTCGTCCCATCTTCCTCGCTTTATCTCTTTTTCTGCTTTCACAGGTTTTTCAGGCTCTTTCTTCAATATCTGCTCGTCACTCCTTTTATTCTGAATTTCCTTGACAACAGAGTGGAGTTCATCTAATACCTATAGATCACGGTCCCGTTGCCAGAGCACATACATAGTTTTTCTCAGTGAATTCCATTCAGATACAAATCGATGGAAATCCTGTAGAGCAAAAAAATATGTAATTCCAGAATTAGAGCCTATTATCCCATTTCAAACTATGAATTGCTTTAGAGTACTATTCATTGTGAAGCTTCTATTTGTTGCTATTTTCAGTTTTGTATCGTTCCGAGGGACTCCTTACACAATCGAAACTGAATTTCTTGTTGATGGATATTGGTTGTTTTTATAAGTAGATCCCCGTAAACCAATCTGAAACAATTTGCATTAATGAGGAAAGGGACTTCTTCCACTTGATGGAGGATAAACTCGTCACTATCGTGTCTTCCCATAAAAACTTTTCTTTTCTTCCTACTGAAGAAAGCGACGTCTTCCTCTCCGAACTGCTTCTTTTGAAGAACAAAGGACTTCTGTACTAATGCTATTTTTCTCTAATCGTAGGGAAGAAGCGAATATTTTTGGCCACCTTGTTGATTCGAAAAGAGAAGAGGACGTAGTGAGTCTCGTGATCACTCCCTACAATCACCGTTGCTTCAACGTGACCAACCAGAGCGAGGAGAGCGACCTGAACTTAGACATGCACATTAAGACGCGTACACCATCTGCCAGGTTTACAGCTAGAAATCTGTCTTCCCACTTTTCTCTTTTACTCCTTCGAGATCCTCCTCTTCCTCTTCTTCCCACAGTTCCACTCTCTCAATCCTCTTCCCACATAGTCTCGCTATCAAGCAGACGGTTTTCGTCCTTCTCTTCCTCCTCCTCTTCCTCCTGGTCAATCTGAGTCATCCTTTGCTTCCTGCGCGGATCTTGACTTCCTCCTTCTACACAAACATTCTCCTTCCTTACGTGGTTATTCCGCTCAATCGGATTGGCTGCTTTATCCTCCTTCTTCTCTATCATTCCTCCATTAGGTTCCCATCATCTATTTCTTGTTTTGTAGAGGCGTCCACTTCATCCAGGCGCTTGCAAATCGGGTAATGCCTCTGCTTCAAGTGAGATGGAGCGCGATGCAAGCCCATCTGTCGAAGTGGAGAGAAAGCGTGAAATCTATGATTGCTTCTATATGGAGCGTGATTTCCAGCAGAGATACTGCGCTTCTGTACGGAAAATTATACTGGAAGGAGTAGGCATTCCATGGCGTTGCTGATTAGAATTCTGGGAACGATTACACTGGTTTTACTTACTTTTTACATTTTCTTCCCCTATCAAATTAACGTCACCGTAGAGATCAGAATGATGTGCTGCATACTGCTTTTTGGTGCAGTAGCGTATGTCAAATGGTACTATGCGCTTGCTGTTGGAGTTTGCACAGCGCTCGTATCTGCTGTCTTTTATTGTGCCGAAAACTACTGCGTATTTGGCAACTGGTTTTCGAAACAATAGGGTGTCACAAACTATTAATGTCGTACATTCTTCCATTCTTCTTGTTTGTTGTTGTAATCATTGTTAACCCATTTCCGCGGTTCTCAGGATTTTAACCTGATTTCACAGTTTGTTTTAGATGCAGTCAACTACATTTGGAATTGATTTGGGAACTACTAATTCAGTAGCGGCATTATGGAAGAATGGAAGTATTGATGTGTTAGCATACAAGACTAGTTCCCATCTGTTTCCTTCTTGTGTTGCCTATAATAAAAGGAATCCTGCCCAAAGTATTGTTGGGTATTTTGCTAAACTAAAAATGCAAACCACAAGCTATGGTGTTTTCCACAGTTGTAAACGCCTTCTCGGAGTTACTTATGACAATCCCATCGTTGCAAAAATGAATGGATCTGTGGGATATGATATACGAAATGGAGCTGATGACAAACTTGTCGTTGCTATTCAAACTGAAACTGGGGATGTAGTAAAACATCCTGAAGATGTCGGTGCTATGATTCTATCAGCAATCGCCGAAGAAATGAAAGCTTATGCTGGATATGATATACGAAATGCTGTAATAACAGTTCCTGCATATTTCGATCAATATAAACGAGATTTGACAAAATTGGCGGGTCAAATCGCGGGTTTGAATGTTCGTGCTATTATTTCCGAGCCTCAAGCCGCTGCTTATGCTTATCTTGATTTTACTACTGAAGAGCGAAATTCGACTTTTATGATATATGATTTAGGCGGTGGTACCTTTGATGTAACAATTTTAAGATGTGAAGGAGATCAATTCACAGAACTAGCTACTGATGGTGATATATTTTGTGGTGGTCTTGATTTTGACAAATTGATATTGGATGAAATGAAGCAGAGATACATGGAACAAATTGGGGAACCAATTCCTGCGAAGTTAATAGCCAAAGTTCTCTCAAATTGCGAGCAAGCCAAAATTGCTTTACTAACCTCTCCTCACACTGAGATAGAAATTACAGATGATGTGTATCTCAGTTTTACATTGGCTGAAATGAATCGATTAATCGGCCCTAAACTTGCAGACACTTTGAAGATTTGTGATCGAGCAATTGCAGCAGCTAAAATCACTGTTTCAGATATTGATAGTATCATTCTTGTTGGTGGTTCAACTCGACTTCTGTTAGTTGAAGAATTACTGAAAGGCCATTTTCCTACGATTCCTATAAAAGGAAACATCAGTCCTGATGAATGTGTGGCCTATGGTGCAGCTAAATATGGACATAATCTCGATTTACATCCAGATGTAAATGTGACTGTACCTGAACCTGCATTTGAAGCTGTTAAACTTGATCCTGTACCTGTTCCGGTATATCCTGATTTGCCTGTAGTTGTTGAGCATATTCCAACTCCACAGCCTAGTATGGAACAACCCGTACGGGTTATTGATATTGCATGCGTGGAATACTTTGCTCGATGCCCTAGCGACATTGGAATTGCAAATAGAGGACGAATGGAAGTTCTCATTCCACGAAACACTGCTTTACCTAAGTTGGAGAAAAAATTGATTCGTTTGAGGAATGTCGAACGTCCACTAACTCGCATTCCACTTTATCAAGGCAATGATCCGATCGCTAAGAATAATGGAATGCTGAAGAGACTTGAAGTGAAATTGGAACTACACAAAGACGCTTATTTACTCATAATATTGGATATGCAGAAGGATGGATCTTTATCTGTGCGAGTAGTGGACTTTAATACTGGAGATAGTTACGAATACAAAGATATTCAATCAGCAATGTCACAAGAAGAATTGAGAGGTCGTCAAGATGCAGTTGAGCAAGAAAGAAGAACTAGAAATTATGTAAGTGAAATGGATAACATTCGTAATCGACTACAAAAGTGGGGCTTCTCGCTGATAGAAGCAGGAGCCAGCGAAGAAGACCAAAAGATCATTAACCAAAGAATAAGGCAGTTGTCGCGATTAGAAAGTTTTGAATTAACCGAAGATTTAACAGACGAAATCTATAATATTTTTGCTGAAATCAGCGAGAGGGTAATGGAATAAATAGATAAACAATCAATTTGTTTGTATATAATAAAGGAGGTGGAGGACGAGTGGGATAACTAAATTGAGGTTGATTTGTCAAACTAGTATCTTGTTGTTTTCGAAGTTGAATGAATCTATTTCTGTAAGAATCAAGATTGAAACGGGAAGTATCGGAGAATGTAATACATAATGAATGATATTGTCCGATAGAACAGACCCCAATGATGTACAGACAGATAGAGCAGTGTAGCTTCGTTCCAGATAATTTGTTAAATGCAAATGTACAAGATCGATAGCTTAAAAAACAAACAAGTAATCCTTATCGAAAAACAAATGCAAATTAAAAATGGAAATATGAATTTCTGTGATCCAGAGTATATTTAAGTGAAAGGAATGATAATTGTTGGCCAATTTCATATCAGTATAAAACTAGATCAAAGGGATCTCGTTTCTCAACATTGTCCTATTGCTTTTTTCTAAAGAGTATACCCGGTTATGTCAACTTTGACTAAACTTATGAGTACTCTTAATGTTAATATTGTCATTTCATGCAGTAATCTCGGTCAGTAGCTCTCTATTATCTATTGTTTTATGTTGTATCATCATCAAATGCACCATTTGAGATATAGTCCTATATGTACAGTACTATCCACTTTTATTATTCTTATAATTTCTACCGATATTTGTATATCTGCAAATTGGTATCCTTATTATTATTATTATTTATTGAGCCTCTCTGTATGATCAACAGTAAAATGTCCAACACCCAATGTAGGTTTCAACCAATGAAGTGATGATAAAGAAAAACACTTTATCTGTGATGACGAAAAGTAGTTCTCGTAAATACAATATGGACTAACACCATACGCGTAACCAGACTAGTAATCTTCCTCTGTGGCCTATATAAAGTGTAAGGTACTTAATCTCAACTTTATTCTTATATATTTGAAACGATAGAATAATGATTCCTGTGTTTAGGACGAATAATACTGTCCCATTAAAACAAAAAGATGAATAAGAGCATCGTTGTCCAAATAGTTCGATTAGTCATAGTAACAGATAAGAAGAGTATTTTGTCTAGAGCGTTATCATCAGTCCTAGAAAAGTCTCTTGATACTATATGATTGACAAATAAACCCATTATGACTAGAAATCTACAATTAGGAAATGAAATAACAACGATAGAGTGTAACGGGAGAATCCTTACCAGCAATTATTATAAAAATACTGATTATAATCGTCTGTATACGAAATAATGCTGGATGCTCTTCTAGAAAAAAGAATGCATATAACCTTAACTAGCTTAATTCAACAATATCTCTAGATTATTATATCAAAGAATCTAGTATAGTTATCAACCTTATCCCAAATACACAGACTTGTCACAAATACTTCAGTATCAAGATATGAACTTTTATCATCAAGAAAACAGTCACAAATCATTCAAGCGACAGTGTTATTAAAATGACATTCATGCCATAAAAACTACTGCGTATTTGGCAACTGGTTTTCGAAGCAATAGGGTGTCACAAACTATTAATGTCGTACATTCTTCTTGTTTGTTGTTGTAATCATTGTTAACCCATTTCCGCGGTTCTCAGGATTTTAACCTGATTTCACAGTTTGTTTTAGATGCAGTCAACTACATTTGGAATTGATTTGGGAACTACTAATTCAGTAGCGGCATTATGGAAGAATGGAGCTATTGAAGTATTAGCATACAAGACAGGATCACGTCTGTTTCCTTCTTGTGTTGCCTATAATAAAAAGAATCCTGCCCAAAGTATTGTTGGGTATTTTGCTAAGCAAAAAATGCAAACCACAAGCTATGGTGTTTTCCACAGTTGTAAACGCCTTCTCGGAGTTACTTATGACAATCCCATCGTTGCAAAAATGAATGGATCTGTGGGATATGATATACGAAATGGAGCTGATGACAAACTTGTCGTTGCTATTCAAACTGAAAGTGGAGATGTAGTAAAACATCCTGAAGATGTCGGTGCTATGATTTTATCAGCAATCGCCGAAGAAATGAAAGCTTATGCTGGATGTGATATACGAAATGCTGTAATAACAGTTCCTGCATATTTCGATCAATACAAACGAGATTTGACAAAATTGGCGGGTCAAATCGCGGGTTTGAATGTTCGTGCTATTATTTCCGAGCCTCAAGCTGCTGCTTATGCTTATCTTGATTTTACTACTGAAGGACGGGATTCGACTTTTATGATATATGATTTAGGCGGTGGTACCTTTGATGTAACAATTTTAAGATGTGAAGGAGATCAATTCACAGAACTAGCTACTGATGGTGATATATTTTGTGGTGGTCTTGATTTTGACAAATTGATATTGGATGAAATGAAGAAGAGATATATGGATGAAACTGGGGAACCAATTCCTGCGAAGTTAATAGCCAAAGTTCTCTCAAAATGTGAGCAAGCCAAAATTGCTTTACTAACCTCTCCTCACACTGAGATAGATATTACGGACGATGTGATAGTGGACTTTACTCGAGCCGAAATGAATCGATTAATCGGCCCTAAACTTGCAGACACTTTGAAGATTTGTGATCGAGCAATTGCAGCAGCTAAAATCACTGTTTCAGATATTGACAGTATCATTCTTGTTGGTGGTTCAACTCGACTTCTGTTAGTTGAAGAATTACTGAAAGGCCATTTTCCTACGATTCCTATAAAAGGAAACATCAGTCCTGATGAATGTGTGGCCTATGGTGCAGCTAAATATGGACATAATCTCGATTTACATCCAGATGTAAATGTGACTGTACCTGAACCTGCATTTGAAGATGCTGAACTTGTTCCTGTATTTGATAATTTTCCACCACCTGTTCCAGCTCCTCTATGTCCTCCATCGTCTGCTCCAAGCTCTATACCTCCTCCACCCCCTGTTCCAGGGTCTGTTGAAGAGTATATTCTCGCGTTCGAATCAAGATATCCCGATCTGCCTCCCAGGGATGAGCATATTCCAACTCCACAGCCTAGTATTGAGCAGCCCGTAGTTGTTACTGATATTGGAGGTGTGAAATACTTTGCTCGATGCCCTAGCGACATTGGAATTGCAAATAGAGGACGAATGGAAGTTCTCATTCCACGAAACACTGCTTTACCTAAGTTGGAGAAAAAATTGATTCGTTTGAGGAATGTCGAACGTCCACTAATTCGCATTCCACTTTATCAAGGCAATGATCCGATCGCTAAGAATAATGGAATGCTGAAGAGACTTGAAGTGAAATTGGAACTACACAAAGACGCTTATTTACTCATAATATTGGATATGCAGGAAGATGGATCTTTATCTGTGCGAGTAGTGGACTTTAATACTGGAGATAGTTACGAATACAAAGATATTCAATCAGCAATGTCACAAGAAGAATTGAGAGGTCGTCAAGATGCAGTTGAGCAAGAAAGAAGAATTAGAAATCATCTACTTGCATTGGATAACATTCGTAATCGACTGCAAAAGTGGGGTTTCGTGCTGATAGAAGCAGGAGCCAGCGAAGAAGACCAAAAGATCATTAACCAGACCGACAGACGTTTACAGAACGATCAATTAACCGAAGAATTATTGGATGAGGTCTATAAGATTTATGATGAAATACACAAAAAGTTAATTCAATAAACAATCAATTTGTTTGTATATAATAAAGGAGGTGGAGGACGAGTGGGATAACTAAATTGAGGTTGATTTGTCAAACTAGTATCTTGTTGTTTTCGAAGTTGAATGAATCTATTTCTGTAAGAATCAAGATTGAAACGGGAAGTATCGGAGCTTGTTCGCTCGATCACTCCATACAAATCAGAATTGTCTCTTATCATTTGCCGGCCGATTTCTACGCATAACACTCCACTTCTAAAATTCTTTACCATATTGACACATCCATAAAAGCAAACTGCACATCGCGATTAGCGAATCCTCCAGCGAAGCCTTCTCCATTCTCTCACACAGAATCTCTTCCAACCCCTCTCTCAGTAAAAATACAACGCCCTCTTCGCTTCTGCACACAGTTTCCATCATCTCGCACACGATCCGAATGCTTGTTTCTTCGCAGTCCTTCAAAATCCGCAGCAGCCAAGCTCCGCCGATCTGGCTCACCGCCTCTTGCGAGAGACAATTCGCCGCTTGCAAGCTCGAGACATCCTCCACGATCGATTGGAGCAGCGACAGAACCGAAGCCGACTGCTGTGCGGCGGCCAGCGCAAAGATCAGCTCGACTACCGAGCGCAGATTTGTCGACGGTGCCGTTGCTTTCAGCTGCTCTACGCGTGAACTCGGAGCGATGAACGAACGCAGACAAAGCGACAAGAGCGAAATGGCCTCAATACACTGCTGCTCGTTGAGACGCATCTGCTTGAGTCCTTCGACGAAATCCCGCGCCGAACTCGTCGTGAATCGAAGGCGATCGGAGTTTGCGTTCGCTGCCTGGGTTTGACAAACGGCCTGGTAGAGAAGCTGGAAGACCTCGTTGCGACGCTTCAGAGTTTTGAGCGAGAACAAATAGAGAACGTCTTCGAACAGCGCAGCGTTCTCTAGGAATGAGCGTCGATCGGAACCGCGACCAGGCAGCGCCGAGCAGTAGATAAACCGAAGAAAATCGACAACCCGAGGGTTGGCGGAGTGCCTTCGAAGACTGGAACGCAGCCACGCTCGGCCCTCCTTTTCCAAAAAGAACGACAATGCGAACGGACAGTTGGTGAGAATCTCGCACAGCGAAATCCCCTCTTCCTCCTCCAGAATCTTGTCGTTCAGGTAGTGGAACAACACCCCGCCGAACTCCGCCTCCGAGAGAAAATGCAGCGAGTAGTGACACACCAGGCAGATTAACTCCATGCGGAGCTGAAGGCTTTCTTCGACGATCTGCATGTCGTTCGCGGACTGATCGATCAGCCAGGATTCCACGCCTTTGATCGGCCCTTCTGTCAGCGAGATCTTCAGGATGGCTTGCAGCACGTGGAGAAGCGCGGTGGAGGACAGGGAGGTCGATGCGCGCGTGAGGAAGAGGGAGATCAGGGAGGATTGCTTGAGATAAGCGGAGGCGAAGGCTAGGATGGAAAGGATGGCGAGGAAGTACGTACCGTGATCGCTGAGCACTTCGATCAGCACGCTAATGACGAGATAATAAGAGGAGGAGAGTTCCTTGGAGTCGCTGAGGCGGCTTTGAAGACTTTCCAATAAGACCTGCAGATCGTCGGGTTGGAGGGCGAGGAGCGCGGCGTCGCTGCAAAGCACGATGACGATCTTCATGCAGAGATTGTCGTTCCGAAGAGAGCTCTTCAAACTCGCCACCAGCGTTTTGAATAGCTCGGGACTGAGGAGCTTCGCGGAGAGTTTCGGCGAGTCGAACATGCGGATGAGAATGTCCATCACTTCGATCGTAGGCTTCTTCAGAATGTCCCGCAGAATCGAAACGGTCTCGCGCAGAATCTTCTGCGACTTCTCTTCTTCCTGCGCGTGGAAGGACGCTTGCAGACATCCGATCTGCAGCTGGAGAACCAGATCTTGCGAATAGTAAGCCTTGATCGACTGAACGGATCGCACCAACACATCTACAACTAACCAACGCAATGAGGCCAAACCATAAAGAGACCGGCTTTCCGTTTCTTTCCCAGAGAGAGCAGCTATCAATGAACCGAAAATCTAAGAAGCGTACTTCCAGCAGGACGGAGCTTCGATCGTGTCCAGAGATTGGAAGTGAGGCCTGGACATGTGACGCAGACGAAAATGGTCTGCACGACGGCGTTCATGAGATTGCGATCCTCGATCGATTTCGCGATGCAGTGCACCGCGCTCTCTTCCATAAGCATCAGTTCGTCCATTGTGACCAATCCGGAATGATATTGAATCGTGTATCGGCAGCAGAACCAGATCGGAATCATCCACGACACGTCCGTTTCGCTCTGGAGGAGTCTCGAAATGAGATTCAGCGATCGGAGCTGCTTGTCTCCGAGCTCGTTTTGAAGCAGAAGCATCAGACAGTTCAGTGCAGCGCGCTTCACGCCTCGCGAGACCATCTCCGACGTGCAGACGGAGAGGATCACGGAATAGCCGGAGGTTTCTAAGAAGGAACGCATCGTGCTCGGCTGCTTCTCGATCACAAACTGGATCGTCGAGAGCACTTTTTCCACGGTCTCCGCGCTCTCCTCGGAGTTCAACGGGAGATCTTTGAGGAATCGCTGGATGACTCTGATGGAGACGGAGAAGAAGTTGTGCGTCGCGAGGTAGTTGGCTCCCTCTGGAATGCTGCTGAGTTCGTGGAAGAGCGTGAAGATGTTGAGAATCAGCGACTTGTGGGAGATGTGGTACATGATCACGTCGTCGATGTTGTTCAGAATGCCGCTTAGAAGGATCGATCGGATTGACTGCTCGCCGATCTGTGCGACCAGGACGAGAATGCGGATCAGTCCGTAGCAGATGTTCTTCACGGTGCGATAGTCGGAGAGAAGCGACTTCAAGTTGGGGAGATAAGGAACCAGCACAGCGGCAGACGAAGCTATGGAGAAGCAAATCCGAACGGAATACAGCGAATGCAGAGAGTCTGGATGATCTGCAGCGCCGCTTTGACGAGATCGCGCTTCTGCTCATATCGCAAGAACACATTGATGCAGATGCCGATTAGATTGTTCTGCTCGACTTGCTGAAGGTACTGCGGGTTGGTCAGCGCGATCTGGAAGACTTTCAGCACCGCCAGAACCACTTCGGGAGAGGACGCGTTGCTCCGAATCACACTCTCGAGAATGCACTGGCCATTCGACTGGAAGAATGCGATCTGGATCTCCTGGTATTTGACTTGGAAGATCGAGGAAAGCAAGTCCAAAACTTCCACACGATGCTGATTGGACATCGTTGTATCCAAGTCTTCCAAGATCAACTCGATTAAGGGCTTCTCTAAATCGATCGCAGGACATGGAACCGGAGGCAGGTTTTCTATTGCTGATTCCATTTGTTCACGTCGGACCCTCGCCGAGATTCCGCAGTGCGTACAACGCATAGCCACGAATGTACACGTCGATCGTTTCGCGCGCAGCGTACCTTAACGCATTCATAACGGACGCTCGACTCAACCGATCGACGTATTCCGCTACAATTAATGAGAGGACGTCCAACACAAACTTCGCTTCGAAAGCAGATAAAGCGTGTAGACGGTATGTCCACAAATCGTGTAGTTCAGATTGTACTGATAAATCACCTTATTCAGTACCTCGATCACATCGCCCCGCAACAACACATCCAGTTTGTATCCTATCGTTTACTGCGATGAGAAAGTATTACTCTGAGCGATCGTGCTGATGATCACCACGCCGTCTTGGATGATCGGCGTGTCTTCCAGGCGAGACGACATTACCTTCGCGATGATCCACGGGAACATCGACAGATCGACGTAGTAGCTCACTTCGTCGAAGAGATCTGCGTTGAAAAAGAGGGAGAAAGCGCTACTGAAGTTCAGAAGCACCGCCAGACAGCGCATCAGGCATCCGAGATAGTCTGACTCGTGAGAAATGTCCAGCTCCGAAAGAAGGAACGAAAAGATATCGTCTCCCGTCGCTGCGTCGTTTTTCATCGTTAACAAGGGTGCAGAAAAATCGATCTCCCCGGAGCTCTGCGTGTTCATTCAACCCTCCTTTGCTACATCGAAGTTCTGGATCTGGAGCCGAATCTTTTCATGACGTGGCGAAGATCCAGACGATTTGCGCTTGCCGTTGTTTCGAATCTTAATCTCCGGCCCCGTTCTCGGTCCGTATAACAATTTGGGCGTGATGTACACACCTATAAAGAATTGGGAAAGCAACGCTCTAAACTACAGTCCGATTTCTTCGCAGTCTGCTTCTGCTTGGCGTCCTGCAGTTTGTCGAGTTCCTTCTGCAATTCGCAGAGTTCCTCGCCGTTGAGCACGTCTTTCAAACAGTCGAAACATTCCACGACGTTCAGTTTGGCGAGCGAATCCCTTCCGCTTTCTAGAATCCGTCAAACGCGCTGAGCCAGAAAGTACCATATTCATTGACTTTGCTGAAAAGCTTTAGCAGAGCGAGGGCTACAGGGAAGGAATAGCTTTCGTACATGAAGGCGACGAGGCTTTCAAGAGTAGAGACATCCCAAATGTGTTCTCGGCAAATCCCTAAAGATAAAAAGAAGAGTGGAAAAGAAGAACATGAGTTTGAAATAATGTTATCGAAACATCGAAATGCGACGAGAAACAATTCCGCTTCAGTTTTATGAATCGACAAAAACGATTCGATCGAATCGATCACTCCCAGATTCGACAAATAGATACAGTACTCGTCTATTTCATCACACACCTCTCTCAATCCCACTCGTAATACAAATCTGCTCGACCAGCAACAGCACAGAAATCAGTAAACTCACATCATTCAACTCATTATTCACCATCGTGATAATCGGCTCCATCATTCCAGACACGATAAACTGTCTTTTCATATTCTCTAGCATCCCATTCATCCGTCAAATCCAACCTGTCTTCAGAATGTTCGTCAGGAACCCGCAGAACGCGCGAATCTGCACCATGTCGTATTTCTCCACGTACTTTTTGAAGGTGAACAGAATTCGCTGCGATTCAAACGTCGCATACACCGAAGCTACGTTGCACGTTTCCTCCTTTCCTACCATTCGAAAGAAACGTCTGGAAGAGAGAAAAAATGCTTCGCGTGGCCACCGGCGAGTTGCAATACACCAAGAAGTGCGACATGATTTGCAGCACGGAGGTGGCGTCAAAAGTCATCAAGAGATCGCTGTCTAGAGCTGATGGACTAAAAAAGAACGCTGACTATTGAGGAGAAGGCGGTTTAGAATGGACGCAATTTGAAGGAGCAGCGATGCGTTCAAGGACAATTGTGCGCAAGAGAAGAGGATTTGGATCGCTTCAGGGTAATTCAGACTCTGAACAGCGTTCTCGGTATCTAGAAATAAGGGGTTTTCTCTCGAGAAGAGCGGACCTTCTTTAAGGAGAAGATTGTATAAAATGGTAATAACGATGTTTACGATCTGGATGTCCGTCGAGTAGTCCTTTAAAATATCGATGATAAGCGAGGCGGACGCACCGCATTGTTCTTTTAACACTTCTAGAGGATCAGGAGCAATGCAGAGAACGAACTGGTCACAATAAACTTATACCATCCCAGTAAGGATAAAAACACATCACGAGGTACTTTAAACTTGAACGCAGAAAACACCAACTCATGCACGCCAACGTAAATATTTGGGTGATAGTCGATATCTAGAATGGAATCGCAACTCTTCCACCCATACTGGAAAAATGAAGTCGAAGCTTTTCAACAGCTTTGGGAATGTTGTCTAACTGGAATAACACTGAACGAATCTCTTGAAAAGCATTCGAAATCTTTCGCTCCTTTATTAAATCATAAATCGACGACAGCTCTAGATATCGAATGCACAGAAAAGAAAAAGTACGATTATCGATTTCATCAAAAACACACTGACTTTTCACTAAAGCGTCAATATCGAGTTCTGAATTTCCTTCATCCTAGAATAAACACGCAAATTCAAAAGTACGACAAAAAACAACGAGATAACAGAACCTTCTATAATTCCGATTTCATTGATCACATCTGTGTCTACAAGCTTTCTACCATTGAACACACAGATAAAATTAGGATTTTCGATTTGAAGTTCCTTCTAACTCATAACTTCCCAAAATCACAGAACATACTTTGATATGAGAAGAAACTGCCAGCCTTAGTGAGCGAAACTGCTGAAAACTCCTTACTGGAATAGATAGCAATAAAGAGCTCTTTTCATTTAGTACTGTGATGAGAAATCTCTGCTCAATCATATGGTCTATTGATAGGGTTAGCTCTTCTGCGACAAAAAGCCAAATTTCACACCATGTACTTACGATCTGAATAATATACAAAATATCGAACTCAAGCAATATAATAATACGCTACAAATCGATTAATGCTTGAATCGATCCAAATTTGATAAAGCGGAACAAACGATTTTCCCCTATTTTTGGAGTTGCATAGTTTGCTTTTCAATTCTTCTAACAATACGCAAGAAGGGTTGTGTGTCTTTCACCCTTGAATTTCGCGCGCAGAAAGAGATAGAAACCACAGAGACTTAATCAATTTCGAACATACCATTTTTATGTTGCGACTCACATTAAAGCGTGTTACTGGAGCCTGCGTGAGGTCTTCTATTCTTTCCACTGGCATGCTTCAGAAGAGATGGTTTGCCGCTATTGGAAAGAAGGCAGCGTAACGTAATGAAATTTAAATTAGCACATAGAGATGGTCCAAACCCCAACGAATTAAAGGAATTAGCGTTGAAGAATGCTATCAAGCAGCTGGAGACGCAATTTGGGAAGGGATCCGTAATGAAACTGGGTTCAAAATCACATTTGGATGTGCCGGTGATTAGTACTGGCTCTCTAACGGTCGATCACGCGCTCGGGATTGGAGGGTTGCCCCGAGGCCGAATCGTTGAGATTTATGGTCCAGAGAGCAGTGGAAAAACCACTTTGGCGCTTCACACGGTCGCTGAACTTCAAAAAACGGGAGGAACGTGCACATTTATCGATGCAGAGCATGCGCTGGACCCACTCTACGCATCTAAGATCGGAGTTAATATTAATGATCTCTACATCTCCCAACCAGATTCGGGAGAGCAAGCACTTGAAATAGCGGATTGTCTAGTCCGCAGCGGAGCCATGGACATGATCGTCGTTGACAGTGTCGCTGCATTAGTCCCCAAAGCGGAAGCAGAGGGAAACATGGGAGATGCTCACATGGCACTTCAAGTAGATTCATTTGTTTTTTAAAGGATAATGGTTTTAGGCGCGACTGATGAGTCAAGCCCTTCGCAAAATCACGGGATCGCTTTCTCGTTCGAACTGTCTTTTGATTTTCATCAACCAAATCCGCCAGAAAGTCGGTATTCTCTTTGGAAACCCGGAAGTCACGCCGGGAGGCAACGCTCTGAAGTTCTACAGCTCCGTCCGTCTCGACATTCGCCGAAAGACGGCGATTAAGGAGGGAGACGAGGTGATTGGCTACGAAACGGTGGTAAAAGTGGTGAAGAACAAGCTGGCGCCACCCTTCCGAACCGCCTCGTTTGACATGATGTTTGGAACGGGGATTTCGAAGACGGGCGAGATTCTCGATCTGGCGATTGAGGACGGGATCATTCAGAAGAAGGGCGCGTGGCTGAGCTATCAAGGTGGGGGTAGGAGCGTTGGGTGATGTGTAGGAGAGAATTTCGCGCAAGGACGAGCGAAGGCGAAGGAGTACTTGATGGCGAATGAAGAGCTGTGTAGGAGTTTGGAGGAGCAGCTGCGCGAGAAATGGAAGGAGCAGGAGAATCAGCAGGGACAAAGCGGAGGGAGCTCAATGGAAGAAGAGAAAGAGGAACAAGATATTGTAAACGAGCCATTGAATGAATGAATGAATGGAATGGAATGAATGGAATGAATGGATAGATAGATAGATAGATAGATCAAGTGTTTGTTGAACAAAGAATACAACTAGAGAGTTTCTGTTTCAGCGATGAAATCATAGAGGCAATGCGACAATTCTGTGAATATCGCTCCAACTCCAGAAGATCATCGCTAAGCTGCTTCTGCGATGTCTCATCGCGTGATGTGCTCATTTCCACCGCTTTTATCAGTATTTGCACGTAATACACGAATCGATCACAATCTATCCCCTCAAAGCCATACCATTCAATCTACTCATTTCAGGGTTTACATCCACTGCGAAGAACTCGCGCGTCATCGCAACAATATCTTCCATTGCCAGCATCTATTTCTCACATTCGTTCCACACAAATAACAGAGTGATCATGTAGCTCGACTAAAACCTGCAGCGACGAAGCCAAACAATTACTCACATATGCCGCGTTCTTCGCTCGAAGCTCGTTAATCACCCAGAACGACCATTCCTTCACCATTTCATTTCTTCCTTCACTCACATTCGCTTTGATAAACGCAACTATCGTTTCGACAATGCTGCTCTTTCCAGGAAACACGACTAGGTGAATCAAGTGAAGATAGCTATCGATGGGCTGCGCTAATTCAGACAAAATTCGGGACTGGTTGTCTTCATCTTCTTCTTTCAAAAACTGCCGAATACAGAGGAAGACTTTGACCATGAGGTTCGTTGCGTCATTGTGGTCTGTGAGCATTTCTTTCTACCTTTCAATCACAAAAAGGAAACAAACAATGAAGGAAACAAAAGAATCGAAATGATTTGTGATGTAATAGTGAGGCGTTACAACAAGATATGGCAGAATTCCGTCCATTACTGCCAATTCTTTCGCGTTCGAAGATCGACCAGTTTGGTGCTGAATGAAGATCCAGGGATAGAGTTGTAACAGCTGACTCTCTGTGATCTTTAGCACTTCGCTTTTGGTGAGAAGTTCGAGCAAAAGCCAAAGTAAAGGAAGAAGCGAATCGCCTCGAAGCGATCGGGTTTTGAATTCCTATGCGTTATGAGTTGTTTGCACTCAAACATCCACTAAAAATTGGACAAGTTCGGTCCAGCATTCCGAGAATTTTTTGGTATCTATATGAAAAACAAATAATAAACTTTACAAATGCACAGAATCGAAACGGAACTCGAAATAAAGAACAAGTCGTCCTGGTCGTCTGGCTGCTGCAAACACACTTCAAAAATGGTGTGAAACACGTTCTGAAATGACTTGCGATGAATTGGATTCTATTCGATCAGTACATTTGTGAACACTCGATACCCAGCGCAAAAAATGATCGAGAATTCGCAGTAGAAACATCGAAACTGCGCCTCGACTCTACGAAAAACAAGTATAACAAAACGAACATTTCGAAGGCTGGTCAAAATACAATTCAAAACAGAGGTGAAATCGGCCTCTTCGACGCATTCGCAGAAGTGTTCAAAGACATGCATAACCGAGTTCTGACTCAGTTCCATGTATTTCTTCTGCATCAGCGAAGTTTTGGAAACTCCAATGCGTTCTGAATGGTGCTAAGGGTCAAAGGAAACACGATCATTCGCACAGAAATCATGTTGATTTTGCTGTTGTTGCTGATTTCATGAACTCGTTCCATCAACACATCGAAAACGATTTGGCAACACGACGAAGGGAGCGAACACGCTTCATCCAGCAGCGAGAAAATTGAACTCATGCAAAACTCGGTAACTGCAGCAAAGCTGGAGTTGTGATGCTTGATCAGCGATTCCAATAATGACGCAAGCAGCCAATTTAGAGGACGTTGCTGCTCTCTCGAATCTACTTTTTTGAGATCGTTTACCACGGAGTGGACGATGCTTTTCATCTACAGTATGAGAATCGAAATGAAAGCAAGCAAGCACAGTTTCCAACACTTCGTGATAAAGATGCTGTTGCTGCGAGAGAGCCATCGGATCGTTCAGTCGTTCAAACAAGCGAGGGAAGACCCGACTGATGAACTGCTGGAATTCAGGCGTGGATTCCATCGAGAAACAATTCTGCAGACAGCGACACGCGCAGAGAACCATCACCGGATTGACAGCTTCGATATTTTGCTCGATTAACGGGAAAAGCTGACTTGCATGATCGACTAAAAACTTCTAAAGCAATGAAAGGGACGATGTGACAAATACAATTTCGCTATCTCTTCCTCGAATTGCTTTCATTATGCGAGAACAAACAGATCGAATCGGTGTGTGAGGATGGAAAGAATAAAAGTATAATTGAATCGCCTGCGGACGCATTGAATCGATGTATTCCTTCTCAATAACAAGTCGAGCTGACCGCTGCATCATCATCGATTCGGTTTGAATGTGAGAAGAATCAACAAAGAGCGTCGGCGTACGCAATTCTGGTTTGTTCACAGAATTATAGAGCAACTCTTCTTGGATAAAGGCATACACCAAAAACGGTCTAAACAATTATTAACGAAGGAACAACGAAATACTCTTTTAACGAACGAGCCAAGTTCAAAACCATCGACAAATCTCCAATTTGGGAGGCTCGTTCTCCACGAATCTCTTCAATAATCTTCGTAACATCCGTTTCTTCCAAGGTAACTTGCTGTGTAATCGCATCAATTAAAATCTGAGGCGAATAGCTCGTGAGATCTCTGTGATGAAGAACGAAGTCATAGAGAAGAGTTAATATCTGGCAGCAGCAATTCTTCACAATGATATCTTCGTGCTCATAGAACAACAGACTGATCTGCTGAATATCTCCCAAATAGCGTTCAAAAACACAGTGGAATCCGTCGGTCATGAGATACGGTTGTTGTTCCTGTAAGTAAAGCTTATCTTTCCATGCTAAATCGATGTGTATCTTGGAGGATGGAGGGGGAGCGAACTCCTGGATGTCGAGAAAGAGAAGCGATTTGAGAAGGAGAAAGCCGATTCGGTTCTGTTTTCGATTGGGTGAATTCAAAAATCGAGTGAAGATCGAACAAAGGAAAGAATGAAGATCTACAATCAAGAAGTCTGGAAGTGAAAGTACTTTTGAAATAGAAATAATTCACTTCTGCGTAAATGGTACAAATATACGTTTGCTGTTTCCAGTCCTGCACATAGAAATCGATCGAATCCAGTTGCTTCTGAAACAGCGGATCGATTTTGTCAAAGATATAATCGATTTCCGAATACACTTTCTGAGCCATTTCAGGATACGAAGTGCAATGATAAAGCGATTTAATCAAAGCAGGCAACACCTCAAGACAAAGCATTTGATTGTATTGGAAGATTTGATCGAGAATGGAGGATGTCAGATCGATGATTGTAGTTGGCATATCCGAGCAACAATGAATGTAATGAATCAGCGTAGAAAGAACCAACGCGTTTTCTGGATTGTCGTGATGCGCCGAATCGATTTGGTCCAAAAGTTGTTGAATCACCGAATAGGCCACGACTTTCACAGCTACTCATAAAACACGAAAAATGAAGCGCTACATCGTTGTGACCCGAAATTGAGAAGATGAATGTAGTTGCTCTTGCTTTGAAGAAGATTTCGCTGCGTTTGGTACACTGATCGATTCATCCGCTTCGTTAAAATCGACATGGGATTGAATGAATCCTGGAAATAAATCACCAGCTTTAGATATTGGTCCGGAGCCATGTAATAAAAGGCATAATGCAACACTTCATTATTTGGAATCGGATAATCGTTTTCAATGAATCCACGAATCACAGTAAACAACGGACTCAGGGGAGATTTGCTCATACAACCACCCGTTAATTCAGAAACCGACTGTAATTGATGCTGCAACAGCAGAGTGAAGTAGTGATACACGCAGTCCTGAAAAGAAACAGTTAGAAGCGCGGTGGTGTTCGCATCCCAGGATTCCGAATCAATCAAGATCTGCATTGTTTTCTCTGTTAACCCTTCCCTCAGAAGCAAAAACATCAACACGCTCAACATTTGAAGTGTCGCCTCACTCACCGATCCAGCTGCGCTACGCAGATAAATGGAAGAAGCCAGCGCCACGAGATTACCCTGCCCGTTGATTCCAAGGGAAGCGATCACAGGGAAATCACGAAGCTATGTTGAACAAAGAAGCAACAAACTACTGAATCGGAAGAAGTGACTCCGGTGAATAGATAGCCCATGAAGTCGTTCAAATTCACTTCGGAGAGGTCGATCGAATGAATGAACTTCGTCAGATCGTTTTGAATATCGTTCGAAATTGTTCCTGAATTCATTACGGCATGTGTGTCGAGAAGATAGAGAAGCAGAGTGAGGCAGATGGGATTGTGGGGCTGGTAGACGCGTGAAAGCCACACGACCATGCTCTGTCGAAAGAGTTTGAATTCTTTTCGGTTCTGCAGTGTGGATTGGAAGAATTCCTACATCGAACCAAGCAATTAATAAAACGAGAATCGAGTTCTGAACGTCGGAGGATTGCGATGTAAACAGCAAACTCGCATTGTTGAGAAACTGGAACAATTCGAGGGCGACCGATTCGCTGTTTCGGCCTTTCCGCGCGTTTTCTCCATTGAGTTCTTCTTCTCGCAGCATCGCAACGCAGGACTGCACCATAGAAAGTGAAAGTGGAAACCGCGAGGCATTGCGACGAATCATTGAACACAAAACAGAACTCGATAATGAAATCAATCGTTGATAATCGTTTCGCGAAGCAGAATCGGAGCTCATCGCCGCATAAAACGATTCAATTCCGTTCCAAAGCGATTTGAATAGCTCAATTGGCCATTCCGAAACATCCCACAACGAAACCATCGTGAAAAGCGTCTGTAGAAATGCGTACAAATAATGGAGATCGGGCTTTTGCTTTAGTAGCGCGGGATACGCGAGAAGCATCCACCGAAACTTGTTAGAGACACTTTTGGGAAGACAGCAGTGAGAGAGAAGCTCATGAGCCTTGGTGAGGACATTGAATGGAATCGAAGAAGAAGCCTTGGAAACGAGAGGACACTGCGATGAACAGAAGCGATTGAGAGAAAGAATAAGGCGAGTATAACCATCCAGTCGAGACAGCGGAATGGATCGCTCTGAGGAGTAGAAAGGGAAGTTGTCCTGGACCCAGGTCTTCCCGATGGATTGGATTTCAGAGCGGGGAGAAGCCAATGCATATAGGAAAATCGGAGCAGTGATGTCGGCTGGAAGGGAGAGGAGGGAGTTCAGAATCACTGGGAGATTGAACGTACTTTCTTGTAGCAGGAGAATAGGAGGGAGGTGCTGAACTAAATAGGATACGAGTTCAGAAAAGTTGGTTGTGATTGGTGCTGGAGTTTGTAACTGAGACAGAGTTCCGATAATATACGGATGCGATACTTCCTACACTCTATCAGAAAGTCTGCACATACAGTGGATGTAAGTTTGTTCAGGCGAACACATTCTGCTGCCATGGATGCAAACGGAAGGATTTCCTCTTGACGAATCCTGCTGATTCCAAAATTAAGAATGCTATTCTAAAACCGTCTACGCACTCTTACATCAAGATGAAGCGTTCTTGAATTTTCGATACAGTTTCCTTGTATCGTTGCATCAGCAGAAGCAGTGGCAAATGTAGTTGCTATATTTCATCTGTACATTCCAAATGTACTTCACTTTGGCGAAATCGTCCCTTAATATATTGGATTATCTCTGTTGCATCCCGAATCGTACTCGGACTATCCAAGGAGTCTAACACACGTGGAAAAAACTCACTCAGCTTGGTTTCCAATTGTTCATTTGTGAGGTATGACAAAGAATATGAAAAATCCTGCAACTCCTTCAGATTCATTGGAGGGTGTTTTTTTAATGAAAATCAAAACGTATCCATGTGATTATTCACATGTAAATCTTGCATAGTAAAACAAACTAGATCGCGAATAAATAGACAAAAGAGTAAAGGACTTCCTACGAAGAGTACACGATTTGACAAACAAGAGAACACTCTGAACACTGCACATACTCAATTTTCTCTGCTACCTCCTCCTCATAAATCTACTCATCATCACTCTCTTTTCATCGATCCCCACCTCGAACTTTCCTCCACATCGGCAGTAATGCGTGTAACACGCATCGTCTGATCGATAATCAAACTCAGAAAATGGGAATATTTCCTGTGCAACGACATCAACATCAGCTACCCATCATGTCACAAAAATAAGAATAGTACCAAAATACTGCTTGTCGTAGTTCGCACGCTTCACTGGATCGCTTAACACATCCCATGCTTTGTTCACCAATTGGAACTTCTAGTGATGATTTCGAGTCTGGAAAACGTACTTCAGTACTGTAACCTTTGTCAGGATGGCAAGTCAATGCAAGTTTCCGATAAGCCTTTTTTATGGTATCCACATTATCTGACCGTTGTACTCCTAGTATAGCATAATAATCATCCATTTTTCTGGACAGAGTAAGAATAGTTTAGGGAGAGCATCCATTCATTCTTCTCTTCGAATACAAAATGCCATCAGTTATTATATCATCATCCGAAGAAAGTGAAAGTGAGGCGTTTTCGTTTGAAAAACAGTCTAATGAAAACATCAGTCAAAAAATGGCTGAAAGCGATTCAGAGGACGTATTTATTAGTGAAGACGACGATACGCCTCAAAAAGACAAAAGTTTGGAAATGGGTGTTGGTAACGAAATAGAACCAAACAAATCAACAAAAAAAGTTACCGTAAAGCAGGAGGACGAACCAAAGAAGAGAAATGCTTCTGACCTCATTAAGGTGAAGGAAGAGAGTGAAAGCGGAGCTGCGAAGAGGAGACGTAATAAGCAGTCGAGAGAAATTAGGGATTAGGTATATCTGTAAAGCAAGAACCATCGAGGGCTTCTTCAGCGAATGCCAGCAGCAAAAAGGGTGGAGATACACAGAAAACCACCAAATCTTCAACAGAGAATGACATTCCTGATGAAAAGTCGGTAACTGAGGACAAAGAAGCGTGTAGAGCCACACAAGAAAGTGTAGAGAATGCATCGGGCTCGGAGAATGAGTATTCCGAGGAAGGTGAGGACATCACTGAATTTAAGCCTGGCCAATTGCGAGCCACTCCATCTCCAGTAATGATGGAAGTTTACGCCTCAATTGTAGGGATACGGAGATAGAGTGTTCTACGAATCTCTATTCGAGCAAAATCCGAAGAGCTTCATGGCTCTCAAATGGTGTGTTGAACACGGAGTGTTTTCAGCGAAGAAAAGTGAAATAATGCTGAAGGTATTAAGGTATGTGTTCCTCTAAAAGTTTTAGGAGCTGCTGATTCGAAAAGAGGAGATGAAGAAGGGCAAGAAGTGAATGTCACCTTAAACTGTCACAGCTTTTGTTAAAAAAACTAGTGAATATGTCAAATTAGAGTTTCATTTCTGGGACCCAATCAATTTTCGATGTGTCAATCAACTTCGATTTGTCAATTTTCATAATTTTGTGTTTTCAAATGTCTGAAGTGACTGTTTCCTCCTCAGAGGGAGATACAATTGATTTGGAGATCAGCCAGGAAGAAGTTAGCAACTGTTATGCACTTTCAATGGATAAAAGGATGGACGAAATTGTAGAGCTGATTTCGGATATCCACGAGTTGCTTGGATTGAATAGTGACAAGGTGGAACGGATAGAACGCGTGAACTGCTTTCGGAGGAAAGCTATGGAAATGAACATTGACCCCAGCCTGGATCCCAGTTTCACGTTACAGGTAGAACAGTATTGCCAGCTGCTACGCCAGAAGAAGCAAACACTGCTAAGCATTTTTGACTGCTGTGATGATTTTTACATGCAAATGCGAAGGGAATTAGACGCTCTGAATAGTCGTTTTTCTACGGATAGCAAGGCCAGAGCTACTTTTGTGTGTAACTATTCTAATAAATGCGCATCTAAACCCTTTGTACCCAATGAAACAAACCTCCTGATGAAAAAGCAACGAAGAAACCGCCTACCCAGTGCAGCTCTCGAGATTTTATGGAACTTCCTACGTGAACACCGCGACAACCCTTATCCTACTAGTCAGGAGAAGGAATGGCTCGCTCAGCAAACGAATCTCTCTGTTACGCAGATTCGGAACTGGTTTACAAATACTCGGAAGCGTAAATTGATACAGAGCCAAGAGAGCGACGAAGAATACCTAACCGATTCCGATTTTTCCGACTCTTTTCACGACAGCCAGACATCGAGCGATTCTCAGCCCCACAAAAGACGTGGGAGAAAAAAGAGTTCATCCACTCGCTCCCAAGGTCCACTGGAAATGGTCCAGCATCAGTCTACTATCACGATGAATGATGGAACACTATCTAAAGTAACGAAGAATCAAGATGGAACCTGGATCCAGTTTCTATCCGCTTTTGATCATAACTCTAATTTAAACCATAGCTCTGATGTAGATTCGGAAGGAGCACATCAACAACAACAAGAGTTTTCACTACCAGATTTTGATAATTATACGGAATCGAACTTTAGCTACGATTATTCGCGCACAAACCTCAATAACCCAGAACAACATGAGTATATAATAAATAACGAAGTTGCAACTCATGTAAAGAGACAACAACAACAACTGAGTCAACAACAACTACAATTAAATCAACAACTGAATCAACAACAACAACAACAAGAGAATAGACAACCTTCTGATTCTCAAATGTAACCTGCTGCTACCATTACTGCCTCTGCTTCTGCATCCACCTCGATTCTCATGCAAAATTCTGCATATTTCGTATTGTTTGTAACAAACAAAGCACTAAACTAGGATTACAACTCGTTTCCAATCGTCACCCAATTGTCCCGCAGATTATTGCGCCTTCCAAACACTTCCAAATAGTATCCGTTCGGCACTAGCCGCTCTATCATCTCGTAGATGTCGAGCGGCTTCTGACTCTGCCCCAGTCGCTCCGAATAAATCACATCTGGTTCAAACCCAAAGTTCGTCAGCGGTGGCGGATTTCCCTATACATCGCAACCCTTTCCAATCCTCACCTTTCTCGCCACCAAACACGTTTCCTTCGAGTGCTGAAGATAAAACCCGTGGCTCTTCGCCAGGCGTCGACTCCGATTGCACTTCACCCACGCGATTTCGTCGACGAACGTGTAGCCCCATCCCTCCAGCAGGTCCAACGCCACTCGGTACTTGGCGTTGATGACCCACAGAAAGAGATAGCCATCGGTTTGGATCAGATCCAGCGGCATCAATCGAATCACATCGTCGCCTAGCTGCTCATATGCGATCGCTACGCCGCGTGTGGGATTGGCCGTAGCCAATTGCCATGGCGGGTCCATCATAATCACGTCAAACAGCCTCCCTGTGAGCTCGCGCTGCGCTTTGGCGAGCCGCTCCCAGTCGAATGTGCGGATATCCGCACGTAAGGGAACGCTGTCAGGAGGGGGATCGTATCGTGAGAGCGTTTGCACGCAGTATCGCATGGCTGAATCGAACAAACATAAAGTAAAGTACGCTCCGTGAGGTCGTCGGCTCCGTCGCCAGAACGACTCGGATTCACGGGGGAGAGGTCTTTCACGCGGACCAGGCGGTGCAGAAGGTGCTTGCGCTGCAGGTCGTGACGGAGAGATTTGAGCTCTGGATAGGAGGAGAGCATCGTCGAGAAATCGCTGGCCTACACGAAAGGGAGCGATGGAATCGCCACTTGTCTCGAACTCGTTTTCTTGCCCTCGTCGGGGTTGTGGATGGATGGGGACTCGTCCTCGATGAGGAGTTTCTGCTCGATTGAGCTGATCGCCTTCATCAAGTTGCGTTCGTTCATTTCTTCGATTGACCCGGAGAACATGTCAGACAGTGCTGCACATCATACCGGAAAGAGGTAGATACAAGAAAATCCCTGACTGCGGTGACTGTCGTACCTATTTCGCCTCCTATGCACCGATTCGTCTCTTTCAAATATATATTCCTCTTCATCGTCGTCTACATCTGGAAATTAGGAATGCCTCCCGAGCATACCGTTGGGATCCTCAAAAGTACAAAATTCACAAATCCAGTTCTTCATTGATGCGGCTTTCGCCTCATCAACTCCAACGCTTGAGATTATTCACGTTTCCGACGCTTACCATGAACAGTGATATAATGTCCCACAATTCGAACATCGGATCAAAGCTCCGTCACTGACTCCGTTACATATACACACTTCGTGTGGTACCGGAACCATAGAAGAGACAGATGCAATTTTCTCTGGCCGGTTATTTGACAACCAAAAAGGTTTCCCTCAAACAGCAAAAAGCACACAAACTAACAATAGCAACCCTGGGAAGCTTCCTCTTTCTCTGTTAAAGTGATCGTCGCTGCAGATGGCTTAAAACCGAGACTCTCCATTAACACCGGACTTTCAAGAACTTTTGTTACCAATTCTTCAAACACTTGGTTCACGCCTATGTTCTCTTTTGCACTCGTTTCGATGTACAACATCCCCTACACATCATCCACAATACTCGCTCGAACGTGCTGCTTCGCAAAGTTCTGACCGTCTTGCGTTGAAACAGCTCGGTTTGGCTAGAGATTAAGCAACGAATAGAAAGAGAACAAGATCAACCTTGTTCGCTACAAGGAGTTTTATAATATCCTCTGCCTGGTCGGTACAATAATTTTCACACTCGCTGAGCCACGTTTGAAGATTCTCGAAACTGCTTTGACAAGTAACATCATAAACTAATGCATGAAATAAATGCTCAGGAGCTACCCAAAATAATCCCATGAGCTCCACGGTAATAACTGCTCGTCAGTGTTCTGAAACGTTCCTGGCCAGCTGCGGCTGAAATAGTATTGAAATTGAATACCTGTATCCCAGATCGTCGCTCTCACTTTACGGCCCTTCACTTCCATTAACTTCCTTTTAAAATCAACTCCTAGGATCACATACAAAAAAGCAACTCGCTACCGATCGTGGGCGAAAGGTCTGTGAACTTGTTATCAATGAAACGCATCAAAATACTGGGGATCAATACAACACGCCCAAACCTACCAACTCTTCCCCACATTGGAGTCTCCAATGAGTAGGATCTTCACGTTCATATCAACCTTATCAGCTGGCTTCATCGTAATATGATTCTGGTTTACTTTTATATTCTTCAATCTTTTTACTTGAAATAGGTAGGTGAGCGAGTAGCATTATTGTATAGACTAACAAACAAACATTTAAGCCAGCTACAGATTCATCACCACACGCGAAACTGAAATGTTTGTACTTCTTGGAATCGTCAAAATATGGTTTTCGTTCACTCCATCATCTTTATACACCGCTTCTTGCTTACACGTCTTCCATGCTCCATCCACAATGAACCTATGTATTATTTGACAATCGATCGGTATACTTGTATCGGTAGTCGCCCGGTTTCAGTTTCATTTGCACCACAAACTGATTTCCCTCCCTTTTCATTTGAATTCCATTCTTCTCCCAATCCGTGAAATCGCCAACTAACAAAACCTCTTTCGGACTCTCACTCTCGTCAAACGAATAGGTGAAAGGAATCTCCACACTGGGAAGGAGACTCCGGCGCATTCTGTAGAGCTCCGATAAGTAATCGCGAGCCTGCAAGGAAACTTCGATTGGCGTCTGACTGGTTGACTCGCGCAATCGTTCATAGTCGTTTTTGTTTGCAAACACAGCGAGAGCCCGCTGAATCGTATTCATAAAGTCTCTGTAGCTGTGCTGAAGGAAGAGGAAGCCGTTCACATCGGCAGCACCGCTCGCCCAATCATGCACGGTTTCCTTCAACCCTCCGGTGCTGAACGCGATGACCGGAGTTCCTGCAACGAAGAATTCGTCCTGTACAATGCCGCACGGCTCGAAGAGCGAAGGCATCAATCCGAAATCTGCGGCAAGATTGCACACGAATCCATCGGTGAAGAACTCGTACGGATTGGCCCAGAAACAGTCGCCATAATAAGTTCGAAGATGTTGGATTTTGTTCATGCAGTAACGCCCATAAGGATCGTTTTCGTTTGCAATTCCTCCGAGAATGATTTGAATGTTCCGATTTCGACTCACAATGAGCTCCTCAGCAATCTCGCAAATCAGATGAACTCCCTTCTGCTCTGTGATTCTCCCCACGAAGACGAGAAGGGGAATGCTGAGGTTTTCCATGCCGAAGTATTTCCTCTGAACGTACAGCTTCGCTGTGTTGTGCGTGTGCGTGGGGAGAGAAGCGTATTTGATTCGCTTCTCAAAGACAAACACTCCGTTCGGGGATGAAAAGGGCTGCGGGTAGCGACGAAGCAGCGAAGCAAGAGCCGATCCGTTTTCGATATCATGCTGATACGTATTGCTCACTGTTCCCCAGTTGTCTGTTGATAACAGCACACAGCGCGATGGATTTAGAATGTTGGCTCTCCAATAGGGATCCTGCAACAGATACAGAGGAATGTGGTGAATCGATTCCAGCGTATCGCCATCTTCTGGATAGATTCGACCCTCATAACTGTCGTCCAGATTGTGAATAATGTGAAAGAAGCTCGAGGAGGCGAGCGAAGAATCCATGTAGAACATTCGGCAGTAAGTGGCGACGAGACCGCAAGGCCAATCGTTCGTGATGATAATCGATGGTTTTATGTTCTGCGTTGAGAGATATGTGAGGGGGGCGAGAGCCATGAGCACTTGGCCTATGTGAAAACAACGGAGTGAAGACTAACAATGCATCATAAACCCGGGAGAACCGCTTGGATAGGGGCGAGAGAACGTGGAGGCGTGGTGAAAGAAAACGTAATCGATGTGATTGATCGTTCCGCGATGATATCCGACTTCCAGTGTGCCACCTGAAGGCATTAAGATGGGGAGCGTTTTCTCAAAATAGATACCGTCTCGTTTCAAATAACTAGATGAAATACTACATCAATGTGATTACTCTCTTTCTCCATATCGATTACTGTCATAGTAAGGACTGATTACAAGCACGCGTTGCCCTTGATGAGCCAATGCTTTGGAGAGATTGTCGACCATCACACCCAAGCCACCCACCGTCGACCACTTTCCTAATTCAGGAGTGATGATCACGATCGGTCCCATTTGATTCGCTTCATAGACTCGTTTTGCGAGCTTGTAGGTCGACGATAATCGATTGAGACAGTTCAGAACACGGTCGTTTCTCTCTGTCGTCATAGTGGCTGGGTGATTGTCTGTCGATCCGTTGAATCGATAGGATGCATAGAAAATCACGTCATGCAGGAGCTGGACGATTCGATCTTCATCTTCGATCGAGCATCGTTTGCACACGCTGGAGTACCAATCCAGTAATTCTCCCATTTTCGCATCTTCTTCTCTCGCGGAATGAGAGTTCACGACGTCCTCCAGATAGCCACAGACCGTCGTGAAGATCGAATTGTTGTGCAGTTCATTCAACACATCTTCTTCCTTCAGCATTCGTCGATTCCACACATGATTGCCTTGATAAAACTGCTGACCAATGGGACGTGTGCTGGTGAGAATGGAGTCCAAATCATCATATCCCTGGCGGAGATAATCGATCCAGTCTGTCTCCGTAACGTCGGTTTTGTAAGTGAGCGAGAACATTGAATAATCAAAAGGCAGGCAAGAGAAGCGAAGAACGCGCGATTTGATTTCTTTTGTGCTCCACTACAAGGATTACACGAACAAAAAACGAGGAACATACCATGCATGAAGTGTTCTCGCGAATATAGTGCACAATCCACAGTCCATCGAGTTCTTCTATTCTTGACTTGCCTTTTCTTTCCTGATCACTCGAGTCATCGGATTCTTTTTTGATTCCAGTATCATTATCATTATCATTATCATTTTCAATTTCAATGCTGTCTTCGCTTTTACTTTTTCTTTCATAAGATAGATTCATTGGAATCAAAAGCTCATCCAGCGACAGAGACACAACACACGGCTCTGGCTCAAAAGAAGCCACAACAATGAACAATTCATTCTTCAAATATCGGCAAAAAGCCACAACACGCAATGCCATCGGCTTTACATGCAAAGGAATAAAGTTTCCTCGAGAAAGAATCTCGTACTTCGATCGAATCTCTCGGAAATACGCATAGTGGTCATTCATATGGCGGAGATCGAAGCCAAACTCAGGTCCAATTTGATCTCGAACCTTGTTTTCGAGCGGATTCAACTGTTTATTACAAGTTATTTTGCAAATTCTACTTTGTCTAATTCCGTATATGAAACGCTGAATGAAGGCGTGCTGTGAATCGTATCCATCGTCATCGAATCGGATGAATTGATTCGCGCCCACGAAGTGACCTGACATTTGAATTTCCATAGAGTAATTCATACTCGTTTGACGGTCGCACTGTCCGATAATCGATTCGATGACGCAGCTAACACTCCCAAATTTCCATATGAAATCGTTCGATAAACTCCACCTTCCTTTTCTTCTTCCTCCGACCGATTCCACCAAATATCTGCTTTCATTTGAGCCGACTGAAGGAGTGGATGTTTAATGTGGATCTGGATTGGGATTTCGAGGACACTGTTGAATCCGCCAAAGGAGTCGCTGACCTTATTGGGATTTAAGATATCATAAGTATAGCTATTCGTCGAAGGAATGTAGAACTTGTAGTAGTACAATCCGGAATACAGCTCCAAATACAACTCAAAGATGTTCAGGCCGTTCTCAGAACGACGAAGAACCATCTTATCGCGCTTTGTATCCCAGTGATTGAAACTGCCAATCAAATACACTTCGGTAATGAAGGAACTGGCTTCGTAGTGGAAACTGACCACCTTTCTTCGGACACGTGCAGCGTAGTGAGGTTCCCAAGCTACAATGAATCAATCACAACAATTCAAACTTTTTTCTTTGTTTGTCGGCGGCAGCTTCATCGTCTCCTTCTCATTTCCAACGCTTTCCTCGTTCGTGACAATCGCCTCGCTCCCCATTCCAAGATCCGCCGAATTCTCTCGATTCGAGCTCTGAGAATACTCCAATGAATTCGAACTCATGGATCGGCTGTGGGGCTGAGAGGAAGGAGAACTGTGCACAACGCATCCTTCCGCGAGAGACACTTTGAAGCTCTTTCCCTCGTCTTCTCGATAGTAGCAGGCCACGGACGAAGGAAGTGTGTAGAGGAGACAAACAGCTGGCCATGTGGCACGCGAGAGAGTAATGCTGGGATACGGTGCGTTTTCATTGCAAAGATAGTGAACCGTGAAGAACGAGCCGTTTTCCAACGGAGAAAGGAGATGCGAAATATTCGCTGTGAGTTCCATCATGTCTTCGTGTTCAGTCGTCGCAGAGCTTTCAAATGAGTCATCGCATTCATGCCTACGTTCGCTCCACAAATCCACTCTTGTTCAGATCGGTCCCATTCAGTAGACATAAAGACTTTAGCAAATCGTCACAGAAGGGAACCACTCCGCATTGTAGAATGTGTTGGCTGCGTCCCCAGTAAGCACTTCCGCAGAGAAGACATGTCGGCTCGATCTCGGCGATCTTTCGCGTTAATTTCACTAAAAATGGATTGGAATAGCCACTTGCCAGAGCTGCATCGCAGTTCCAATACCCACACTCTTCATTGGCAACAACAGTCTTCCCGTGAATCAGATCCAAAAGCTCAGCATCGCCAGACACATTCGAATAGTCTGTTTCCAGCAGAATCGGAAGCGACTGACAATCCTGGAGATAGAAATAGGTGATCTGATATTTGCGAATCAGAGAAATGATCTGGAGAATATACCAGTCCCACGTTGATTTCTAGTAGATCAGAAAACAACCAAAAATAAAAAACAAGTCGGTAGTTTGGCAACGTTTCGTTTTCCCATTGCGTTTCTTTTCCATCAGTTCCTGGATGAACTTTCAAAACACCCATATCGTAGTAGTAGACGACGTCCTCTCCATTAAACGAATAGTTCGGAATAATTGGGATCATGACATCCATATCTAAACGCTTCAGCCTACACAATTCAACAAAAAACAAACAAAGAAAAACTCTTTGTAAAGCGACTGGAACTCAGCATCGGTTCCAAAGAAGTAGTGATCTGAGGGGAAAAGCAAGCTTGCTTTCGAATCGGCGAGGGAAATGCCTTCGTTTTCAGAATTCGTTTCCAAGGGAGAAGAATCGACAGAACTCATGCGCAACCCGATTTCTTCAGTGTCGGTTTGAATCAATGGCTGTGTGGAATGGGCAGGAGGGATAGCAAAAGACAGAACATCCACTCCTTTCTCTTTGAGAGAAGGAAGCATGCTATGGACCAAAGAAAGAGTCGAAGAAGTAGCCGTTTTGCTATCTTGGCGGTGAGCGATTTCTAAATCGGAAGGAATCTCGTAGTAGTTGTGGTTTCGGGTGTTCTTTGGCAGCACCACAAAGCGTCCCTTCATCACTTCGTGCTTCGATGCATCATCGATCAGTCTCCAGTCATAAAAACCAGTACTCTGGAAACTGGGCAATGTGTGGCTCGGGATCCAAGTGTTTCTACTCTGTTAGGATGCAAGGAAACCGCCTACGACTTCGTTGGGTGCTTTTTGATTGAGCAGTGCATGATAATGCGCGATGAAAGGTCAGTGTCAGAAATGCTATTTTCCCAAGGCAGCGTGTAGTAAAAAGAATAGTGGGAATCGCCAATCGCGGATTTGCTTATCTCTATTACCATATCGTCCCCGACCTCTTGGATATGCACAGGAAATGGAGAAGATAGCTGCCAATCATGCCCATCATATCTAACTGTCAACTTTCAAATTCACTTTTGTACAGGCTATTGAGTTGAACGATGGCAAAGAAGCGGACTTCGGGTGAAATATGACCGAGTAAGGAAATAAGGAATGACTCCATCTTGTTATACAAGACACGAAAGCGTTGCGATCCGGCCAGCGAGTATGATACACATAAGATATGCTTCAAATCTTGCTCGATTCTCTGAAAATACCTGTTTTGTACCTCCTGCATAGGTTGAAACAGTTCCTTCAGTTCCTTGTTCGAGTACAACAGGGGAAACGATTTGGTCTTCTTTATCAATTGCTCGCAGTGCTTCCATGATGCCTTATATTCAGAAAAAGTAATACCGTTGTATGTTGTTGCCTTAGGAGTACATTCTTTGAAAAGCGCGCGTTGGCAATCAAAAAGAGATTTCCAAGAAAGAGAGCAATTGTCCATGAAATATTATGTATGATCTTTCACCTTGTCAAAAAACAGTTGTTTGACAACTTTGATAGAAACCGAGGTCCACACATAAAGATGCTTTCACATACTATTTCAATAAAACGGACACGCCAACCCGATTTCGAAAGTGCTCATGAGACTTCTTCCATTATCAAACCGATAGCTCCTAACCAAATGCAATTGATTTACCAATTCGCAAAAGACTTTGAAATACGTGAAAACGATGATTTCCAAAAATCTGAACTATTGTCTTAAAAACAAAATAAGAAGTTTTTGTAGGGATGAGCTACTCTTCTGTGGACAAGAAATTGGATACATATATTAGTAAGGGAGACAAAATTCAGTTCTCCCATCAAGTCGGGATGGTTTGTTATTGTCATTTTTTAGGGTCAGGTACATCAGGCCATTGTTGAAGTAGCGAATTCAAACACCGTTCAAGTTATTGACGTGGTAACTAAGAAGCAACTTGAGATCGCTCATAATTCATATTCTAAAGTGGAGAAGGCGTGTACATTGCTATTCAAAGAAAGTTGACAGAGTAGATAACGTTCATAGTAAGATTCCAATCGAAGTTGGCGACCTGGTCTGTTTTTCAAATGATGTATTTGAAATCAGGATGTCTAATTTCCAGGGAAATGTATATAATGGAATCGTAGTGTCGTTTGATCCTGCCAAGTCTGTTGTCGCTGTTGACCTTGGTCCGCTTTTCAACAACAGCATCCACCAAGTAGCTCCCAATAAACTCTCCTTTTTGGCCAAAGGCTGGACTTGGAGCAGTGGTTTCCAGCCTCTCAACCCGCATGGCAACATGCCGATGTCTTCCCCCTCGCAGACGCAACCTGTATGTATTTTCTTTTTTTTCTTTCTTTTTCTCTCTCTCTCTCTAACACTTGCAGAATCCACAAGGTGTGACCACCCCCATTAACACAGCGCAAAACGCATCCAACATCGCTCTGCTCTACCCGGCTCCCTGCGTCGTCATGGCTGTTCCCTACAATACAAGTACGCTCCGCTCCCTTCCCTTTCCTCCTTCTAGACCCCGATTCCTTCCCGGAAGCAATGTGGGTGCAGATGCCCGATCGCACCTCCAAGCAGCCAGTACTGCTCCCAGTGGTCCGCATGGGCTGTGACACGGCGCTGGTGGTGGTTCCTCCGAAGAACCGCACGGGAGGCTCTGTGAGCGTGATGCCCGTGAAGACGTCGCCTGCGCCCAGTCGAGGAAGCGCTGTGGGAGTGTGTTTTGTTTGTGCCAAACAAGAGAAAGGATTCAGAGAGAGTTAGTACGGGCGATAGGGCCGGCGATAGCCGCCTCGGCCGCCGCGGCGACCTCGACCGCCGGATAACATGAATCGAGGAAGGTTCTTGCGCTTTTGCTCGACGGTAAGTTTTCGTTCGTGGAAGGTATTGCCGTTGAATAGGAGGGCGGAAGGGACAGAGTCCGGATCAGCAAATTCGATGTATGCTGCACTAGACGTCAGAACAAGGGAAAGGAAATACCCTTTAGGATAGCCCTCGCGATTCGTGAGAATCTTGAGACGTGTAATCGAACCACAAGTTGAAAAATACTCCATAAGTTGGTCTGGAGTTACACTGTAGTCCACTCCTTTGACAAATACGCTACGCTCATCAATTGCGCCGACTGGTTGGTTCGCCTTCACAGCAGCACTGATCTTACCATCATTCTACTTGTCATAAAAAGTAGGATTTAAATACATCTGCTGCCAACTGCTTTAGTATTTTCATGCCCTCTTCACCCTGTTTATCGATTGACTCGCGCGTCTTATCTAGATCTTCCAATGTTATTTGTTCTTCTGGCTTTTGGACATCTTCGGTAAAGTCGAGGTTCGACTCTTCCTTTGTTACACTCCCCGTGTCGGACATTTTATAAAAAGTAACCAATACCTATAAACTCAAAATTCCCGCGATTTCTCACACTAAAAAGCAAACTTATTTTTTGATCTACATAGAATGCTTAATAGGGGAGAAGATTGTCGTGATTCCAACCCAATGTCGAACCACGAGTTCGCTTCATCTCGCCGCTTTACGCGTCTTCACGATATTAAAACGCCTGCTTCATAGATTCTGCACTGGTTTTTTACAATCGACTTTCGAAATTCCACCACCTTTCACAAACTCATTTTTTGATTCTTTCTAATGTCGAAGACTAGTTTGGAACGGATTCGTGAACTCGAGGCAAACATTGAAAAGAATGTTCAGAATGCAAATGGTACTCAATTAGGGAACTTGGTTAGTTTCCATAGATATTGCTAGTTGATGAAGATTATGAATGATGGCACACTGGTACGATTCGTTGTGTGTTTCGCTTACTTGTTTAGAACAGCAGTCTGACTGTCGCTGCCATGCACGCTCTTCGTCGCACCTACACCCGTTTGATCGACAGCAACTATCTTCGACCAAAGAATTTGAACGCCTCCTCGAAATGTATTCTCGACCGTCCATTTCCAAAGTGTAGTGAACCAGGCAGTTGAAAAGTTCCGCTTCTGGCTGGTGGAGCATTATCGCTCGTTCCAAGATGACCTGGTCGATTTATTCACGAGTCAAAAGGGTAACAATAGTGTATGTGCATGGAAGAGCATGAACCGAAGGAAACCGCCTTCCAGGTCGCCGTCTATTTGTGCCAGAAGGGAGGATACGCCGAGGAAAAGTCCGTTCCTCAATTCGACCAGGATTTCTACACCAAAATCGTTTCGAAGCTCTTGACCTTCAAGGCCATCCCCAATCCGATCCTCACTCGACTGAAAGAAGTGCATTGCGCATCTCTCTCTCCATCGTAGGAATATCTCACCTACACCGATATGAAATTCTACACCTTCGCAGTCCTGAAAAGAATCCTAAATGCCCACGTCGCCAACAACGCGGAAGCCTCCAGCCAAGCCAACGAGGCGTTTTCGGATGTCCAGACCGTTTCCGAGCTCTCCATGTTTCCCCTGTTTCCCCGATTGACCCCTAGAGAAGAGCTGGTCAAGCGCATTCTCTACCTGCTCAGTCTCATCGAGTCTCCGATCGACGAAACCCCCTCGCTGCTGGTACGCGATTTTGGTTCCCGCTAACAGGAAGGGCGTTTTCTCCGAGGCCAACCAGGCGCCCGTGAACCAGAAGAGGAACTTCACGGCGCTGGTGATGCTGGTTCTGGGCCAGTCGCTGAGCGAGAAGCTGCTGCACTACATCCTGCTGCGCCTCCCGACCCATTTCCTGCCGTTCCTGCACCAGCCGCTCTTTCTGACCGACTTTCTGACCGACTGCTACAACTACGGCGGCGTGCTGGCGGTCATGGCGCTGGGCGGGCTGTTCTACCTCATCACGGAGCACAACGTGAACTACCCCGAGTACTACCCCAAGCTCTACGCGCTGCTCACGGACGACGTGTTCGTGCTGAAGTGAGGCGTTCGGGCGGCGAGTCACGCGCAGATATCGCCAGAAATTCCTCACGCTGCTGGTGAAGTCGCTGCGGTCCACCGCGGTGCCCGCGCTCGTCGTGGCCGCGTTCTGCAAGAAGCTGTGCCGGATCGCGATGCGGAGCTCGCCGTCGACGGCGCTGTTCGTGATCCCGCTGGTGACGGAGCTGGTGACGTACCACCCGTCGCTGTACCCGCTGCTGCAAGTGGAGGATAAGGAGGACGTGTACGATGTGGTGAGCGTGCGGAAGGCGCTGCCAGGAGTGGAGGAGGAGGACGAAGCGGAGGTGATGAAGCGAAAGCAACGCGCTGGTGAGTGGGTGGATGACGAAGACGACGAAGACGAAGATGAAGATGAAGATGAAGAAGAGAGTGTGATTGAGAGTGACGACGATGAGAACGGCGAAGAAAAGCGCGCGGGAGCGAAGAAAATGGAGGAGGAAGACGAGGTCGTGGCGGAGGTCGACGATCGGAAGCCCGTGCCGGTTCGCTCCACCGCGGTTCTGTCCTCGGAGATCGTGCAGACCACGCTGAAGCGAATGGAGCGAAAGCGCCAGCAGCTCGAATCGCACCCGGAGCTCCCCGAGAAGCTCCCGCACATCGAATACTCCTTCCGAAGTCGCTCTTGCTGCCTCCCTTCACACCTAGCCGGGAAAGAAATGCTCAGCCGCGCCTCCGCGTTCGACCCGTACGACGAGACGAAGAGCATGAGCGACTCCGGCGCGCTGGAGAGCTATCTCTGGGAGCTGCACGTGCTGCTGCACCACTACGATCCCAACGTCGTCGAGATGATGCGGAAGCTCCAGACCAAGCTCCTGCGGACGCGCCAGCAGTTCAACGGCGTCGTGAACGTGACGTACGCGACGGAGTTCGCGCGGCTGCTGCGCGCGGAGCCCGGGCAGTTCGCGCCGGCGCAGCGGACGGGAGCGTTCCTGCGGGGCGGCGTGCTGGGAGCCATGTTTGTTTAGTGTGTTCGATTGGGTGTTTGTGGCACAAACAAGAAAGTCTTTCATGATTAGGATCTGAATGGCGAAGAGGATGAACAGAACGCCGCCGGAGATGGAGATGACGCGCGGAGAGAGCACGCGGGCGAAGTAGTCGCCGCCCAGAACACCGCAGAGAGTCGCTATGACGTACCCTGCAGCCGCGCCGAGAATGACTACAGGATGAGAGAATGCGAGGAGCGGAGACGTACCGGAGGAAATGGGATGGGTTCCGGCGAGAGCGATCGTAGAGAATTGCGACCGATCTCCCCACTCGGCGAAAAACACCATGATGAACGTTTTGAAAATGATCTGCGGGTGAGGGTCCGCTGAGAAGAGGGATACGTTGTTGAGGTCGCAGCGAGTCTCCGAAGGCCTGCTCTTGGAGTGAATGAGACCGGACTCTGCATCCGAGAGATCATTGCCCATGTGCTGGTTGACGGCCTCCTCTGCCTCTCCGTACTCTTCCTTTACATCGCTACACTCGAGAGAGCTGGGGATTGCTTACTTTTCGGCGTGGAGCCCGTCGATAATCATTCGAACTCCAAAGAAAACAAACTAGATTATAAAAAAAACTCACCGAAAAAGGGTACAAGGACGGAGGCAACGACGACGGAAAGCTCGCGCGACATGAGGATAGGAGCGGCCAGGCCGATTGCGCAAGATATCACACACATTACCACCAACGCCAATACCGAGCCGAGGAACACAAGCCACCGGTTATGAGTCATAGCCAAGATAGCTCCGATGAAGAACGTCTTATCGCCAATTTCCATACTGAGAATCATGATACTCGTTTTGGAAAAGCCAGCAAACCAATTATTGGATTTTTCACTAGACGGTTTGCTTATTTGCACCTACATTTATAAAAAAGATACACCAGAATTATACTGAAATTTGCTCACTCAGTCTGCGTGAAAGGATGGAAGAAGCCTCCACGGTTGATCGGTAGGCGGTTCCCATCATTGATTTTATGCGAGACTGAAGACTTCCCAAAACGGATGAAACGGAAGGATCCGAGACTTGTTCTGCATGGATCGGACTGGCCAATAATGCGAGGATGAGGAGGATTGGAAAAAAGCGCATAAAAATAGGAATTAAAAGAACCGAAGAATAACGGTAATCCTTTCTTTTTGATTATTAATTTATATATATTTGATACAAGTGGTGGCGGTCTATAGCTTCAAGAATTAACAGCGCATCTCAATAGAAGAACCTCAATGGAATCCCCCTATTTGTGGGAAATACTAAAAAATAAGATGGAACAATATTACTAAACACATAACGGACAAACGGGTGACAACATACATTTTGGCACTACAATTATTTTTTTGCGATGGGACAAGACCAAAGTTCGCAATTAAGAGACAAAGAGGAGACACCGGCAAAGGATGGAGCAGAAACTGGTTTTCTCCGATTAAAAGTGAAACACCATAATCATCGATACTTCGTGTCATCTGGTAACCTGGAAGGCGTGCAAAATATCGAGGCAGAGCTACAGAGAAACGATTTATCACCCTTGTCAGATGATGGTATGACTGAGTGAATTGTTGTGAACCAAATAGAGTTTGATACGGATAGTGACGTTGAAATGACCCCTATGATCAATACTCAAGAACTAGTGGAGAACGTGCTGCATGCTCGTTCCGGGAAGCTATTTGTCCGAATATCGAAACTAAAGCCGGAGTCTGTTTCAACACCGGTGTCGTGTCTTAATGTGACATCTCTGTTGGAGGTGGCTCAGTACTGTACTGATAGCACGCGTCTGGAGATGTCATTTGTGAACAAGTTCTTTTATCGTTTGGTTCAGTCCTCCCGAACCTCCGTGGACATTAACTGTAAAAGTGGCTGGGTCGACACGATCAACCACAGCCCGCTCATCGAATCGATCTCCCTGCTCCATGACGGGGATCCAGAAGACCTAACGCGTTTTTGTACGATCATCCGGAACGACGGGTTTCCCTCGCTCCGCTCGCTTTCTCTGAGTTTTGTTTCCGACCACGCGGTCATCGCCATCGTCGGAGCGCTCGCCGACTTCGCGAGCCACCTCGCCCACCTCCACCTGGCCAGCCCCGCGCGCGCCGTCTCCTTCTCCCTCCAGTCCTACTTCCTCTCCGCCTCCGTCGCCTACGCCTTCCAAGACGCGCTCGCGCGCGGGCTCTCCCGCACGCTCGGCTCGCTCGAGCTGCGCACCGACGACGTCGCCGGGCTCGCCGGCTTCTTCAAGATCGTGGACCTCAGCGACGCGCGGCTGCTCGACCGCGTCGCGCTGGACTCCTGCCCGCTCCAGGCGCGCGGGCTCGAGCTGCTGCTGCGGTCGGTGTGGCCCGACACGGGGCTGCGCGCCTCCGCGGTGCCGCTGCGGCGACTGGAGCTGGGCAACGTGCAGGCGGAGGACTGCGGACTCAAGTCGCTGGCGGTGGTGGCGCGGCGGAACGGGCTGATCAGCCTGGAGACGCTGGACGTGGGGAACAACAAGCTGCGGCGGCGCGGCATGGGGTATCTGGCGGGGGCGCTGGCGCAGTACTGGCTGCCGAACCTGCGGAAATGCGTGCTGACGAACAACAATCTGGGCGCAGGGGCGCTCGTGGCGCTGTTCGACGCGCTGGCGGCGGGCCGGTGCGTGCTGCTCAGCGTGCTGGAGGTCGAGAACACGGGCATCGGCGAGGCCGACCTGGCCCATCTGGCGGGGTTTCTGCGCTCGCCGTTCGCGGAGAACCTCGCGCGGCTGAACATCTCGATGAACCCGCTCGTCACGGCGGCGCTGCCGACGTTCTTCCGCGGACTGCTGGAGGGCTCCTGCCGGTCCATGGAGACGCTCTTCCTCGAGGGAATCTCGCTCTCCGGCGCGGAGATCGGCGGGCTGGTGGACTGGCTGCGCAGCCGCAAGGCCGCGCGCTTGAAGCACTTGCTCTTGAAGTCCAATCTGCTCGATGAGGCCGCCTTCTACGCGCTGGTCCGGACGCTGATTCGGAAGGAGTGTCCGCGCATCCAGGTTTTCGATTTCAGTCGAAATCTGATCGGGAACTTGGACGCGCAGCGGTGGGACGAGCTCATCCGCGGCGATGGCGAAGATGTCACCTTTGAGCAGGTCGATTATTCGTTTAACCCGCTCACCGATGCGGATATGGACATTCTCCTTCGCTTTATGCGGCGCTTCTCGCGCATCGAGCGATCTGTCCGCATCACCTTCTGCGGGAACTCGATCACCGCGAAAGCCATCAACGCGTATTGCGGGGCGCTCACGGATGTCGGGAGCGCGCTGCAGTTCCTCTCCATCGACAGCTGCACGATTTCGGGATGTGGGCGGGCGTTTCATCGGTTTCTTGTCAGCCAAGCGGCCCGCCACCTCGAGGTTCTGGTCGTGCGCGATTGCTGCCTGACAGAGGAGGACTTGGAGCTGCTCTGTGAGGCGTTTGAGGAGGATGGCTGTCCGGGATTGGTGTATCTGCAATTGGACGGGAATTCGGAGGTCAACGACGCGTTCGTTGAGCGGCTGCTCGGCGTGCTCGAGCAGAACCACTTAAGGAGCCTGTCCGGACTGGAATTAGCGTATACCTCGATCACGGTGACGGGGCTGAAGCGATTTGTGCAGTATGTGCAGGAGCATCCGTACACGCGACTCTGGATGCTCTGCTTGAAGAAGATTAGCGTGTCGTCCAAAGTGGCGGAGATGTACAAGGAAACGATGAAACAAATATTTCATGGCACATTTTCGATCTAGTTGTCCTGATTTGTGTTTGTTAAAAAGAAAAGAATTCGGAGAGATAGTCGTTTTTAACTTTACTTTACCAAACTTCTGAATAATCGCGATTGTTCCAAAAGTAACAAAAAAACATCATTCGTGTCATGAGTACAACATCCAGTAGGAACAATGAGGGGAGAGCTCAGAGTGCAGGAGTAGTGAAAGTGAACTCTGTACAGGAAAAGGAGTATTCCCCCAATGTGGTGAGAAATACCAAGTACACACCCTTTAACTTCTTATTTAAGAACATTTACGAGCAGTTCCAGTAGGAGTTTTGCGTTTATGTGAGTTTGTAGTCAACCAATGAACTGCTACTTCCTTTTGATTGCCATTCTACAGGTTTGCCAAAAGCGGGAGAGTGATAGGGGTGTAGGGGTTTAAGGCAATCACGGTGAACAATCCGTGGACCACGTGGCTGCCACTCATATTCATTTTCGCAGTCTCTGCGACGCGTGAGCTCGTCGATGATATCAAGCGCGCCAAGGCAGACACTGTTTGTGTTTCTAAGTTCCTTCCCATCGTAGAAAGCGAATAACAAACTGGTGAAGAAGCTCTCCGAAGGGAGCGTGATCGAAGTACCATCGAAAAACCTGCATGTTGGAGATGTGCTCTTCATCGAGGAGAACGAGGAGATTCCCTGCGACTGCGTCGTTCTCTACAGCAGCAACGCGAACGGCATCTGCTACATCCAAACAGCGAACATCGATGGCGAGACCAATCTCAAGCTCCGCTGCGCGCCTTCGCTTACGCAGAAAAAGCTCGAAAAGTGCAGGGATTACGAAGGCGTCGCGAACGCCATCCACAATATGGACGCCATGACCATCGAGTGTCCGCCTCCCAACTCGCGCATCTACGATTTCCCCGCGGTTCTGCGTCAAGGCGAGGATTCCACGGCTCTGGATGCGTCTTCGCTGTTTTTGCAGGTCTGCCATCTCTGCAACACGCGTTACATGTACATAGAAAAAAGTCCCGATTTTTGGCATAGCTTCGCAGCGGTGGTTTACACTGGAAATGAAACGAAATTCGGACAAAACAAGGATGTGCCGGAGATGAAGCTCACGAAGAGCGATCGCATGATTAACTGGTTCACGGTCGTTTTGTTTTGTTTTCAAGTGGTTTGTGGGTAGTTCGTGTAATCTAGTTAATTCTCGCGGTTCTTCTGGGCGCGATGGGCATCCGCAATCTATCCACGATCCCGAAGTGGTATATCGGTAACCACGAGGGAGAAAATGGATGGCTCGATTATATCGTGGTCCCTCTGCGTTTTTTGCTTCTCAACAGCTCGATGATTCCGATCTCGTTGAAAGTGACGCTGGAGGTGTGCAAAGTCATTTATTCGATGTTTATCAACATGGACGAGCAGTTGTACGCAGTGCGGAGGCGTAGCGATGTAGCCAAAGGCTGGATGCCGATGCTGCGGTCGACGATGCGCAGAACGTTCACTGCAACTCCAGCTGCCTCAGCGAGAATTTAGGGCAAGTGCGGTACATCTTTTCGGACAAAACGGGGACGCTGACGAAGAACGAAATGATTCTGAAATATTGTCGTGTTTGGAACACGCCGTACCTCCACACATCAATTCTCTTAGCTGTAGCATCGAACTGAGAGATGCCAAGACGAAAATCCCGCCGCCGCGCTCGGACGAAGAAGTAACTTTTCGATTTCGCTGTTTGTTTCTAACGACTAGAAAGAGCTTCTGGACGACTTCCTGCGCTGTTTGCTGCTCTGCAATTCCATCGTCGTCGACAACGGCGTCTACAAGTGCGATTCTCCCGATGAGCTCTGTCTGGTCTCCTACTGCCGCTATCTCGGCGGAACGCTTCTCTCCAAGCAAGGCAGCCACACCCGAATCCTCCTAAACGGGGAAACGGAGAACTGGATCGTCCAGAAGGAACTGGAGTTCTCTTCCGAGCGCAAACGAATGTCCGTTCTGGCCTGCAACCCCGCGTTGAACCGCTATCTTCTCTTCTCCAAGGGCGCCGACGACATGATTTTGGCGCGCTCGCGAAGAACCGGCGAATGGAACGGCCTCGACCTCGCTCAAAACGTGGAAACCATCGTGGAAACGCTGAGAGAATACGCGGATAAAGGGCTGCGAACGCTGGTCATGGGCGTTCGCAATCTGGACGAAACCGAATATAAAGAATTCGTTTCGAAGGTCGAGGAAGCGTCGAAAGCCATGGAGAACCGCGAGCAAGTCAAGAGCGAATGGTAGAATCGTGGAACGCGTGCGAGGTAGTTACGACGCGATCGAGCGCTCGCTTCTCCCGCTGGGCATTTCCGGGATCGAAGACTTGCTTCAAGACGACGTGGAGCCGACGATCCGCGTAGGCAATAAGCGAAAAAAGCTGAGCGAAAGTATCTGCGCGCGTGCGGGATCAGCGTGTGGATGATCACCGGAGACAAGCCCAACACGGCGATCAGCATCGGTCGTTCCACGGGGATTATCGATCCGCAGACCCCCGACCGCGCGATCCTGCTGCTCGACCGCACGCCGGAGCTCCGCGACGCGCAGGCCGTGCTGGCCCGCCTCGCCGAATGGACGCGCGACGTCGACGCGCATCGTAGCGCTCTCTCTTCTCTTCGCCTCACACGCAGCGACGCTGCCGTTCGCGCTCTGCGTGACCGGAAACATGTTCTCTTTCATCACCTCCACGCAGCCGTCCAACGCGTGCCCTGATTCCCTCACCGACGCGCTCGTCGCGCTCGCCATGCGCGTGCACTCCGTCATTTTCTGCCGCGTCTTCCCCAAGCAGAAAGTACGCCCCGCGGGGAACTGCTGAATAGTCCGAAGTGGTGCTGCTGATGAAGAAGCGGACCGGACAGGTGACGCTGGCGATCGGCGACGGCGGGAACGACGTGATTATGATCCAGAACAGCGACGTGGGGGTCGGGATCGTCGGGAAGGAGGGGCAGCAGGCGGCGCGCGCGGCGGATTACGTGCTGAGCGAGTTCAAACATCTGAAGCGGCTGTGCTGCGTGCATGGAGTGGACAGCGTGAGCCGATCGTGGACGATCAGCAACTACAGCTTCTTTAAGAGCGTGATTTTCTGCGTGCTGCAGACGTCGTACGCGATGTTCTCGTCGTATTCCGGCGTGTCGCTGTTCAACTCGATGCAGGTCACGCTGTACAACATCTTTCTGTTCATCCCGATCGTGTCCATGGTCACCAAGCGCGGCTACCAGGAGTCGGAGCTGCTCAATCGCCCCGCAGTGTATCGGTATTACAACGACACCGATCCACAGAACAAGCAGACTCTCTTCTCCTTCGCGGAGTTCGTCACCTGGGTCGTTATGGGCGTTCTCCAAGCGCTCATCGTCAATTGCGTCGCGGCGCTCATCGAGGGAACGGGAGCCTACGACGCCATCACCAACACGGTCTTTTTCGCGAACCTGCTCTCGCAGGATCTCCTCATTTTCTTGCTGCTGCCCAACATCACGTGGCTGAACGTCTGGGCCGTGCTGCTCTGCCACGCACTGATGTGGCTGGTGTGCTTCGTCTGCTCGTCGGTGACGGGGCTCTCGGGGTTCGTGCCGTACATGTCGATGCAGTAGGGGCGTGGGACAGCGGTGAGGCGCTAGGTTTGCGAACGCGCAGATGCTTCATTGGGTGAGCTATCTCGTGTTGGTGCCGCTGTCGATGTATGTGTTCTTGGGGAAGAAGATCTTTGGGAACAAGCCGGTGGAGCGGAGGGAGGAGAAGGCGAAGCGATGAAGGAGCGTTTGATCGGAGTCCAATGCGATTTTGGAGCCGTTTTTTTATTATATATTTATATATGTATCAATAGAATTCTATTTGTTTGTTGTATTGTAGTAGTAATTGAAATGATGATGATAATAATAATAATAATAATAATAATAATAATAATAATAATATTAATACTAATAGTTCATTGTTGCTGTCATTGTTATCTCTTTTGCTCGCAAGAAAACCCCTTTTCGCTTGTGTTCTTTTCTCTAACAAACACAGAATCGAAGTTCCACGTGCAGCTTAGAAGCCAGACTCGCTCGGATTTGCATCTGGATCTGATCGATCTCCTATCCGTCACGTCTCCATCCAACTCCCACCGAATTCAGCAGATTGCGCGTGTGGCTTCGATAGCTAATTCGATAGCACAAACTCTGCTTCTGCGTCTTCTTGTTAAAGAACGAATCAATCAGATCGATCGACTCCACCAACTCATTGCTTTCATCGCGCACAATCTCGTACATATCGTTATACGCGAACTGCTCCGCTACTCGTCATCCCTTTTCTTCGCCGCTTACGCGTCATGTTCGCGGGCAGATAGAACGAAATGTCCTTGTAGCACGCAGGATATTTGCTGAGCGGCTGGAAAACCGGGATCGCTTCGCCCGGCTTCAGTCCGTCCTTCACGCTCTTGAACTGATTCAGAAAGCGCGGATCGGTGGACCAGAACAAGCGAATGTCCGGGATCTGGAACAGACTCATTGCGAGTCGCTCCAGTCCGATTCCGAGCGCCCATCCGCAGTCTTTCTATTGGTAAAACGGAGCCGGAAAAGGGAAAACAGGACGACCCGCATTCGCCATGACTTGGTTTTCGATCACTCCACTGCCAAGCAACTACGGAGTTGATTTCCAAACGCACAGATACCTCCATCCACTTCTGGTTGTACATCACCTCGACCTCTAGAGAGGGGTTAGTGAAGGGGAAGTACGCGTCCACCCAGCGATGCTTCGCGTAACGAATTTACAGAACGCCTACCTCAACATTTCCCAGAAGGTACTTGATCAATCCTTCTACAACACCCTTCATATCGTTAATAATAACATCACTTGAGGAATTCTATGGATCAGAGAGAAGAGGAACCACAAACTCGCTCTAAAACCCGAACAATCTCCATTTGAGTGAATGCAGGGGAGTGGGTTTTGTTTACCTCATCTCTCCGGTAAACATCTCCGACCACAATAAATGAGTTCACATTCTGCTGCAGCACTTCGACCTGGTGAGCACTTGTATGGGGTCTAAGAACATGTGTTGCGTCAACATAGTATGAGTCACTCTTTCTACGCGAGACATGATCTTTTGGAATCAAAATATCATCAAAAGCTTGTTTCGTGGTCACAATCGGCGAAAAATCTTCATAAACGGAAAACTCGTGGTCGTACTTATTTAAGAAATAAGAGAGAATTGTTTTCTTTAAAATGCAAATGGGGTTAAGCTCTTGCTTGTAAATGTTGACTCCAACCTTTTTTGCAATAGATGACGATATGTTGTTGTACTCGTTGTTTTGGATCAGAGGATCTAAACTGAAAATAGCATTCAATGCGTACAAGAAGATTCGCTATGGATAAACTTGACAAGGTTTACAAAGCTTCTTTTACTAGCACTGTAACATACATAAAAAGAGCGGGAGAGCATCGCAAAAAAATACAATGATCAACACTGGTAGTATAATACACTGATGAGTATCAATAAATAAAGCTAAACATATGATATTTCTGACTTTAGATACTAAAGAACCTTTTGACCTCCCTTATATGAAAGTTCATTTTATTAACTATACATATGCACATATACTTACATACATACATACATACGTACATACGTACATACATAAATACATACAAATATACATACAAATATATATAAATACGCAATGAAAATATATTCATCCCCTAAACTCAAAAATACCTTTAGTAAAATTGTTGAAAGGTTATTCATACGAATAGTCAGTTTATATTTACATATTGAAGCTCACTTATGTTCAGCAGTGAATTACATGATGTAGTGAAAATAGTAGCTTTTATTTATGGCGATCAAAAATGTAGGTAAGTGTCTCGAATCCGACTGAAAAGTCACTGTCTGATATTCTTAGTGATATAAATATTACTAATAATGATACTAATGAGGTGACTAACAGTCATGGGACACAGTTCGCTTGTATTTAGTTTCTTTACCCATAGTGAAAGTGCAAATAAATTTAGTCGGATTACCAGCTCCGTAGATGATAGAATGATAATTACTGGCTGGCTTCTTGTAGAATTGACAGGCGGCGACGCTTTTTATTTGTTCGTTGACCGAAACAGAGGAGAAAGCGATGGTTTTTTAATAAATAGTGATAAAGTAGAAAAGGCATACAATGGATTGAAAGAAAGATCTACAGAGAAGGAAGTATATTTTAAAACTATTGATTTGGATCCTGGAAGTCGATTTGAAGGATTGGTATTGACAGAAAACGAAAAAGAAGGTAGTAGTGAAATTCCATTTGGATATGGTGAAATGTATGATGATGATGGATTCTTGGTGTACAAGGGCATAATGATCAATTGGAAACGATTTGGGTATGGAACGAGTTATCATAATAATGGTGCGGTGGAATATGAAGGATATTGGTGTGATGATAATCGATTTGGAAGTGGAAAAGTGTATGATCGATCTGGTAAATTAATTAAAGAATGTAAATGGTACTATGGAATTGAATGTGATACTGATGAAAAATATGAAGGAGATGGAAGCAAACCAATTAATATTGGAATCAAACATTTGAAACTGATTAACAATTGTGTATTGTGTAATTGGGATGTTTCGTGGTTTTTGAATTTGGAATCAATCGAAATTGGCAATGAATGTTTTGGATCGGTGCAAACATTCCGAATCGATGGATTGAATCAACTGAAAACTATCAAAATCGGGAAGAATTCATTTACTCAGGAAAAGGACAACTATGGAAACAATAGCAAGAAATCCTTCCACATATTGAACTGTGAGTCACTGGAATCCATTCAAATTGGTGAATATAGTTTCAGTGATTTTGCTGGAGACTTCGAATTGAAGAATCTACCACAATTACAATTTATCAAATTTGGAAACTATGGCTACGATTGTTACAATTTTTATAATAGTTCATTTGTTATTAGCGGTAGAACTATGGAGATCCATTGATCCCTCAGACTTCCCCTCTCTTCAATCGGTTTATATAGGCGATCGATCATTTGGCGGCTCAGATAAATTTGATATTCGAGACTCTATATCCTTATCAAAAATAGAAATAGGTGACTACTGTTTCAGTGCTGTGGATAAGTTTATACTCACCGATTTTTCCAGCTTAAAAGATTTGAAAATAGGAAGTCATTCGTTCACGAAAGAGACTAACAGCTACGATAATAATGTTAATAGATTGTTCTCGATTGTGGACTGTGCTAATTTGTGTTCCATTACAATAGGAGAGTGTAGCTTTTCCGATTATGGTGGAGGATTTACTTTGAAAAAACTCCCATCTCTGGAATCCGTTAAAATCGGAGTCATTGAGACGGGATCATGGAACTTTTATTTTAGTTCATTTACAATGGAGAGTAGTATATACATAGAATCTACGAATTGCAGATTTACCAAAGCTAAAGACGATTTCCCTGGGTGACAATGCATTCCGCGATGCTTTAACTATGGTATTTAAAGGTATCGAGTCACTGAGTGACCATAAATGAATAGACCTCCCTTCTCTGCAATCGATCGATCTGGGTGACGCTGCGCTTTGTGGAAAGAGAGAAGATGCAAGCTGCTCATTAACAATGCAAAGTATTGAATTTTGGGGGAAGGAACGACATAGATCTATTAAATTTACGTTTAATTGTATCAAGAGGATGGAGTTTTGCCAATAACCGCATGGTAACGCTAGAGAGTGAGTTCGATGAGCGTGCTTCAGTTTTAGACATTCCGCAACTTGAGAATATTTATCTCCCTAATTCTTTCCATATGGTTGTGTTTCCTACTCTGAAGAGTACGCTTTCGTTTGGCTTGCAAGCGTAGATGTCCATGAGTCGCTCTTCCAATTTTTTCCGACGAAGATCGTGCCAACGGACTACATCGATCTGCTTGATACTTCCCTCGAACGGATTGTGCTCCCCGATTGGACCTGCAATGATGCAAATACGACCGAGTTTGATTTCTCTAAATTCCGAAATTTGAAAACACTCATTATCGGAAATGATTCGTTCTACTCAGTCAAAACGTTTCGAATCAAAGAGCTGGATAATCTCACTACAATTCAGATAGGAAAGAATTCATTCACCCAAAAAAAGTTGGGATATGGAAACAATTCCGACAAATCGTTCTGCATCGAAAATTGTAAAAGTCTCACAACCATCTCGATCGGCGAGTTTAGCTTTACTGATTTCGGACATTTCACGCTTCAAAACTTAGAGAAGTTAACTTCGATATCCATCGGATTGTTGGGTAAAAACTCACTCAACTTCTACAGCTGCTCCCTTCGTATTGAAAGTACTGCGCATTTGCATGCTTCGATGTTCGCTTAGATCTTAAATCCTTGGAGACGCTCTGTCTTGGAAACTACGTGTTCCAGAATTCTTTAGTAACTGAATTCAGAAGTAGAGTTGTGAAGTGGCCTAAAAATAGATCTCCCAAAGCTGAATTCCATTAAGCTCGGATATGGAACGCTTCGAGGCCAAAAGGAAAAACCGGAATGTAGGCTTGTCATGTGCGGTATGTCAAGAATTCAGCGAATGAGACGCAGATCTTTTCGAACTGAGTTCGATCGAATCACGCGATTACAGTTTCCTATATCAGAAGTATGTCGAGTTGCGAAGTATGAATCGCGCAGTTCGATGCGAATTAGATATCCCAAAACTCAAATCTGTCAATCTGCCGTTCTATGCATTCCAGACAGTCGCGAACTCTATTATCGAGAGTGCGTTTGAGAGCCTTGCGATGAAGTTTAGATGTTTCCGATCAGCTCGCTTGTTACTTCAAGCCGCAGGACAATCTGGACAACGGATATACCTGCCTCGTTCCTGAGAGCACAGTGCTTCTTCCCGTGCTGGTGGACAAGGAGGGACGAAAGCAGGGCTGGACGATCGAAATCGATCCGCCGAATAACTATTTGATCGTTTTCTATGAGGATGACGTTCGGTCTGGAAAAGGATACATGATTCGAAACCGCTTCGAGATTTTTGAGGTGGAATTTAGCGATACCAACACAATGAAAATCAAGACTGTGCCCACCTCTCACAAAATAATCACAGGAGAGGGGTATCGATTCGAGGGAGCGGTTCATGATAATGAACCATTCGGCTTTGGCCAGCTGTACTCGATTACACGCTACACGCTTTTGTATTCTGGAATGATGGTGGGCTGGAAGCGATTTGGGTTTGGCTCGAGCTATTACTCCTTTGGAATCGCGGAGTATTGCGGCTATTGGGTCGATGACAAGTGTCACGGACCGAGCACGATGCATAGCACCAAGGAAATGTATAAGAATGACTGGTGCTTTGGACTGTCATTAGGTAAATATCCAGTTTACAAAAGAACAGGTTTGCATTGGAATCATCCCGTGATTCATAGATCCATATTATTTGAAATTCTTTTATGAATACTTAGCTCCAATTATCAATAACGCCACTCTCACTTTCAACAATCTTTACTCCACTACAAGCGATAAACTCACTTATACGTTCCGTCTTTATGAATGGAAAAAGCTCCAGTTCATTTCTTTTTATGTTGATGACGTCTGCTGCGTCACTTTTACAATTGACTCGAATTCATTCCGCGAGATTTCGCTTCGCATCGATTCCTCACAATCCATTGAAATTGATGACAATGGAAACCATTTCGACGGCTGTCTTAACAAATCCTACGCCATTGGATCCTTCTACAACAGCAAAAACATCAAAACATACGAGGGAATTAAGAAGGACAACCTCGAAACCGGGTTTGGAATCAGCTATTATGAGGATATGGTGAATCCTTTAATCAAATACATTGGTTTTTTCTCCGAAGGAAAGAGATATGGACCCGGAATCCTCTATGATCGAACAGCCGATAACCAGAAAATTATCGGAATGGGAATCTGGAAAGACGACCAATTACTGGAATCGTCTTCGTATTCAATCGGGTGCAAAGAAGACATCAATCGAATCAGCGACACTATTCAGCACCTAGGTCTCTTTAACAATTCACTCGAGAATGTATCGCTCACTGAGCTGATTTCCCCTTTTACCCATCTCAAATCATTGCATATCGGAGATAATTGCTGCAAGAATGTGAGATCGTTCTCCCTCAAGGATTTTCAGCATTTGGAAACTGTGGTTATCGGCACTGAGTGTTTCTTGCCCCCCATCAGCCAATCCTATGTGAAATCGATCCAGCCAAACATTCTCTCCTTTTCGAATTTGCCGGAACTCAAGTCGATAACGATCAGTAAGGAGAGTTTTTCTTGGATCAAGCAGCTTGAATTGACCAAGCTTCCTAAACTCGAAACTTTGATTCTGGGGTCCATCGAACCTGTTCCTTGGGATCCCAACTTTGGAACTTTTGAATGGACACTAAATTTTCATTTAATTAGTCCCTATCTGCTTTTGATTCTTAACGTATAGATCTCCCCGCGCTCACGACCGTAGTCGTCGGCGATAACGCGTTTAGCACTGTCAATTCCGTTCTTTTTTCGAGTACTCGCTTTCAATCGGCCTTTGATTGTCCAGATCTTCCCAGCTTAACTTCTCTCTCCATTGGACGATCTAGTTTAACGGGAAGCAGTCCATACACCATCTATTTTCTAGATTGTCCTTCGCTGAATTACATGAAGTTTGGGGACGAATCGTTATTAAACTGCAACTCCATTTACTTTTATCGTTCGTTTTCGAAGCTTTCTTCTGAGTGCTAGATTGTCCTCCTCACATTCCTACCGAATTCGGCGGATACTGCCTCACCGGCCTTTCTACCATTTATTGTTACAATCCAATTGATAATCATCCCGTTCTTTCCAATGACGTGAACTCCTACTCCTACTCCAACTCCTACAATGACGTCAACACCAATATTGTTGATTTCTCCAACTCCGACGAGGATTCCAACAATGACGCCGATTCCAATACGAATTCCGCAAATCGTAACGTCGATCAAGATCATTACGGCGCAATGGGCATTCACACCAACAATGAACACGACGCAGAGTCAGTCACCAGTACGGGCAACGGCATACCGCCGCCCTCTCCAACGTCAGCAATCAGCCCGATTGGCAAACCCACTATGAACCACTCCATATCAATCATACAAGAGCAGATCGACGAGGACTCCACCGATTTCATCAGTTATTTCCACGTTCGATGCAGTGCTGAGCTTCTCTTCTTCCACCAGCGCATGAAGAACTTCAATATCACGCCCATCATGTTCATGAACTCGCAGTCTGTTGATTTCCGGTCGTTAAAATGTGTCACCACAATCGAATGCAACGACAAATCACTCCAGAAACTGCTCCATTTCACGATCAGCGGCATCGACACACTCACCACGGTCATTCTTCACAACTATGTTTCATCCAACCTCCTTTTGCAAGACAATCATCGCGATAACGTTCGATCGTCTCTTCAGAGTCCAAAAGATCCGAAAGAACTCCTCGGAGAAAAAGAACACAGTCTTCTGGCATATCTTCAAATCTACGAACCCACAGTCAAGGACCCGCCTTCCTTCACGCTGACGCAGCTCTGCAATCTGGAGGAGCTGCGCGTCGGTGTAGCCTGCGGGACCAATTTCGAAACTTTCTCGCTCTCCAGTGCGTGTTTTGCGTGGCCAATCTCCCATAGAACTTCCCAAACTGCGGTTGATCAGCATCGGGGAAGGCGAAGCGCCCGGCGTTAGCTCCTTCCCACTCGTCATATCGCTGCTGCTGAATGGTACGATTGCGTTCTGCTCTCTGAGTAGATCTTCCTTCGCTGCAGTCAATCCGTATCGGCGACAACTGCTTCTTAAATGCCACGGAAGTCGAGTTTTCGAGTAGGAAGCAACCGCTTCGCGTCTAATCCAAAGGCTTGAAATCACTAACATCAATTAAAATCGGCACGTCGTTCAACAAAGCAGAGATGTACGACGGCTTGCTCATTTTTACAGAGCTTCCAGAGCTGCAATCTATCCAGTGGAAACTCGGTTGTTTCTGCTATATGCAGCAAATCGTTTTTAAAGGTGGGAATGAAAGCGGGTCGTGATCGAATAGACCTTCCCAAATTGGAGGAATTTCAAGGGCCGCTGGAAGAAAGCAGCTACGTGCAGACGGTTTTGTATCCATCTTCGATGGATCACTTTATTCAGGGGTATTCTGGTCTTTTGCCTTTCACCGTCGAGGCAGAAGACCATTCGGGGTATATACGATATCGATAAAGTGTTTGGCTCAAACAATCCACGCATAGTTGTGCAGCAATTGCTGCCGGTAGCGATTTGTCTTCGCAAACTGATAAAACTCGCACTACGATTCACTTGCGTCCGCTCCGTCCTACAAACACTAAATACCCGACCACTCCCCAGAGCAGCACCGTCGCGATCGGATGCTACGCATCATTCTCTTTCCCTTTATTTCCTCCTTACCGTTCGACATTCGTGACGGTCCACATTCAACGTCATGAAGTAATACGCATCGCAGTTCGGTTCCTTGCATGAATTCGACGCTTCTACATAGCTCTGACCCTGTAAACATCGCCGCGGACCCAGGCAATTCTCCACCACCGATTCCTAATCTCCATCCCAATCTCCTCGCCCACTTGCTCATACAGACGAGAAAACCCAATACGGCCCGCAGAACTATTGAACGCAACGTAGAACGCGCGCAATGCCAGCGTTCCGAACACAAACGCGTTGTTCTAAAAATAGTCCCGATTTCTGGAAACTACGCGCAAGGGATGCGCCAAAGGCTGATCGACGCTCGTTCCGTTCATGATACACACACTACGACTCACAGTTTCCACGTTTCCACACTATTTGAGCCCGTTTTCCTCGATAATCAAGTCTTTCAGCGAGATTCGCACGATCTCTCCATTTGCTCGCAATCGAAACTCGATCGTCGGGTACTTTTCCACGTTTCTCCAGTTCTACCGTCCACACTTCCCCGTTTCCCCACCTCGCCGAGATAGCACAATCGATCGCGTCCGGGCGTGCCGTTGGCCGGGCAGTCGAGCAGGAGCCATCCGCACAAATTATTGAAAACTTCGCGCGGAAGGGAGAGACATTTGGAGGTGGTGCTGATGACCGCGGGGTAATGGGTGGAGAAGGTGCCGAGCAGAGCGTGTCCGCAGATGGAGAAGTCGTAGAGATGGAAGTAGTAGGAGGAAATGGAGAGGGATTGGTCGGTCATCTTGTCGCTCCAGATCATGGAGTTGAGGTAGTCCTCTAACGTGGAGAAAAAGGAGAATGCGCACCGCTAAAGTGATTGATGTCGATGTGAGGGTCTTCTTCGTCGAGTAAGAGACCGAAGGAAAGGATCTTGGACGATTTGTAGAAAGCAGCGCGGGGAGGCTTCAGTTTGTACTCGCTGTAGCAGCCGAGACCGAATATACCGTCAGCGTGGAATCGCCAATCGACGATCGGGGGAATGATGTCGTCGCCTCTGAAATTTAGGGGAAATGGAGGAACGAACTGGTGAGAAACGATGACATAGGGATAAACGTCCTCTCCCGTAAAAACAAAAGTTTCGTTGCGATCAACGTTGAGTATTTGTATCTCCCGCTTCCACGGTTCCTTCAGAGAGAGGGATACCGTGCAAAGGTCCGAGTAAATGTCGAAGTTGCCTTCTTCTCATAAAAAAACACCCGTGCGTACTGGAACCCCTCGTGTTGTTACTGATCTCCGAAGAAGAAGACTTTATCATGAGTAATGGTGAAGCAGTGTCCAGAAGGAGCATTTTATACCCGTATCCAACGATGAACGTTGAAAGAAAGTAGTAGTTATTGTTATACGACAATTCAAGAAGACCAGGAGATGCTACGCATTACAGTCTTTTTTCTATTCTACTTTCGTTATTTGTGGCGGTTACACGTAAAAAACATAGAACAATCAAGAGTACAAACATATTCTACGCGCTGTTCCCTTTCCAAACACTCTGTATTTCAAACAAACAAATTGGATTTTTAGCTTCGAAAAGCTCGGATTATGCGTTTTCGCTTATTCTTGCTTGTAAATTTACCAGAAACGATCCGTTTAGAGAGATGGGATGAATACACGTTCATCGAACGTAGTCTTTCCTCCTCTCTCTGCGAACAGATAGCCCTATCTCCCTGACTCCATCTTCCAACATGTTTCCAACAAACCCTCTCATCATGAATACATTATTAAAAAACAACAACTAAATAGTACAAAGCAACAGCAAACCCTTCATCCTTTTCCCTTCTTACAGCTGGCAGTGGTCATTCGTGCAGAACGAGATCGCATCAGGGAACACCTGTCCGACTCCCTCTCCTCCTTCTCTCTCCGTCGAGAACAATCGCTTTCCCCTCACCACCTCCAGCGGACTTCGCACCAGCACCTTGCGCGGCGATTCATTGTTCGGCTCGGCCTTGGAGGTCGCTTGGAGCTCCGCGTCCGCGTTCGCCTCTGCGTTCGCGTTCTCCTCTTTCTTCGCCTTCGCCTTGCTGCAATCCACGTAGAACACCGACCTCGTCTTCCCCTTCAGATCGATGGGCGCGAACTGCGTGGGCTTCGCCTTGACGACGGCGGGCTTGCTGCGATCCACGAACTCGATGGGCTTCAAATCGCGCGTCATTTCGTTGTAGACCTCCTCGGAGATGGCCTCGTAGGGCAGCTGGGGATACTTGGAGTAGTCCTGCTTGGGGAACATGGACACTCCCTTCAGCTGGTACTGGAAGTACTGCAGCATCTGCGCGATGTGCGGTCCCTCGCTCTCCGGGTCGAACGTCACCGTGCACGACACCTGGTTGTCCGCCCAGTACCGCTGCAGGAACGCCGCCAGCGACAGCTGCTCGAACATCGACACCTCGCTCTGCACGCGCACGTTCGCGGGCAGCTTCACCGGCACCTCCACCACCACCGTCGTGTCTTCCTGCCCGATCGCCGGCACCACGCTGTACCCCGCGCGCCGCAGCGGCGCCACCAGCGGGTCGTTCTTCCCCATGCGCATGCGCCGGATGTAGATCCGGCTCTCCGGGAAGTGCATGCCCGGCGTGGAGCCCGCCAGCAGCGACACCGTCCCCGACGGCTTCACCGAGGTCGTCTTGATCGACCGCGGGATGCAGAACCAGTTGCTGTACACCTCGTCCCAGTGCTGCACCGTCGCGTAGCCCTCGTCCAGCCACTGCCGCAGCTCCTCCAGGCTGTGCTTCCCCAGGAAGTCCGCCACGCCGCTCACCGAGCACCCGATCCGCCGGTTCCGCAGCATCACGCGGTTCGTCTCCGGCCAGTGCGTCATGCGCAGCGTCACCGTCTTCGCGTACAGGTACGCGAACTTCAGCGTCCGCAGGTACTCCTCCTTCGTCGCGTGCCGCGCGGGGAACGTCTCCACCAGGCAGCACAGCTCGTACGACTCCAGCGACTGCTCCAGACACGGGTTCCCGCCCTTCACGCGCCAGTCCTTGTTGTTCGGACCGTCCGCCATGCGCCCGAACCGCTGCATGTTCTCCAGCCACGCCAGACCCGGCTCGCCGTTCACGCGCAGACGGCTCGCCACCTCCGAGTAGTCCATTCCCACACGCGCGAACACCGAGTTGTTCGACGACCAGCCGTACGCCATGCGCTCCGGATGCTTCGCGTAGTCCTTCAGGTCCAAAAACGTCTCGTCGTCCGCCTCGCCGAACGCGATCTCCGCCGAGCGACGCACATTCCCGGAGACCACGCACTTCCCGATCAGATTGAACAGATCCACGATCCCCGTCGTGTCCAAGCGCGAACCAATCCGCTTGTTCAGCACCTCGCGGATGCTGCAGTGCAGCTCGCGCAGAGGACGCGGACCGCTGCTCACTCCGCCGAACGTCTTCAACGGCTCGCCCTCGGGACGAATCACCGAGTAGTCAAACTCCACGTCCGGCTGCTGAACTCCGTTCACGCCAAAGTACGCCTTCAGCAGCAACGACACGGAGCTCACCCATCCTTCGCGCGAATCATCGATCACATAGGTGAACTTCTCTCCCTCCTTCGGACCCAGCACCGGCAGCGTGTCGCGTCCCTTCGTATCGAAACCCACACCCACTCCCAGCATCGACGCATCCATCAAAAACTCGAAGGGACGCGTTGGGTTGTTCACAATATCCTCCGTAGACACGAAGGCACAGTTGTTCAAAGCGGCAGACAGATTCTTCTTGTGGACGATCGCAGTACCCATAGCCCACAAACCACGACCAGGAGGCAGGAATTTCATGTTGAACATCAAATCGTACATCTCTTGAGCCGATCGTTGACCATGCTCATCATCCCAACCCAAACGGAATGATTGGATGTGCTCCTTCTGCAATGAATAGGTTCCTTCCACTACACGACGGACAGTCTGCCACCAGTCTTCGTTGGTTCCATCCTCCAGTTTTCTAGAGTAGGTACGACGATACACCAGTTCTCCCAGAGGCGCATATCCAAAAGGAGGCTGAATCGTCTTATATTTATCCAGAAACTCTTCGTCCAATTTGAAACAGAGATTACAATTCATATTTTCGATCTCTAAATGAGATTAGTAAAAACACGATATCTTAAGAGCCACAAGCCATAAGACTAATCACTTACATGTACCAAACCAATTTATACGAAGTTTTTTATATTAGTTGAAAAGGACTTTGAGTTGGCGCCAGAAAAAAAGGGCGGCAAATCGCTTCGGTTTACTCCCCGAATGACTTGGATATTTTACCAATTCTGAAATTATTATAAGATAGAATAGTTAAGAACCTCGATCTCTCTTGAAAGCTTATCAATTAGCCTTTTGAAAGAAGCATGAAATGGAGACGGGATGAAATATGGAATCAAGGGATGAATGGCGGTTTGTGGAATGATGCTAATGTCACACATTATTTGATAGTTTTTTTAAATGAATGGTCCGGGAATGACGGCAATATTATTTGAAAGGATTAATGTGATACGACCTTTATCACAAAAGGGGAACCAATAGCAATAGCAAGAGCAAGAGCTATGGATTCCAATAATATCATTCAAATCGATTTCTTCGCAACTGGTTTGAAAGACAATATCCCTTTCATTCCAACTACTTTTATTAGATTTTATGTTATGCAGGACTTTATTTGTCGCGATATTGATGTAAGCGACGAACGGGATGAGTTGATGACAGTTCATTTGGGCGATAGGACGATTATTTGGCACAAAAAGTATCGTGTATTCTCATTTTGTGTGAAATAGAGGAAGAGTCGTAGGCGAATGCAACCACGAGGACCTCGTGTTCACTCATTATCGTCATAAGACGAACGAAGTAATACTTGTCGCATTACCACGTGTCCTCAGTTGCGGAAAGCGTCCAATGCGCGAACGTCACATTCTCCGTGTGTCGTTTTTCAATCCACCCAAGGAAACACATTTAGTCGATGTTCATGCAAACAATAGTATTGCTAATCAATTATGCACTCACTTTCAAGCTTATAACATTTACAAATTTCTCCGCAAAGCAATCATGGATGAGTATGAGAGAAATACACAACAATTAATTGAGTCAAATAAGCGCTACTATGATTCCCCTGAAGAGTGTGAATGGCTAAAGCAACGACTGTTCGTAAATCCATCCGATTCGATTCTAGGTACTGAATAACTGACTTTTTCGTGATAGGCATGTACTCAAAACGAAACGTATTAGTCATTATCAACCCACATGGAGGCAATACTCGAGCGCTCAGCATCTGGGAGCAATCGATCAAACCATTTTTCATTCTGGTAAATATGCGATACCACTTCCAGACTACAAACTATGCGTATTCTTGACTCATTTCTCTGTTTGTAGGGGGCACGCGGAAGATTTGGGAGTGAACTTTGACTACGAAACCTATGATTCGGTATTATTCATCAGGTTCTCGATGTCTGCTTGCTCTATTGTAGTGGAGATGGTACTGTGAATGAGTTTCTCAACGGAGTATTATCCAGAAACGATGCCCGGAAGATTCTGTTCGCCTGCACCTTTGCTCTAATCTCGGCTGGCAGTCAAAACTCACTTGCTCGAGGAATGGGTACAGACAGCTATCTCACTGCATTGTACTGTCTGGCAAAGCGAAAAACGCGCCTCTACGACAGTATCTGCGTCGAAAACGGATCCAAAGTCTGCCGCTATTCCTTCGCAGGTTGCGGCTGGGGAATCATTTCAGACATGGTGAAAGACTACGAGAAATACCGCTATTTACGGCAATATCGGTACTGGCTGCTCAAAGGAATCCACGGCTGTCTGTGTCTTCGTCGACATTACTCCGTGTACCGATATGTACCCAGCGAGAACCAAGCGCGTCGTTGCTGTCGTCACAAGTATCCTTCGGTTCAGTCTGGGTGTGAATAAAGTAATTTGTAGTGCGACGAGTGCATCGAAAACGCAAATAACTACAAAGGAACACTGTCGATTTCGATTTCATTCTTGACCTCTAGTCCGCTCTTTCCCCATGCCGATCTCAGCATGGTGATTCGCCTCTGTATTCATTCTTCCAGTGATGATTCTGTGGTCGATACGGAGCCAAGAGAGACACAACCCGAGCCAATCAATCGCCCCAGTCCCGAGCTTTCTTCGCTTGGCCTTCTGTCCAAAGAAGGCGAAGTACCGCAAGACCCGTCCATTCAGGATCTCTGGCAAGGTGCGATTTTATCCAAGGATTCATGTTAGAGTTCGGGAAATGCATGTGGTACGAAGAAGAAGGCTACAGTCACACGATCGGAATTATCAACTCCAGTCCTGATTCTCGTTGGTGCCACATATCCTATTCGCTTTCCCGTTTTGCTTTCCTTCACTCCACTCCTGCAGTGGCGTCATGGATCTCGTTGTAGCCAAGCGCAAAAACTGCTGGCGAGACGCCGAAATGGCTCTTCGCTACGTGGTTCGTCAGGAATTCAACTGCGACCTCATGGAATACGTGCGTGTTAAGGCACTGGAGCTCAATAGCTCCACCGATGAGGTGATTATGCTGGACGGCGAGGTGTTTCCGGGTCCCAACCCCTTCCGCTTTGTTTGCATCCCCTGCCTCCTCACTGTCTTTGGAGAGTATTTTTCTGTTTGCAACAAACACACCACGCAAAGTTCTGAGCCACAAACTTCCAGTTCACAACCTCCAGCCACTCTACCGTCAATTCCCTTCACTTGCTCCTACTGTTGAAATAGTTCGCGCGAGCGTTTCGGTAGTCGATGTAATACGCGTGCTCCCAGACATCGCAGCACAGCAGAGGCTTCATTCCGTCTGGAAATCATAAGAAGCTCAGAAACACCTACCACGCAGAGGATTACCAGCATTCGCAGTGCACACAATGTCCAGAGATCCGTCGGCCTTCTGCACCAACCAGGACCAGCCCGAGCCGAAGAAACTCACGGTCTTCGCGCTCAACTCCTTGATGAAAGCATCGTAGGAGCCCCACTTGGCCTCAATGGCAGTCTTCAGGGCGCCATCCTCCAGGGGGCAGCCTCCGTGGCACAGGCACTACAAATCAGAGCTGTTAGGCAAAATGCACATTCCAATAGAAGGTGTGGTTCCAGATCTGAGCAGCATTGTTGAAAACGCCTCCCTCGGCCGTCTTGATCAACTCCTCCAGAGGAGCGCCTCCCTCAGGCAAGAGGTTGTTAAGATTATTCACATAACTACAGATCAGACGGATCCACAAAGATACTACGTCTGGTGGTGCTTACCGTAGTGGTAGTCAATGGTTTCAGCAGAAATGGAGGGCTCGAGAGCGTCACGGGCATAGGGAAGCTCAGGAAGAACATACTTTTGAACGGAACTCATTATAACTTTAGATTGCGATAGGGTAATCAAATAATGAAAGAAAACCAAAAGGTGAATTCGTGCGTCCAATAAACAAGCCAGAACCAAAATAACAATATCATTTGGCTTCAATCTTTTGATTAGAAGGTTCTGTTCCGCATGGACAGTTTTCGACTCTTCCGCGCAGCTTCAACACACGAGTAGTCGCATCTTCTCCGTTGTACAGAAGCAATCTTCCCTCAAGTGTCTTTCCAATTCCTAATATCAACTTCAATACTTCAACCGCCTATTTTCGATGCGTATGATATTATCTACCTCCATTGATCCGACCACCCCGGGTAGCGGAGACAAGATAGGTAACTTTCCGCCATATTTCTCACTATCGGGAGTTACAGGGGTTGTAGGATACAAGCAGCGAAAGCAAGGACCCTGGTTGTGACCATAGACGGTGACCTTTGTTACAGATTGTACAGAACTGTACCTGACCGGAAAAGCGCTGCGTGGCTCCTGATACGAAGCACTTTCCTTGACGGACACATTCATCATTTATAGTATAGCGGGTTTCGATGTTATCGCAACAATCTACAATGAAATCGTGTTCTGCAATGAGTTTAGGGGCATTCTCTTTTGTAAAACGTTCAACGATTGCAACACACTCCAAAGAAGAGTTGAGCTCAAGGGCTCGACTTCGAAGCGATTCTGCCTAGATATTATTGGAAAATGCAAAGATAGCTTTCGGAATGTGATCGATTGCGCTCTTTTCTGTGTGAGCGACTTGACGATGAATGTTACCAAGTTCCACAACATCGTCGTCGATAATTGTGAGATGACCTACATATCGGCAATATGCAAATGACTAACCAATTCCGCTTCCTACCAGATAAAGAACTACCGGTGTTCCTAATCCACCTGCCCCTATTACTAATACTCTTGCGTGTTCGATTCTTTTCTACTGCTTTAGCTTAAGACATAAACCACACTTGACCTTCAACTCCTACACCTTCAAGACGAATCTGTCTGGAATATCGTTCATTCCATTCTGTACTCTCCGAAGGACGCTTGACAGATAGTTTGTCTTGCATTGAAAATGGAATGTGAAACAAACAGACAAGCAATTATTAACATTCAATGCAACATTGCTAAACGAGTTATAGTACACTGCCAAATCATTTTGAAGAACAAAAGCTTTCAATGTGTTATTCATCAGCATAGCCGTAGTCAGCAAAGCTACACCACCAGGAACTGGGGTGATAGCTCCTGCAATCCCAATACAGCTCTCCATATCGACATCCCCAGCCAAAACATCTTCCATTCAAACAATCAAATCAGAAAATTACAAATACCATTTCGGTCCTTCACACATCGCGTTCCAATATCGATGATTGTTGTTCCGGGCTTCAACCAATCTCCTTTGATCATTCCTGGATTCCCCACGGCAGAAACGACCAAATCAGCAGATCGACATAACTCTGGTGTGTTTGGGGTATGCTCATGAGCCATAGTGCATGTCATGCCCAACTGTTGAAGAAGGAAAAAGCACGGAATGCCGACGAGACTGCTACAGCCGATAACGAGAGCATGCCGGTCAACTGTAGGAATGCGATAGGAATAGAATGAAGGAGTTATGGGATAAAGTATTGGATATTTTTATGAAGTGAAGCATTGCTTGGGCAGCACAAGGGATAGGAAGGGTCTATTCCTCACCAAAGAAGAAGAAGAAAATATCCACATTGCCATAGTGGGAGGCAAGTAGTTGACCCTGCGTCAGTGGATGACAACCATCTACATCCTTCTCTGGAGAAATGGTTTTCAAAATGGACTGCGTGTTCACCGACTCTACATAAAACAAGGACTATTCACATCTACTAGGCAATGGTAGTTGAACGATTATTCCATTTACCTCCTTGGAATGATTCAAGTCGGTGATGCACTGCTGGATCTCTGCAGTTGTGGCAGAATCGGAAAAAGTGTATTCTTTGAAATCGATTCCAAGAGAGAATGCCAGCTGCCGCTTGGCATACACATAACGTTCCATTTCCATTTGATTTCCAACACGAATCACGGCTAGACCAGCTCTCATTTTCAAGTCATTGTATATTCGACTGGTTTTAAAGGTAATCTAGAGTGAATTGTATTTCGACGGTTTTACGTCACTCCTGAGTCTTTCGCTCAACCTCCAGCCATCCAGGATGGTTGTGCGCACAATCCCTTTTGAAAGTTGCATAGAATGAAAAACGCCATTCCACTTTTTGGGGCATTTCAAACAAACAATCGTTCTGAGAGTAGCCAATTTACTTCTTTTGTCTGTAAGAGCAGCCGGCGACAATGCGAGCCTTGCCTCCGGAAGGAGTGCACAGAAGCGCGTTGCAGCTAAACAGTCAGCCCAACCAAATAACTCTACTTTTCACATACAACAGCAGTCTGCGCATGGCTAAACACAGTGGTGCTAAAAGATCAAAGAAACGACTAACCACTCACATAGTCATACAACCAGGGCATTTGACATCCATGAAATAGCTGTTAGGAGCCTGAACGAGGCGCTTCAGCTTGTGCTTCTGACATTCTTCTTCAGCAGAGGGATAACGCAAATCGTTCACCTAAAAGCAGTGAGAACACCACACTCTCAATATGCAACGAGTTAAATACCATAGTGTCAAATAGCGAGGTGCTTGAAACAAAAAGTAAGGCTCAACCAGAAAAAAGACAAATTAACTCCCTATTTCTGGAATTTACAAAAAACAAACTATTCATTCTAAAATACATTTTAAAACATCGGACCTTCATCATCATCATCGTCACCACCCATGCCAAACGAATCCTCCGAGTTGGCGTAGTTAATCTCGTATTCGTTCTCTTCATCTTCATAAATCGTATCCTTATTGAGGTCATCACCTTCCTGGGGTCTACAGTGAACAAACCAACTTACAACCCACTCCGCATTCTCCGGCTCTTCCTTCTCCTCAGTTTCCTTCTGCTTAGCTTCACGATGAATCTTTATGCGCATCATTTGAGCAGGTTTCTGGGACTTCTCTCCCAACAACTCTACACAACACATAACATTCAAAAGACTACCCGTCGGAATATACTTCGACAAAATCTCGTACGAATAAAATGATCCTAACTTGGTGTTATTCTTCTGGGCAGAATACTTGTCACTGTATCGTTCAAACTGCATATTTCCCTCTTGAAGCTCCACATAGAACGGAGATTTCTGAATAGAACTCACTACGAGTCGATGGTTCTCGACAATGCTCCTTATGGTGATTATCGGTACAAGCAACGTACTGCTCTCTTGCAGATAACACCACAAACGGATGGATATCATCCCGAGGCGGATAGAGCGGCTCCATTTTGTTTTTTCCGTATTTGCTTGGAATCGCGGTTTTTTTTATCTGTTACTCATTCTATGATACGAAGCATCTGCCGAGTTTTTCAAACCCCCCACTCGGCTTTTTGCACCTTAGGAAATCCATTATCGAGAGGATGGTGTTTGCGCTCGATGGTACGGAGTTTCTCAACAAACGTCGTGGATATCGGAGGGATTCGTGCTTCTTTAACCAGACAAAAGGGAATTGTGAGACAACTCAAGAAGGATGGAGCGACTCAGGAAGAAGTCACTGCTGGTACGTTTTTTGATCATTTTTGTCACTTTCAGCTGTCAAGAAGCTGCAGGAATTGAAAGCCCAGCTGGAAGCGGAGGTGAAGAAGCAGGAGCCCGAGGAGACCTTTGACAAGGCTACGTTCGACGATGTGCTGCTCCAGAAGATGTTTGTAGTCCCTTCGTTCGAGATTTATGGAGGAGTGGCAGGTTTATACGATTTTGGTCCGATCACCTGCTCTCTGAAGAGCAACTTTATCAATCTGTGGAAGCAGCACTTCATTCTGGAGGAGGACATGTTGGAAGTGGAGTGCACCAACCTGACTCCCTACTGTGCTTTGAAGACTTCCGGTGGGTGCTTCGTAGCGATCTGATTTGCAGGCCACGTGGACAAGTTCACCGACCTGATGGTGAAGGACAGCAAGACGGGCGAGTGCTACCGTGCTGACGTTTTGTTTCTTTGCACCGGTGAGGCGTAGAAGCTGCTGGAGGCGAAGATGGACGAGCTGCTGAAGGACGTGACTCTGACGAGCGATCAGCGTTTGGAGTTGGAGCACATCCGCATCCAGGCGGACGCGTACTCTGCGGACGAGCTGGACGCTCTGTTCGCGAAGTACGGCGTGGTGGCTCTGGCGACGGGGAATCCGCTGACGCACCCGTTCCCGTTCAACCTGATGTTCGGGACGCAGATCGGTCCGGAGGGCACGATGCAGGGCTTCCTCCGCCCCGAGACCGCGCAGGGCATGTTCATGAACTTCCGCCGCCTGCTGAACTTCAACGGACGCAAGTTCCCGTTCGCGGCGGCGCAGGTGGGCACGGGGTTCCGCAACGAGATCTCTCCGCGCGCGGGGCTGCTGCGCGTGCGCGAGTTCCCGATGGCGGAGATCGAGCACTTCTGCAACCCGAGCGATAAGCGACACCCGAAGTTCGCCTCGGTGGCCCATCTGGTGCTGCCGCTGTTCTCGCGGAGCCACCAGCAGGGCGACGGAAAGCTGCTGACGATGACGCGTGGGCGAGGGAGCGGGGACTGAGGGCTAGTGGGCGAGGCCGTGGCCGCGGGAATCGTGAACAACGAAACGCTGGGATACTTCATGGCGCGCACGTATCTGTTCCTGAAGCGCGTGGGAATCGATCCGGAGAAGATGCGGTTCCGCCAGCACCTGCTGACGGAGATGGCGCACTACGCGTCGGACTGCTGGGACTGCGAAATCAAGCTCTCCTACGGATGGACGGAGTGCGTGGGCATTGCCGACCGCGCGTGCTTCGATCTGAAGGTGGGCGTGGCGACGAGGCGTGAGCGGTAGATGCACAGCGACGCTACGAAGGTGGAGATGACGGCCTCGGTGAAGCACGACGTCCCGATCGAGAAGAACGTGCTGGCTCCGACGTTCAACAGCCGCGCGATCGGCGTGGCCTTCAAGAAGGAGCAGGCGATCGTCAAGGACTATCTGAAGACGCTGGGCGAGGAGCAGCCGGAGGAGTGCCAGAAGCTGGCGGACAGTCTGGCGGCGACGGGCTCCGCGGAGATCGGCCCCTGCGCGAACGGCGCCAAGTACACCATCACGCCCGAGATGGTGACGTTCAAGCCGACGGTGCTGAAGATCCACGAGGAGAAGTTCATCCCCTCGGTGGTGGAGCCGTCCTTCGGAGTGGGCAGACTGATCTACTCCATCCTGGAGCACGCGTTCTATGTCCGCGAGGGAGAGGAGAAGCGAAACGTGATGGCGTTCAAGCCGACGGTGGCGGCGTTCAAGTGCTCCGTGATGCCCATCAACAACTCCGAACAATTCACGCCCATCGTGGATCGCATCGGAGCGTCGCTTCGCTCCTACGCGCTGGCCTTCAAGACCGATGCTTCCTCGGCGTCGATCGGACGACGCTATGCGCGTGCCGATGAGATCGGAATCCCGTTCGCTGTGACGATCGACTTCGAGACGGTCGACGAAAAGAGCGAGCTGTTCAACACCGTCACCCTGAGAGAAAGAGACTCGATGAAGCAGGTGCGATTGCCTATCGAGGATGTGGCCGTGGTGGTGAACGATATCGTCAAGGAGAGAACGGTGTGGGAAGATCTGCTGGAGAAGTACCCTCAAGTGAGTGTGAAGGAGGAATAATGGGGATGCATTGTTTGTTGTAATGGCCAATCAAGGTGTGGGTGGGAGTGAGTGAGATGAAATGAGTGTTACAAATGCGGAAAATAGAGAGTGGAGAACAGGAGTGAGAGAACTACTCCATTACTCGGAACAAACAGCAATCCTCATTTCTTCATCGATTCAAAATACGTTTTCACATAGGAAGACAGCATCGACATAAAAGCAAAACTAAACAGACAGGATTCACAGACAATACTTACCCCAACGTCACGAGAATGTTGAACTTATCTACAGAGACCAATTTCATCCACGTTAGAGAAGCCACTCCAGTAAAGAGACTTAGCCACCCAAGTAAACGAGACTATTTTGTGAGATCGAATCAGCAAATCAAGAAATATATATATATATGTAGCGTTTAAGAGACAAACAACGAGATGATACTGTAAAGGTTAGGCGCTTCATCTTCAACCGTCTGAGGCTTTCTTTCATACGATTTGTAGTAACTTGGACGTCTTACGTCTTCCATTGAGTTTGTTTCTATGATATGACAAAAAATGAGCCTTTTCAGTACAAAATGAGAATCTTGCTATTCGAAAGGATTTAAGCTTAGAAATAGAAGGAAACTCAAAGCAGATCAGCGAAGTCCGTACTCAATAAGAAAGCTGAAATTGTTACTTTTGAATATTGTTTAGTAGAATACATACATTGAAAAGACAAGTACGCATCATATCAAA